ACATACATAGATGAATAAATGAATGGCCCGCGACACAAAAACCGCGTTACCACGCTGGCCCAGGCAAGAAAGTCGGGAGAGACAAACCGGCGATCCGCAGCGCTACAGTTGAAACATCATGGCGTGCTTCTCGATCTCATGAGCAGAACCTAGGCACAACAAGGGAAGCCTTGCTGCGAACGCTGATGATGAGGACAGAGGCGGTGGAGTCGTTTGTCACAGTAATGAGGAGCTCTTTCCAGGAGGTGCCCATCCATCAGTCAATGAGAGTAAGACTTGTGTCGTGACGGAGTCGCGTCTGGCAGGAGCCGTGGGGCGCCCATTCCGCTCCACTCCACCAAGAAGCAAAAGCGAGCATGGGATAATAACTAACTCTACCAGTAGCACTCCAGTCTCCAGTTGTTCTCAGAGATGAGAGGCACAGACGAGATAAAAAAAAAGACCCCAGTAGACCCCAGTGACCAGGGACACCCCAGTCATCCGTCCGTCCCTACCATCCATCCATCTTTCGAACCCCCCCACCCCCTGTTGCTACCGTTGACTCTGACTGGCAACGGGCGCGGACAATGAGGGAAAAAGAAAAAAGAAAAAACCGAAATGAAGGACTACCACACACCACACGCCCCCCCTAAAGGTGGGCTTTTTAGCGTGAGGTTATCCGGTTCGAGCCCACAAGGCAATGCACGCGAGAGAAGCCGTCGTCGACGGCGGGTCTAGCGACTAGTCTAGCTTACTACTTGAACCAGGAGCCGGCAGTAGAGAACGTACTAAAATATTTATTTTATTAGAGAGGGTTACTTTTTTTTTTTTGGCTGATTTCTTATTAATCTAGTACAAATTCCAGCCTGTCCAGGGTCTTTCAACACACTTCTTGTCGAGAAGAGAGAGCATCAGACTACTTTATTGCAGGCCCGCCGCCTCGTGTCCTTGCTCCGCCTTGGGACGCGAGTGGGCGTCCGATTAAGGGCCCAGCTTGTGTGTTCCGACGCGATGAAACCACCAAGTATTAACCCAGTCAAACAAAAAAAAGCTTAAGCCGCCCGGGGGGGAGGGGGAGGAGGGAGGAGGAGGAATGCGGGCGTTGTCGACCATGGTGTGTAGCATGGCATGGGCATGCTCAACCCGCGTGTGTGAAGAGGTGTGGTTACTCATGCTGCATGCTGCTTCTCACCGTTGCAAAAAGAACGAACAACAACGGACAGCTGAAGAAATCCACGGCGGCAACTGCACTAGCAAAACAGCAACTTTTTTATTTTTTAATTTTTTTTTTTGGACCATGTTCCAAGCTGATACTGGAATGTAGTTCGCGGTTCCGGCGGTGAGCTGAACTCGATACTCTCTGTCCGCGTTGCGAAACCTGGCGGTCCGTCTTTCATGACAGCCGCTCCCACCGGCGGCAAAAACTCCCAAGCTCTGCGGAACCTCGCCGGCAGCGTTCCTTTCTTTTCTTTGCCTGCTTCCGTCTCCAAAAACGCCACGGCAGAAGCTCTCAAACGAGAATCTCTCTCCGGTGCTATGAGGCCCCACTGCCTCTCCGTCTGTCTGTCTGTCTGTTGTTATTGTTGTTGTTGTTGTCTGCTAATAAACTCTCTCTCTCTCTCTCGCATGGTTACACCATTCATTGCCATTGCCATTACTAGTTACTTCAGCCCGTCGGTTCTTTTTTTTTTTTGTCCTTTGTGTGAATTCTCCTAGCTTCTTGCAGGGATCGTTTTTGACTGGGTACTGGGTTCTTGTTCCGTCTGGTCATGTTGCGGGCTGCCAGCGGCCATCGCCAGTCATGGGACGGGGAGGAAGACCACAGCTTTCCTGCAAAAAACGGAACCGGATGAAAAAAAAAAGCCAAGCACACGGCCCAGAATGTCGGACATTGCGGCGGGTTACTTCTGAATTAGGCTCTCATGCTCCCAAAAAAAAAAAAAACCTGACCAAGCAGTTGACTTGATTACGGAGTACGGGATATGTACGGAGCACTTGTGGATTGTTCATGTGGGTTTGTGAACCCTCCTCAGCGCCATTGGATCTCGCATTCGACTGCCACTTGACCGCGTTATCTCATCTGACTATCCATTATAGGTGATGCAAAAGACCGAGTGACCTTCTTGAATCCCCCCCCCCTCCCCGGTTCTGGAAATCATGAAACGGAAACAAAGGACTTTCGTACATGCGCGCTTCCGGGAAAAGACCTATATTTCCCGATGCAGAGTCTCCAGTTCATGACTCGAGCGAACCAAGCTCCCTTTTCCCCCCTTTGCCGGTTCGCAGCGTGTCCTCTCTGACGAAACACGCTTCCTTGTCGCTATTACCGTGCCGCGCTGTTATTAGTTGTTAGTCGTAATGTACGGATCACAGCTTGCCAGTTCATAAGCCCCATGGACTCTGATGCCTCCCATCATCCATGACAAGCCACACAGTATTGTAGAGAGTAACTACTGGAGTAAACCCGCACCCATGCGTGGTTGGCCCCCACCAACGACTGGCCTTGAATCCTTGATCAATATCCTTGCTTCCAAAAGGAAGGACTGGTCCCCAAATTAGCTCTAGTGCCCATGCTTGTAACGGAATTTTTACTGATAATGAACTGACAGGGTACTCCGAATCAAAAAATCACCCCTCCTCCAACCATCCTCCTTCCCCATCTCTCTTTCCTTCTCTAGCTATACACCCCATGTGTGCCATCCGTTGCATGCTCCATACCCTGCGTGACAGAATGGGTGTTTCTGCAAGCTACCGCAGTCTCATTGGCCCTGACGTGCAGATGCTTGGTCGAAATGGCTGCCCTTGTGCATGTCTGCATGGACTCTGGCACTCTGGCACGTCTGGCCACACACCGTACTCGTATGTGCATACGCTGGACCATGTGTTCAAAAATACAAAATGCCATGGCCCGCTAAGAACGGCTGCCTCAGCCGAGGTGAGCCTAGAAAACATGGATCCCGCTCCATCTTTTTTTTCTCATGTCTTGATTCCTTGGCTGAATCTTCCCAGGGCGAGCCTAGCTCTGATGCGGAGGCACCCATGGGTGGCATACTCTAATTATATCGCTGTTATTGTTCCGTGTGTGGTTCCCATCCTTGATCTTAGCATTATTTACCTTTGTTTTTGCGTGAACTCTCAGTTCATCTGCTAATCCTTTTGCGAAATTACCGTCTTCTGCGAGGCAAAGGACCACGGCGATCTGTAAGCAACGCAGGCGTCTCCCTCGGCCTTCTTCTTCTTGTTTGCCCTTGTTCCCGCTCCGTCCAAGTACGAACGGCATCAATATTCCCCAAATTGCGACTCGTCACACGTCGCAGGAACACTTGGCGGCTATGAAGCACCCTTCTCCCATCAACTTCGTTTCTCCTCCTATTTAACTCTGAAATCAGCATCGTGAATTGCGGTTCCATCCGCCTCAGCTAACAACCCGCCTCGCATGACCGTCTGGGACACACAGGCCAGCAAGAGCCACAACAGAGCCGCTCCGGGGAGTGGATTGGGCGTCAACAGCAAAAGTTCTGCTTTCTTGTCCTCTCGGCATCACACACGCCTCCCCATCTCGTAAGGGGAAAGCGCCCTTTTCGCTCGCCATTGCCCTTCTGTGCCTCAGTGGAGTTTGTGTCCCGGGGTGGGCTCGCTCACCTACCCGTTGGCTGGCGGCATCTACCTACTAATAACTGAAGCGCCTCTCTCATCGACTCGAGCAGCCTTATTAAAAAGGTCTATGCATGAGTCTCGTACCAGTGCCAATACTTGTTCAAAGTATTCGAGGGCCATTCCCCCACAACTTTACTCTCCACCGACAACTTCATCCTTGCTCTCTGGGAAAAAAAGGGTATAAATTAAAATAACCAAGGCAAGCCATCAGTACTGCCTAATTTGCCCTTTTGGAAAGCCTCCTGCTGCCCAAAAAGAGGCTGACCCGCCTTCTTGCTTTTCAGCAAAGCCAGCCTGTCAAGTGGCTGCCGACGTTGCGCCTCCTAACCCCAGCAATATCACCACAGCCATCTTAACGGTAGACGAGAGAGGCTTGAGTACTTCTGAAAAGAGTCAGAATTTCAACTTTTCCTGTTTCATTGCCTCACCACTTGCTCTCGGCCTGAGCTTGACCGACCTCGCTTGACGCCTGCGCCTTGGTTGACAGCAAAGGAAACAATTCCGACCCCGACCCATGGCCTGATTGCCTCTTTTATTCCAGGGGTAGATATATCAACATCTACACTTTTTTCCTTCCGCTGGAGAGGGTGGCTTCTCGTTTCGGCTGCGCCTTCTCGGTTCCCTCTTGGCCCCAGGCTCCGAAAACTTGCCCATTGCGTGGCGGTGCGTGTTGAAGAAACGAATTCTTGCTCAGGACACCCGGTCTTCGACAAAGAGCGCTTATTTGATCAACAACTTTTCCCGCTAGCAGCACCTTTGCTGCCTCAGCAGCCCAGTACAAACCACGATTCGGCACCGCAAAGTGTAGGCTTCGCCCAGGAATCGAAACAAAGAAGCAGCTATCAATGACGATGCTGATGCTGTAAAAAGCTTCGACCATCAACTTTGCACCCTCTAACCAACTACTTGAGAGAGAGAAAATCAAGTCGATCTGCGCTGCCTTTTATTTGTCGGTTGGCTTCTCTGATTTCGTTTCCGGTTTCGACTACTGTTCAATACCAATGTTTGCGACGCAGCTTTGCGAACCTATTGCACACAAGTGGCCTCTGGAGACATATTCGCCATCATTTCCAGAGCAAATACGGCCTCGCATGGCAGATCCACACGGCATAGGGTCCTCGACAAAGCCAATCTGGCCGGAGGAGGGCATGTACCTACAACGAGGAGGGACAAATCATCCTCAACAGCTCTTCCCACCAACGCAAGACTCGGCGTCAGACAAAGAGCACACTGATTCTCTACCAGACAGCCACGAACGTGCGCCCCAGGGCCACTCTTTCAGCGAGTACCAAGGCTACAGCCATGGCTACGATTCAGCATCGTCTCGGTTTCGTACTAGGACTTCACCATCTGCGCCGAGCATCATGACCGAACCCCCGAGCTACAGGGGAATGCCTAGCTCAGACCAACTCTGGAAGAGTCGATTAGACACTAGAGGCGATGTCGGCTCGATGGGACATTATGGTACTGGTAGCGCGTCTGGCCCATCTGCTCCAGCCTCTTTAGGGATGGGACACGGGGAAGCAGAGGAGTATTCCGACGATGGAGACGTTGGCGAGGGGGAGTCTGAAGGTATGCAGCAGACGGCTGCGGAGAGACTGGCTTCGCGGAGAAAGATGAAGCGCTTTAGGTATATACTGATCATTAGAACCAACTATTGGAATTTCGACATACTAACCAACATTAGACTTACGCATCAGCAAACTCGATTTCTCATGAGCGAATTCGCAAAGCAACCACACCCCGATGCTGCGCATCGAGAACGTCTGGCTAAAGAGATTCCGGGGCTGACAGCGCGTCAAGTCCAAGTCTGGTTCCAAAATAGGTTCGTCTATCAGGTTGCTTGTCGAGGATGCTAGCAATTTTGACCCTGCTAACAATACATGCTAGACGCGCCAAGATAAAGAGATTGAATGCCGATGATCGCGAGAGGGTGGTCCAAATGAGGGCCGTACCGGAAAACTTCGACAATGTTCAGGCACTGCATTCGCCCTATGGCGCGGTGCAAGCGTATGACGGATCGCTATCACACACTTCGAGCCACCAACCGCCGCACATGTACCAGCATCCACGTCCCCTCATGGTCGACGTGAGGCGTACCGAGAGCGAGGCTCACCCAATGCAATCAACCGGTCTGACCCCAGTCTTCGGCGGTATCAACTTTGGCCAGAATCATGTCCCTGGCATGTTGGAGACGAACTCGATGCTTTCGTCGCCCTCGCAGTTCAGTCCAAGCGATAGATATGGCTACGGGCCACGGCAGCCCGGAGTTGGCGTCTCTGATGGCAAAGGCTCCTCCACAAGCAGTCCTGTCCACGAAACCGACCATCGATCTGGCGCGAGACCGCTACGGCCAGCCGCGCTAGCTGATCCCCTTTCACGAGGGCGATCCAGCTCTTTGCAATCTACCATGGGTTCTTCTGTCTACTGGCGAGGAAGCGGCCTCGGTGACGTGGCCGAAGTGCAAGATCCCGCCTCGGAGCACGGGAGCGAGGGCCAGGCGCCTTCTCTGCACACCTCGACATCAGGAATGGGCCTCAACACTCTATTTTATGGCGGTTCGTACTAGCAAGCACACGGTAATTTGTAACAATGATTAACGCTGGTATTCTTGTTCAGGTGACGCGTCGGCGCAGCAATCCGGTGCCACAGGTGACATGGCGGCTCGACAAGATCCGTTTCCTCGAAACCGAGCGGCTTCGGCATCCTTCCCGCTGGAGAATCGCGGCCAATATAGCGAACTCGGCGCACATCCAATGCTGTCGCCTATTCGAACGGACGTGCCACGGTCAACACCATCGGCGCAGGCAGGAACGGCATATACCCCGAGCTATGCGTCACCTCTGCCTCTGCCAGCCGGTGCGAGCGCACCAAACACGAGGCTACTCGAACCACGGGACCACATGCCACAGTTTGGCTACACCACCGGTGACACCTCAACGACGGCGGTTCACGGCTTCTCGTCGCAAGCAGCAAACGATGGAGTGGATCAGCGGCCGTTCTACCCACCAGGGACGCAGCAGTCGTCGCAATTCGAGCGACCCGGGAATGTGGTTTCGTATGGAGAGACGGCACAGGCATCTAATGCCGTCAAGCGAGAGTAGTGCGCCCCAACGCCAGGCGCTGTATCCGGTTCCGATTTGTTTGCAAATTCTAGCCCCCTTGTCCTTTTCTTTGTACTTTATTTCTTTTTTTCCTCACCTTTTCTTGTATATATCATGAAACCCACTTGTCCAGGTTCCGGGCCCAGGAGAAGCAACAGGATTGCTCGGCAAGAAGCAAGTATTTGGGCTTTGGCAGTATATATATGTAGCGCCTATTGAGTACAAAAAGTTGACTGGTGCTTGCGATTCCAAGACGTGAGGTTGTGCATCTCTAGAATGCTGTCTGGAGTATGAGAATGCGTCAGTTTCGGCTTCCAAGGCGGGATTGCAAAATAGCGACACATGTTGTGATTGGCTTCAGAAATATAATGCCAAATAGATTGTCCTCCGACAGCCAAGGGTTGTTGCACCACGGGATCGCGGCACAGCAACGACAAGCAAGGCAGATAGGTTTACCAGATGTATATTATCATCATGAAGATTGGGGAACCCGCAACAAGGGTCTGGTACGAAGTGGAAAAAGAACATACCATCACCTCACGCCGCGTAGACGTATGGATCTGGTCATGTCCAGAGACAGCTCAGAGTGCTGTTGCTACGTTTCGACGCTACAATTCCACAAAGGCGCGGCTTTGTGTGGGATATATCCTCTATCGCTTCTTCCAATCGTCGCCAGAAAAGGAAAATACGTGCTGTAATACAACACGGAAGAAATGTAACTTGCATCAGGTCATCATCGTTTCATGGCAGCCGCACGAGGGGCCCTCGTGATGATGGTTTTTGGCAAGGTTAATCGGTCTCGACCAGGCCATCGCAATCGCCAGCAGCAAAGGGAAAATGAAGCCGAGCTGACAATGTGTAAATAGAGTTGGTGGTCTTGGAATTGTTTAGATATGGAAAAAGAAGAAGAAAAAAGGGAAAAGCGGTTCAGCAAATCGCCCAAGTGTGAAAAGGCTGCGGTGGGCGGATCCGCGCAGATACATCACGTGATGTGATCTTTGTTTTTTTTTTCCTCCTGTCGCACGCCAGCCTCCAGGTGGTGCACAGTGTGTCGATACAGTGCTTGCATGATGCGGGTGTTGCGCAGAGGGTGTAAAACCTGCAGCTAGAGGCATCGTTACAGCGGAGGTTTCAGCGCTTGACCTGCCTGCTCTAGCTGCTGCCCACCTACAGGACCCCCCACTGGGCCATTCCCTCCCCCCACCACGGAGCCGCACTGTGTCTCACGGGTGTGGTAATACGTGAAAGCTGTGGCACTGGACCCACGCCCTAGAAACTTTCCTGCCTTGTATTTCAGGCCGCAGATCCTTACCAAAGGCTTTCCCTCGCCCATCTCCGCCTCTGCCCGTGGCCCGACGCTCATAATATTGTCATCAAACCTCGACTTCTTGGCCGCCGCGAGCATCACACCCTCTTACGACGCCGCGCCGCCTGCGAATCCGAAGAAAAGACCTCGGAAACCGACCTGTACAATCGTTTTATTTAACCCCCCGTTCGCCTCGGCCGTCCACCCACCCACGTCAGCGAGATAAGACCGCCACAACACCGCGCATTCGACGCCTTTCTCTGGCGGCGCTCTTTGTCGCGCACGACCGCCGAAGACCATCGACGTTTGGCCTCGAGAACTCCCGTTTGTTGGATCTCCTGGACGTGCTCTTTGAAACCACTGCATTTTTGAACCGCCTCCCCCCCGAAAAAACCGTCCGATACCCCGACGGAGACCCCGAGCAGTGTATGACGGTCGATAGCTGAAGGGAAGGCTCTGCCTAGTCCAATCCGCTTTTGCCAGCCGGCAAACTTGGCGCGACCTTTATTCCTCTTGAACTCATCTTCTCTGGCTGTTGCCGCTCTGTTACTCTTCTCTTTCCCTCCTAGGTCAAACTTGAGTGAGAGACCGCGAGATGTCGTTCCATCCGCAGACCCCACAGAGCCCTTCGCAAGCATCGCCAGCCACGCAACTCGACTCCATGCCCATCGCCAACCCGGCTCCTACAGGCCCGACGACCCTTCCCACACCCGCACACAGCGTTACTGGCAGCATCTCCCACCAGTCCGACACTGCGATGGCCGACGAGTCCCCTCACAAGCGGAAACGCCCGCTCGATGATGATGGCGAGCGGGATCAGAAGAAGGTTCAATACGACTACAAGCTCGGCATCGAGGATCTGCATCTCGATGTTGGCCCAAAGTACATGCTGCTCCAAAGAAGTAAGGCTCCCTTTTCGTTGCACAAGATCTTTCCGCTCTCCGCGTTTGGGTGAGACGCAAGTTGCGTGAGCTGCTTAGCAAACTTTCTTCATCACAGCCAAATAGTATTTTGTGTTGACAATGCCATTTTGCTACAGCTTACAAGGATGAATTCCCACTGCTGATGAGGGATTTGTACGAGGAGTTTGACCTAGCAGAATTGGCAGCGGAAGTGGCGCGGGAGAAGCCCAACGGTGAGAAGAACGCCCTTCGCAAGACTTACAAGGGACACATCAAGCGCCTCGGCGTTGCGGGACACTTTGACGTGCAGAAGAAGAAGGAGGATGCGCCCTCGGATTTCATGGCCATGCTGCAGGTGCCCGACCTCGAATGGAGCGTACACCAGGTCAAGGGCCGCGAGATTGGCGACGGGTTTTCCGAGGCGACGACTGCCAGCCTGGCCCGCGCCATGACGCTGTCCAAGGGCCCCATTGCCCGGTCCGTCTGGGACACCTCGGTTCTCGGAGACATGGCCCCCAGCAACAACAACGGAGAAGCTGCCAAGCCCGCGGCCCCCGCTAGAGCCACCGCGCCCAACACGCCCGCTGCAACGACGCCGTCTGCCGCAACGGACCGATTCAAAGGGCCCCTCGCGCCCGGCACTGATCCCGCGCGGCCTCGCAGAAACATCAGGAAGAGGACGTACGGCGACAGCAGTTACGAGGGCTACGGCGAAGGGTTTCCCGACGACGACGGCGGTGCCGACACGGGCTACTCGACGGGTGAAGGCGAAGGTGGACAGAAACGCAGGAAAAAGGTGAGTTTGATGACGGCGATGCGAATTCCGAACAATGGCATCTCTAACAGGAGCAACAGAACTCGGGAGCCACGCCACCATATCCCCCTGTACGGCAGCACAGCTACGGTCCTGGTATGGTAGGCGCGTAGAAGCACCGGGCTCGCCCCCATCTCGTGCTTCTTTCTGTCTTTTTTTTCTGGTCCTCTCTGCTCTGCTCAGCATACATATGCATTCAGCACATGACAGCCGTTAGAAACAGCCATGATGGCAACGAGAACTGGATGCCAGAATACGCAAACGTTGTCTCTACAAAGGGGTTATTTTTTTTTTTTCACGACAAACACGAGAGGAGTTTTCACGGCATTTTGATCCTCGACACTGGTCTTTTGTCCTTGTCTTTTTTTTTTCAATGCTCTGTTCATTAGATGTTGAGTTTATTCCTTCTTTTTTTTACTTATGGGCTCATGTTTGTCTTCTTTATCTTTGTTCTCTTGACCTTTTCTCTCTCTCTCTCTCTCTCTCTCTCTTCTCTGATTGAGCTGGCAGATGAGAAGTCAGGCGAGGCGACATGACAGTGTTTTTTACATTTTTTTTTCTTTCCCGTTTAGCATGGCGTTGGGGGGAAAAGATTAACTTTTTTATTTTTTTGTTTTTCTTGGCTACTTTTTTTTTTTTTTCATCGTTTCTTCATTGTTGATTCATACTGTGTGTGCTGTTTGGACTCGCAAACGCGACGCACACAAGAAAGCTTCCACGACATGAGGAAGCATCTTCCAAAAAGAATCTTTTCAAGTTTGGGCTGTACTACAGTTTTCTTTTTTTTTTTTTTTTTTCTTCTCTCTTCTTCTTTTCTTCAAAATTTGGCACACAACGCACAAAGAAAGCTGGTTGTTTTTGACTCCTTGATTGTTTATCACGCGGGTTCATTTTTTTCTTTCTTGATCTCTTTCTTTTCCCTTACTTTTTGGCCTTTCACGCTGCCAGCCTTTGCTTCTCGTGCCCCTTTGGTCTCTCCTGCGGGGAGAAAAGCCCTTGTTTTCGACAAAAAACCAGCCTGGGTTCGTGGGAAAGCAGCAGACATGAAGAAAGAAGAAGAGGAAGAAGGAAAAGAAAGAAAGAAAAGCAAGACTTCTGCCTTTGATGCGATTTGCTTGAGTTCTGTTTTGCTTTCGAGTCTTTAGATACCAGCACATGTTCTCTATTATTTTCGAGACAGACATATAAAAAAGAGCAAGCATAAAAAGTCTACCCAAAAGATGCGTACCGTGAATGAATCGTATATCCTCGAGTTATTACAATCGCCATCTAATCTTTTCTGATTTCCAACACGATCGAAATTCTTGCAAATTCGTGAAAATACATATAAACACCATTCTAACCGTGCCACGTTGAAATGGGAAAAATGCAAAATATAAGAGGGGAAATTTCAACAAAACGCTCAGAGTACCCATCATAGCCGCATTATACATGAGGGATCAAGACTAAATCCATCCCTGGTTCTAATCTCTTCTTCTCCTTTTGAATTTTCGACGTGTTTCCGTTGTTTTGAAACTTGGCATCTCTTTATTGTCATTGAGGCGGCAGATCACCAAAGTTTCCATTCTCGACAGACGGGTACGCGCCACCGCTCATCTCGGCCCAGTTCCAATCCAGCGTCATGGGCAGCGCAAACAGGTCCTGCGGCAGCAGAGGCTGAGGAAAGGGCGGGTCCATGACCATGGCTGACGGGTCGCCGGGAAAGCTGCTCATACTGTCAAAGGAATCAAAGTCGCCGTTTTGTGCAATTTGTTGCTGCTGCTGTTGCTGATACTGCTGTTGCTGCTGATGCTGATGCTGCTGCTGCTGCTGCTGCTGCTGGGCTTGTGATTGCGCATCGTGGTTCGAATTGCCGTTACGAGGAGACCTTTGCTCTTCAGAAGGCGACGTCGCCGCCACAGGGCCCCAGGAAGATGAGCGATGGGTGCGGACCGGCGGCGACAGCTCTTCAATCGTCGTAGGAATAGGCACCTCGGAGGTGTCGAGATTCTTGGTGTTGGCCTTGACTTTGCCGTCGGTACGGCGCTTTCGCCGGAAGGACTGATCGTTTTCCGCCTTTTCAACGACGGACTTGGCGATGCGCACAAATTCGGAGCAGACGCCTAGCATACGGTGAACACCGCCCTGCTCTGCCTCTTGCCCAAGCATGGAGAGGAATGTGACTACCAGTTCCATAAGACGCGTGTCGGATCTGGCGCGCACATCAAGCGGGTTTTGAAGAATGTTTCCAAATAAAGTCACCAAAGCGGAGACAGGAAAGTACAAAATCAGCCTGATCATTGTTAGCTCGTTCTTGTATAGGCTCAAAGGAGAATGATTGCTCACCAGACACAGGCAAAGTCGCCCTGGGGGACATATTTTAAGAGAGAGATGGATGCTCGAGCAGCGGCTGTGGAGAGAGCGGCAGATGAAAAAACACGAGGATTCAAGGGTCGCGCGTTGAGGCCCTGAATGGCGTAATTGGCCAGGCGACTAGTCCAGTAACCATGGTGAACCGACATGCGGTGAATTGTGGTGAGACAGTTGTAGTAGGTAAAGTGCAGCATGACAACGTGTAGAATCAAAGGAGTGTGGGATGCCTTGATTTCGTGTTCAGGGCGGAACTCGATTGGAATGCGATCTTTCCACTCTTCTAGCTGCTGGTCCAGTTCGCCAATTGTGTTGAGAAGTTCGCCGTCGGATTGCTTGGTGGCCTTTGTCGAGTATAACTGCTTGTACACGGTGCTTTCGATGACGGCAAATTCGCACATGACGCGAAAAAGGTTCATCTTCCCCTTTCCGTCAGCTAGAGGAATGTTTCCGATATTGTCGACAGGGTTGGCGTCTGGCAATTCGACATTCATGTCGTCATCGTCTTGGGCAGGCGGCCGGCCAGATCGTAGACAAAGATCCTTGTCGAGCATGTAGGCAATCCAAAAGACTCGCTTGCGCTGCTCTATTTCAATGGGATTGAGATTGAAGCCTGAACCGCGTTTGTGCAAGCCTATACTGTGGGAGAGGCGGATGGCAGCGGCAATGAGCAAGAAGGAAGGCTGTGGGTTGGGAGTACCCTGCATGAAGAGAGCCATTCCCAGCAGGGCTTGGACGGAGAGGAGGTCTGTGTTGCGCATAGTTAATTCGGAAAAAACACCCATGGCATTCTTGAGATAGGCCCAAGCCTTTTCGTCTTCTTCCTGGGGAACAAGGTTGCTCATGACGCGGAGACGATGAGCAATGGCCAGGGCACAGTTCAAACTAGCCCACCAGCCAGATCCCTGGTAGGGATTTTCGGAGTACTGGCGCTCGACTAGATGCATGAATGTGGGCTGATGGAAGAGTGGAAACATGCAGTTGAAGTTTTCGAAATAGTCGGTAAGCAGCGAAAGAGCCTCGTGCTTGGGGGGAAGAGGCCTAAAGACAGGACGCTGGAACAAGTCACGAAATACCTCGGGCTTCCAATTGGTCCACTTGTGGTCGTCGACGGAGACTTCGGAAATCATTTGCTGGAAGGATTCGTCGCCCGTTCTGGAATTGACCCATGAAATGCCTTTGGGGGAGAAGATGGAGAAGCCGGAGGATGATCCTGTAGGGCGTTAGTTGAGATACAGCAACGGTGGGTGATTGCGACAAGACGTACCAATGTACCGCGTCTCTCCGCTCTGATTGGTGACGAGCGAGCACATCATTTCCGAGAGGGCCTCAACTTCCTCGTGGCCTTCTTCGTCGCTCTCTCTCGCTCCCTTGTCTTCTGTAGACGGCCCAGACCTGCGCCTCTCTGTCGCTTCTCTTGCTTCTCTCCCGGGAGATGGTAGTGAGCTTTGGGGGGTGGCATTGTCAGCTAGCACAGGCGAAACCGGAGGGCTGTTTGAGCCAATGGCGAGAGAGGCCTGTCTCGACTTTGCTTGCAGCTTCTTCTCGAGAGCGCCAAGATCAGTGCCCGGATCATCGTCATTCAAAACGCCTGGAGCGAGGTGTAAGCTTTGATGGGCAAGCGGGGCGCCGTGACTGTGCGACTGGGTGAGACGTACCTGACAGGCGAAGCAGCTGCTCCATGCGGCCGAGGCGGTTCTCGAGTCCCTCGATATATTTGGCACTACATGCGGAGCGAGAAGTCAGTGTCAATCAAGAGTCGCTACGGCTTCGATGGAAAAATACCCTTTCGGAGGACTGCGCTTCTTCTCAACCTGGGTGAAGGCGCAGTCGGTCTTGTAAGTGGTGCAGTTTGTGCAGGCGGGGAGCTTGCCGTCGCACTTGATCTTTTTCTTGCGGCACATATCGCAAGCCTGTTTAATCGACGAACGGTTAGTCAAAGGCTATTGTTTGAGCATGACGGATTGGCGGCGCTGAAGGGGAGGTACTTGCCCTGGCGATGCGACGTCTCTTTGCGTCATTGGTGTCTTCCATAAGCAGCTGAGCATCGGAAAACATGTGGGCAGTCATGTCAGGCATGTGCGCCATGCTGGGCATGCCATCTTGGGAGTAGGAGCCAAAGATTTGGGGCGGCTGGTTCATCAATGGCGGGCCGGAGCCGGGCATTTGAAAGCCCATGTGGTCCATGGTTGGGGGAACGGGAGTAGCGGAGGCGATTGGGATGCACGGGTGAGCGGCGGAGCGGCTATATATCCAAGGTATTTGTGTAGATAAAAACGAGAGCGGCGGGTGTGGTATGGTGTCTGAGAGCGCAGAGAGCGCAGAGAGGCACGAGCACAGGAGGCAGAGGAGGCAGAGAGCCGCGGAAGGGCGAGATGGTGAGAGAATAGAGCTATTGCCGGGCCAGGGTGGTGTATTGAAGTTGGCCTTTTCTTTTCAGTGTTGCTGTGTTGCTTATGCGGCTCGTAGCAGTGAGGCTTTGAGTTCGTGCTTGGCCGGCCGGCTCCGTTGGAACGGGCGGGTAGATGGATGGGTATGCTGCGGAGGCGAAGGTTATCGAGAGGGTCGGTTGATGGTGGTCATATCGCGGAAAACTGGAGGGATTGAGAGGTTAGGGATTTGCGAATCGATTGGTGATTTTTCGGCTCAGCAGCTCAAAAAAAGAGAAGATAGAAGGGAGAAACCAAAAAACAACCGAAAGGTGAATGAAAGAGGGAGAAAATGGACGGAGGAGGCGGACTTGCCGGAGTTGGGGATCGAGGGTAAGATAGAGTGTGAGCCTCAGAGGGGAGGCATGCAGGGTGTTTCGGTTTTTGGCTTTTCTTGATTCCAACGGTACCTGACTTGCGGTTGAGTGATGGGTGTGTAAGCAAGTACCCAGCTCTAAGCAGGTAGCAAGGTATGGTAACTACCTAGGTAGGTAGGTACCTGGGTACTTTCCTGTTTTTATTGGCGGCAGCGTGTCTGGGGAAGTCTCAGGCGCCGGCAGAGGCTGAAAACTGACAGACTTGAGTAATTTTTAGTGGCCTTGGGCTTGGCCGGGGGGAGGGGTTTTTGGGGCTCTTGGGGCTCTTGGGCTTACCAGCTTTACCTACTTGTAAGGCACAAAGGTAACTTGTGGCGCCATTGAAAACAGAGTTTCCCGGGCGGGCCTTGACAGCTAGTACGGGGCCTTGACGGCTGGCACGGGGGCCACGACAAGGCTACCTAGCCAGTCAAGTTACCAGTCTGCGAGGGATGGGGTTGGATGTTGGATGGATGGTAACCATGAGGAAGACGCTACTGCCAAAGTTCCACCCGTTTGTCACCTATGCGAATGCGCCAAAACGAACACTTTCTGTGCGAGAACGTGCGTTGCGAAACGGCAAGCTCCCGCTGTGTGTGAGATGCGGAATGGTGGGGGAAACCAAAGCGCCTGTCCGTGCTGCGGCCGTAGAAAGAAAGGTACATTTGACCAAGCTACCTCATTAGGTACGGATACTGGCAATAAAATAAGCTTGCAGACGACCAAATCTACGCCGAAACGGGTCATCCTGGCACTCTGGCAAGCTGGCAAGTAGGTATTACAAGTACTTTCCCTAGGTACAACCCAGGCTACTGCGCAGGGTCTAGAATCAGTCCCGTTGTTCGACAGCAGCGAAGGACCAGGTACGAGCATCACACTCTTGCCTGAATATCAATAACCAACCAACAACATTTCTTCGTCTCATCACTATTATCTTGCTCAGCCTCTTGGCATAAATCACGAACCACATCGACAAGCCCCTTCCATTATGCCATAAAGTCCGCTGCACTCCCCTCTCGATATGCCCAACTGCCCCCCACGAGGGGGGAGGAGAAGTGCCCAATCTTTGAAACTCCAACGGTAGCTAACCTTGTCGCGAGAGTTGTGATGGAGAAACATGTCGAAGCCGTTTTTCCCCTCCGCAGGGGCCAACTCTACCTCATTATCTGCTTCAACGGTTCAAGTCGTTCTTGATTAATATTCCAAACATGCCGCAAAACCCCCCCCGTCCTGTTCCTCAATGACGAAATGCCACGCTGCAAGAGGTGCGACGCCATTATTTCCAAGTCTTATCTGGGTGTCGAGACTCGGGTTTTCTTCTGGCCCTCGTTGCCTTGTTATCATTAATAATCACTGACTCCTATTAGTTACCAGCAGGCTGCAGCACGGTTACAGGTCTTGGCCCTATTACCCCCTTCACCTTGAAGTCCACCCCACATCCCCCGCCACGCCGTCTTCATTGAGTTGACGGGAACACCTTGAACTTGAACAAGAAATGAGAGCTGGCTAGTTGGAGCAGAGTAGTTCATCTCATCCATACGTAATGAAAAGAAAAGAAATCAGAGTTCGATAATTCACAAAAACAATAGGTCGCCTGCCGCCTCACCATGTGCGTCCGATCTAGGCGACAATCCCGGACATGGTTATCGAGTCCCTTTTCCCATGTCGACAAATCACCGTCAACCATGCGGGCGCGGCGGCGCACCTACTACCGCCACCCTCACACAAGGACAAAGCTAACTTAGAGGTCGTTGACGCTTCTTTCGTTATTTACTTTTTCTTCTGATGATTTTTCCCACTTTCTTGCCGATCACTGAGAATAATTTAGGTTCAATGCCAGATCATCATGACCTTGCCGGCTGCCAAGCATCAGCATCAAGCAGACCTGAACAAGAGACGCGTTGGCGATTAATGCAGTGTCAAAATTTTTTACAACCCAGCTCATCGTCATACTTACTCATACTCGGGTATTTGCCTGACAGTTGCTCCGTACCATAATTTCTTTTGACCATTAAATCCCCGTCCCTCCCCCCTTTTAAAAATGTCACAAGACGGCGACAGCCGCGAGTTGTCATTACGAGTACGATTGCCTGGCCGTTTGCCGTCTTAAGTCCTGCAAGCCCGCGGCACTAAATATTGACAAGCTCTAAATATGATCTAAAATAGAAAAAAACGCCCCTCCCAAATGATCCATCCACAGTGGCAATTTCTTCCAGCAGCCCATGTCTTGTAAAATAGGCTGCGCTAATGCAAGCCAACCAGCCAGACCAGGTTTGTCTGTCTGTCCGTCTTTTTTGCCACGACCCAGATCGCGCTGTCCACAGCCAACCATTTAGTTTACTTTACTAGCCAGCCAACGACTCACCAGTTCGTACCAATCACAAGTACTTGGTTTCTCTGGCACCACTTTCCTGGGAGGTGTCCCATCCCGAGTATTTGGAATAAGCAGATGGAAATCTCCATGTTCCTCACAACCACCTGTTTCTTCTCCCATATTCAGCCAATTCTTTTACACGACTTCTCTAGTAATTTCTCATACAGATTTTGCCTTGCTTCTTGGCATGTCTTAGAGTGTAAAACATGCAGAAATGATTCCACATCGCGTGCCAGAGGCTGAGTACCAAAGTACGTACTCCGTGCTCTACGTAGTGTCTAGTTAGACGTTTCACCAGGTCGAAGTGTCCACTTGTCAATGCCCAGCCAGTCAGTGTACAAGGTGCTTTGGGTGCCAGGTGCCAGGTGCCAGTCTGCCAGTCACTTTTCTGCACCCACCCCGGTTGTCCGGTTTGATATAGCCAACAAGTTCCCGATCAGCAGCCGTCCTATCTGCATAACCATGCTGTCATGCTCTCTGCATGAAGAATTGTCCGTCTTCCAACCTTTGAAACATGGCTCTGCCAAGAAAAAAGAGGTCGTAGATGGAATCATTTCTCTTCCCAGCCATGATTTATACCTATTTACCTTCTCTTCCTTGAACATTCATGTCGTAGCTCCAACAGCTTTCAACCCCCCTCGACACATCTGAAACGCATCCGAGTCACTCGCCATCGTCAATGAACCTTGCTCCTCTTTCGCCGACTTCTTTCCTCCTCAACTTTCGTCTCCGATTCTACCAACGCACATCCACTTCCCAAGAACAGGGGTGGAAAAAACTCCGATTGCCATACCTGGTCTACCGCTATCACTAGACGCATGAGACCTTTCCCACGCGGCTGCCTTGTCGGAATCTGACGACGATTTGCATAAGCATTCGCCCCCAACTATCCCACGTAATTTTACTCTACACAAGATTCTTTATTCCCGAGAAGAGCCTTAGTCTTTGAGAGTCCCAAAGCCTCATCGAAATATTGCCATTACAAATACCGACACGCAAACTCCGTCACGTCGCACACCATTGCAGTCCATGTTCCACAAATTCACTGCATTCGTTGTACAAGATAACTTTCATTTCTGAAGACTTCCGCCTTGTATCAACCATGTAGATTCTCACTCCCTTTTGCAATCGCTGCTAGGTGAAATGTACATTATATCAAATAATCGCATGCGATAGTACATGGTAGGCCCAAGTACCATTGCCTTAACCCCATCAAAACGCCGCAAGCTGAACAAGACTGCCGAGATAAAAGATAAAATTAGTCCGGTTGTAAATCGAAAGCCGTTCCAGGCCCAGCGATATCCAAGACTGTCCCTGTTGGGGGAGAAGACGCTGACAATGAGTGCCGCAAAAAAATATGGATAAAAGTAAAACCATGTACAGGCTGAAGAAGTGAAGATGAAAAAAAAAGGGCCAGGAAATTGATTGTGGTATAGTCGCTTTTAGAAATTAATCATCAAATGCTCTCCTGAAACCGTGAGCTAGATCCCCTCGCGCTGCCACTGGACCCAGGGCGTCTGGGTGGCGAGTTGTTCTTTGCCATTGGCGGCGACATTGCAGGGTCGGCAAACGGATTGGCTTCCGTCACTGGCGTCCGCGCAGGTCCCGATCGAAAAATTGGCACGCCGCTGACTGGCCGCATAGGACTGCCAAGCGCAAAGGGCTCATCGCCAGGGTTGAATGGTTCAGACGATTGCGAGTATTGGCTCAATGTGCTTTCACGCGGATCAGAGTATCCATCACCGCCCGTATAGAGCACAGACTGCAGCTTGCGACCCGACACACGGTGAAAGCCTCGCTCACCAGAGGGCACCTCTAACGCATCGGGCGCGCCCCTCGACTGACGCTTGCTGGCAAAGGCCGCGAAGGCAGCATTGACCGACGCGGCGGCTCCGTTTCGTTCAGTCATCGAGTTGGCGGCGTCGCTGCCCGACGCGGGTAGAGCCGCGAAGCCTGGAGATCCCCTGTTGATTGACCGAGACTCGGCGTTCCTCTTATTCTTATAACGCATGGCAAGCAAAACTAGAAGGGCGAGAAAGGCCACGCCAGCGACACTCCCCAGTACACTCCCAACAATCTGTTTTTGCTGAGTCGTCATCGGGTAGCTGCCAGATGACGACGCCGCGGAGGAAGTTTCGGCGCTGCCTTCGACTGTAGGGACGACTGTCGGCGAGTTCCAAGTCGGGGTAGAGCTGTAAGTAGATGAATATGACGATGACAATGACGATGACGATGATATGGATGTTGATGCTGACGAAGAAGAGGAAGAAGAGGAAGAAGACAGAGTGTTCGTCTCGCTTGAAGATGACAAGATGCGAAAGTTGGACTGTGTCGTAGAAGTGTTGTAGTTGACCGCGGACGACTGGCTGATTGTAGTCGGTGCAATTGTAGAATTATGTGCACTGCTAAGCACGGTCGCATTTCCCCACGCCGTTCCGTTGCTTGGATCCGATAAGGTGGGAAAACTGGAGGCGGACAAGGAAGGTAGCGGAGCTGAACTGGGCTGCGACGAGGTCGAGGTCGTGTGATGAGTTGAGGTTGTCGTTGATGGCGTAGAATACGAGCTCCCCAGGCCCGGGACAAGGCTGCTCGGGTTCACGGCAATCGTAAAGCCAGGACTAGATTGCGACTTGGTCTCGCCTGTGCTAGGGTCGACAACGACGGTGTTCGGGGTGGCATATTGGGTAGAGCTCGAAATGGGCGAGCCAGAGTAGTCGACGACCTGAACTATAGAAATCGTTTGGACGACCTGGGTGACGTAGGACGTGGCATCGTCAGCGCGGGCGGCGAGAGCGGCGTCCACGGCGGCGGCGGGTGAACGAGCTTCCAGCGACCGAGAATCGCTGGATACCCGGTCGTCTAAATCAGACTGGGCGACGATGGACTCTGTCGCTGGGGATGCGGCGCTATGCGAATGAGACTGCTGGTGATGCTGGTTGCCGTGGTTGTTGTCGTCGCTGGTGTCGCGATGGCGGATATGGTCATGCGTGTGCGGATAGTGAGTGTGGCGATGGGCCTGTAAGTGGATGGCAGAAGGAGTGTGAGAATCCGAGGCGGAAGATGGCAAAGAATCGACAGAATGGGAATCACGGGCCTGAAGGAGTGAAGGCCCATGACGATGGTTAGTCATGGCGGTGACTCGTCAAGGCGGCGCAGCGGTGAGCAGGTGATCGTATTCCTGGCTACGGGGGCTCTTGGCTGACGACGGAGTGTTTCTATTTTTCGACGCGCGCCAGGGGCATCATTGTCTAAACAGGGCGGAGTCTTGACGTCGACGTACTGCAGCTCTGCTGGATCAACAAGACTCTGCGACTAGCTGCGCAGTCTGCCTTGGAAGTCGAGAGGAAGAAAAGGGCGAGTCAAAGGCTTGCGTAGCCCAAAGATATTTTTTCCGTCCTGTAATGCGATGAATTTGCGGCCGAGTCGTGCGTTAAGGATTTTGCGTTGGAGCGGATCGCTTGGCTGGACAAGGAAAACGGTATCGAAAAGAATGAAGAGAAAACAAACGAGCGAATGGCGACGAGAACGGCGAATGGCTAGCAGTCTACCAACGTCAATGTCATAAACATGACGAGCGAACCAAGACGCAACAGGTCGAGATGAGGCTAGAGAAGAAGGAAAAGAAGAGAGAAGCAGAGGGACCAGCAAGAAAGGGTAGGGTATCTAAAATGAGCGCAGAAGGGCGAATCTGGGCGGCTGCAAGGTACCTGGGGGAAGCATTCGTAGGGGCTTGATATGGCGCCGAGTGGTACCTGACAGTGGACTTAGTTTGCCAGCACAGGCCACGACGTATTTTGGCTGCTAATTTTTTTCTTCCTCTTCTGGTCAAATGGACCGTATGTCTTGCATTCTCTTTGTTCTGGCTGGGCTGAGGATTGGCTCGCATCGTCTGTTTGTCGTGTTGGGTGCTTTGGAGCGAGGCTCTTGCTGGGGAATGTTGTGCCTTCAATTCCCTCATTTCCTGGAGCCCCATCGACGGCCGCAAAAAGCCCCGTTCGGCCCACTCACACCCGCGACCATTTTAATCTATTAACATGAGCAGAGGAGAAGATGCAGGGGTTGTGGCCAATGAAAGACGGCCGGGGCTAACAATGACGGGCCAAAGTAGCCTAGCGTTAAACGCCAAGCCAAAAATACGGGAAGCCGGCCGCCAGAAAAAGTGCATCTTTCTTCTAAATATCCGTCGTGGCCACGACCACTGGCATAAACAATGGGCTGGCTTTATTAGGTTCTAGGCCTCTCTCACTCTACAGCGTCTTCGTTTTAGCAGTCGTAGCCACCTGTCACCCAACCAATCAACCCACTTAACAATCTGCATAATTGTGCTTCTGAAACACTTTGCCGTGCACTTTTCAAGCATTTACCATTCTCTTGCTTTGCTTTGACTCCCGCATGCTCTCATCTGCTGCAAACCTACAACGTGCCCAGAGATCTACACCATAAACGGTTCGTTTCTAAACGGGAATCTGCAGTCCTAATTGCCGCCACTGTCCAAGCGGCAGTGAAACGACCTCTCTGCATCTGCTATTTTGTTCCCCCCTTCCAATTTTGTTCGTATTTTCTTTCGCAGCTCGTGCAAGCAGGCATGTTACTGAAAACTGGTACATGTCCGCCAATAAATTGGAACGCCACGCGTACCATTTTTAACGAGTTACACGCGGGTCCTTTTACATATCACGGCTGGCTCAATACCCGTCCTGTCGTCCGACTAATAAATTTGATTTGCTTCCCATTCCCCTCTGTCTCTCCCTGGAGCCGGATCACTCAGCGGCAGCCTTGCCCTACTTCATTGATGCTCGTCAGTCTGGAGCTGGCCAAGCCGCTAGCATCCGGAACCACATTCCATGTTGCCACGACTCTCACCACGCGCCAACCATGCCATGCTTTCAGTTGTTTCTAAAGAGTACGCGTGCTTGCGAATGTGCCTGCAAATTTCTGTAATAAAGCACTCTTGTGGATGCGGACCTCCCTGGCGCATCTTCCAGCAAGCTGACTGGCTAGCCAGTCCCCAGCAGATGAAAGCTAACCCTACCAAACCATCAAGCCCACCAACTTGTCCCTTGAATTTGCGACCTCATATATCCGATTCGTATTGCGGCATAATCTTTTGATATTACTCCCTTTTCTCATGTTGCTTTATTGATCGACCCTTAACAATCTCAAACGGGGCGTCATAGCCTCGATACACATGCAAGTTACCTCTGTAGTTTATGTGATCTTGCATAATTCATAATTCATAATTCAATCTGGTTTGCTCAAACGTGGGCAACTTTATTGACAGCTGCCAGCTGGCAGTTGCCAGCTGTCACCTCCCTCTGTTTTATGCCTGAGCCACAGCAAAGCTCCTTGTTTGCCTCAATGTGGTGGTAGGCAGCTGCGCCAGCTTCGTCTGTTAGCCAGATGCGCTGGCCGCCCCCCATTGCTCTATCAGCTTACCACTTGCTCAGCCACTCTCTCGCCGCCTCAGCCCAACGTACACGTCACCTCATTGCAGGGAAACCGACGAGATGCAGCAGCTTTCTTACTTGTCCATCGTTCAAGTCTTTTAGGATACGAAGCATCCTCCTTGGCTTCCGATCTTATCTTTTCTCCATCGCAAACACTGCCACTGCCAATATTAAATCGCGGGTCGGCCTGAGACGCAGACCCTGCGGGGGCACCTCGATTCTAGCGCCATTCGCAAACCAACTGCCCGCCTACCCTTGGCTGCGCCCAACGTCATCCCTCGACATCCCGGCCAGCAATATGCCTATGGCGATGGCAACATTCCCCGTCATGTCTCAATAGCACTGCGATCTTAATCCCCTGTCCTAGTTGCTGGCAGCTTCGATAACGCCTCGCGCAACATGGCGTTCCCTCCTCCCTTGCCGCCTCGACTACAATCTGCGCAGTCCGCATCTCTAACATTTCCTCCCGATCATCAAGATGGTGACCTGCTGATGCCTACTTCTGTTGGTCTTGGATATTCCACCAAACTGCATGCTTCAGACCCTAGGACTTCGTCGGCTCAGTCGCTGAGAGCACCGGCAAAAGAGTCTGATACTAGGCGCTCGCTACTCATCATATACATTCACGGCTTCTACGGCAATGACCAGTCCTTTAGATCCTTCCCAGCGCATGTACATGCTACCCTCACTGAGCTCCTCTCTGAAACGCATATTGTCCATTCCAAAATATACCCCCGCTATAAGACCTACAGAGCTATTCATGTTGCAAGGGACAATTTCAGTGTCTGGCTCGAGCCACACGAGTCTCCCACTACCGATGTCATTCTCGTTGGTCACTCCATGGGAGGCTTGCTAGCTGCTGAGGTCGCTCTAATGGTAGAATTATTCTTCTAACAGCACTTTGCTTTGGGCACGAGCTAATTTGTGTTATCAGCCTAACCACGATCCATATCTTCATCAACCTTTCAAACATCGAATACTGGGCACATTGTCTCTGGATTCACCATTTTTAGGTTTGCACCCCGGAATAGTTGTATCTGGCCTATCAAGCTTGTTCCAGCCCGCACCAAAGTCTGACAAGGGGATTGGAGAATCCTCTTCTCAGTCCTCGCTCGCCGAGAACCTTTCCGCAAGCGACTTGTCGCTCCCAGTATCCGATACTGCATTCAACGTCTCTACAAAGTCATCTCTATCAGCACAGACAAATGAGTTATATGACCCTCCCTTTTTCAATGACGTTCCCTTTAGAGAAAAACCACTCTTGTCAAGACTGCGACATTTTGCTTCCAAACACAAGGCTCAAGGCATATTCAACGCTATTGGCAATCACATTATTTCTCATCTAGAGTTTGGTGGTTGTATGGCTGATTATCCAGAACTTGTTGCACGTTACAAACGAATACGAGCTCTAGAGGATGTTGATGAGCTCAAAGCAATCTCTCAAGGCCATCCAGCCGCAGCGCACAGACGTGTTCGGTTTGTCAACTACTACACGCTATCGCCAGGCCGTCCCAAGCCATCTCCGCAGATAGATGCAGTGGCGGGCGTTGAACCGTCACTATTGACGCTGGCTCTGAACGAACCAGGAGCGGGCAGCAAGGAACTCACTGGATCCGAGACAGACGCCGCCTCACACCCTAGCTTTCGTGCTGAAGAGATACCAATATTGGACATTGAACACGCTGATGGTGGCTGTGATGAAGAAGACCTTTATGAGGCGAAAGGTGCCGAACCACAAGCAGGCGAAAAACCAACTGCTTCAAAGTCATTGCCCGAGAGTGAGTCAGAAGAGGAACCCGTTTCCGAAACCGAAAGCCACAAATCCCTGCTGCACCTTGACCCTGTCCCGATGCTCGACGAGAAGGAAGAAACTGCAGAAACTGCAGAAACTGCAGTGCCATCCTCTGAGGCTGCTATACCCGCCTGCCCGGAACCGCGGCCAGACTTGTCAGACTTGGACTTGACACCCATCCCACCCGCGCCTGAAGAGCCGACGTATCCCGACCTGACCAAGTACACCGACAAGGACGCCCGCAAGCAAGCGGAAAAGGAAGCCAGGCGGGAGCAAAAGGCCTACCAACAGGCCGTCAAGAACCGCAATAGAGCCCTCCGTGAACGAGAAAAACTTGTCGAAAAGCGCCGCAAAAAGTCTGAAAAGGAAGCCCAGCGGCTCGAGAAGCAATCACTTCGGGAACTGCAACGACGGAGAGATGAAACAAAAGCCGAGGCGGAAACAGCGGCCGGTCTGACCATGGAAGAGTCCATAACCGCTGCTGCGACAACGACGACGACGACGACGACGACGGACCAGGATGCGCAGCACCAGCCACCGTCAAAAGAGCAGCAGCCCAGGAAACTGCGCAAATTTTGCGCGCTGCCCAGCAAGATCAACGGGCGGCCGGACCCGACGTGGGTGGACGTCTACATGGCCGACGTGGACGAAGTCGGTGCGCACTGCGGTCTGTTTGCGCCGGGCGCGCACTACGATACGCTCGTGGGCGACGTGGGCAACCGTGTCATGGCGTGGGTGCACGAAGACTTGTCAACGAGGGCGGCCATGGCTATGCAATAGAGTGGTATTTCTACTCAATAGCCTTTGATTCCAAGACTTGTAAGCTCATTTGTAATCTGTGTACACGTTGTACGTGCTATGTAACAGGGACATCTCGGTCATGTATACAAGTCAGAAGAATGGCAAACTTAAAAACAAAAGACGATCCGATATGCTTCCCACTCTTCTTGTTTTCCCAGGATTGTATGCTCCGGCTCCCAATGCTATGCGTCAATGAACAAATGAATAAATCAACACAATGCCCATATACTTGCCCTATATTTACGCTCCTAGTAAAGGTCAAGCTCTCGCAACTTGGTTGCGAGGCTCTTCTTCTCCCCAGAGACAGAGGCGATGCCCTTGAGGGTGGCCTCGCCTTCCTCCTCATTCTTGGACTCCTTCATGATAAACTCTGTCGAGCCAAAGCAGACGACACCCAAGCGCACGAGTGGCTGTTCCAGCTGCCAGTCCTTTGGTGCGCAGAGGAGCGCGGCAACGGGGCCCTCGGTTGGGCTGGTCAGCGTCTTTGTTTCCGGGCTGGTATCAGCAGGACGCCAGTTTCTGCCCGTGAGAAGCATGGCGGTGACTGTAAGATCCGCATCTGGGATAATTGCGGGTGTACTGTGGTCTGCATTGGCGGGTACATGAGAGGAGCGGACGAGTAGCAGGATGTTATCTCGTACTGCCCGGTCAAATACATCAACAGGCTCAGCAATCTGCCACTCGCCCTCCTTCTTGGTAACCTTGATATCAAAGCAAAAGGTCTTGATACGTAAAAAGGTAATGGGCTCCGCACGACGTGAAATAGCAACCCCGTCAATCTCCCACGAGACCAGCAGGCCATCCGCGAAGCCCACAGATATCTCTGTGCGAGGCGGCGCGCCTAAGCCATCGACAACAGGTAGGGGCTGGCCACTTGTTTGGGGTATACAAAACGAACGCCCACCGTGCGAAATAGATTGACCCCGTCTGATGCGCCAGGATAGCCAGGTCCAAGACGGGAAGTTTGCTGTTTTATCAAGATAGCATGGCTCTAGATCGCTGTCTGCCTCTTGACTTGACGAAACGATTCGACCGGACCACATCCAGCTCATCGCGATAGCCAGGCGGTCGGTTTGGCTAACCACCTTGACATTGGTGAAAGAATCAGGGTCAAAAAGCGGCAGCCCCATGAACGTATCAACGCGAGCTTGGTCTTTGGTCGCAAACGCTCGCGACAGTCCACGAAACGCATCCAGGCGATCCTGCGACCTGGAAATTTCACGAGTCATGTATGTACCTATAAGATTTCGGATATCGACACTGCCAATGCCGTCCAAGGGAAAGATGCGACCTAGTGTAAAGCTTGGAGCAAGGCGCAATGGTACACTAATACTCTCGTGGCAGTGAAGAGCTCCGCACTGAAAGTAAGCCTGGGAGGAGGTGAGGATGAGGCGTCGTCGTGCAAGGAGGCCTTCCTGGAGCGTCCAGGCATTGTTTGCCCACAGCGAAGCAGCAACTTCGACATCGGGACGCAACAGTGAAGTCGTGAATAGGCCACTCTCGTTGTGAAGAGAAAGCTGGTCTTGGTCACGAGGAACGCTTACGCCAGGGATGCCATGAGCAATGCTGTCACCAGCTGCCACGATTAGTGTCAAGACGGAACGTGCAAACACTTCCCCGACCAAGTCGAGTTGCTGCCTTCTCTCCAGCTTATTTACCCGTGAAGGTAGACAATAGTGATCGATCCATAGATACCGATAGCCCAGTGAGTGGGTTAGCGAAAGTGAGTCTTCGAATGTTGCTGGCAGAGTTTTCGGCAATTGTGTAGACTCGATAAAAGGCTCCAGCTCGTAATCTCCTAGTGCATAGCTTAGGGTGACGTATTCATAATTTTGGCCCTCGAGATCTGCCGCCAAAACGACCTTGTGGCTCTCAACGTCAATGAGTTTCAGATTGATCTTGCCTGGAGAGGCTAGCTTGGCAGCACAGCGTTCGTCAGTGTGATAGTCTTTGCAGTAGTCGATCCAGCAGCGCGGCAAAGCTGTATCGAGAAGCGCAGTCACAGAGCGGCCTCGCAATGAGTTGGGTGGTAGCTGCTGGAGCGAAGGCTGACTGGATTGTGTCCCTGTCTCACTCACGCTGTCTCCCCGAGAAGACTCCAGGTATCCGTCGAGGCCAGTCTCATTATGTAATGCGGGAAGGATGTAGCCACGAGGAAGTGACTTGGATTTTGTCGTCACTTCAAACAGGACTGTCCTGCCGAGCTCATGTTTTTGGCTGATACCGAGTCGCTCAAACGCGTGCCTGATGCGAAAGTACGGCGTAAAAGTACTAGTGGCGGATGATTGACGCGCCTCCATGTCTGTTCCGTTCAAGGACTGGGCAGTGATTGGGGTGTCTGCCCCTTCACCGCCAGCGCTAGATATGTGGCCGATCATGGCTTGGAAGAAGGTACAGTAGGGGCAGTTGGTCTCATCCTTGAGGGTGTGAGCGAGCGATACCCATGGTCTCGCCTCACCTGGCTTCCAATCAAACAATTTCGGGAATCCAATTGCTGCACAAGTCTCACATATGAGCTGGGCATGGTCAGTCGCGGTCTCTGCATTCGCAGCACCAGCAACAGCCAGCTCAATGCCTGACACCACCGGCACATGTCCGTTTTCCTTGTCGTTGGCATGGCCATTTCCAGCATTCAGATCCTTTCCACTTCCATTCTCCCCATTCGCACCATTTGCCGCGTCTGACGGTACCCCAACGAAAATGCGACTGGCGCCGGTCCTTGTTGGCTTCTTGGTCGGGATGCCTCTGCGCAGAGTAAGCTGATGGTGGTCGCGCGCACTCTCCAGTCCCGGACCAGCCATGCCCTTTTGCTTGCCATGACCGTTTTCACCACGGCCCTGCAGGCGCCGGGGAAAGATTTTGGTAAACTTTTTCATATATCGGGCAGTGTCGCGGAGTGGGTTATTAGGACCTCCCACACCCCTTGTCGCTCTTTTTTATGCTCACTCGCACCGCGTCGTAATATGGCAGGTCCCCTTTCTGCGCTGCACTATTCCGCACTGTCGCCGATGAGTTCTTTCAAAGAAAGGGATGTGCTGTCCCTCGTCATGAGTCAGACTGCATACGCCGGTGTCATTTTTGTAGATTTATTTTCTTATTTTCCGGCGCACCCGTAGAGCGTTATGAGTTGTAGGACGCAAAAGGCGTTATGTTGAGGAAAGGAAAAAAACAGAGCTCGAGTGAGTGAGTGGGTGACGTCTGGGCGGCACAGATAATCAGTACAAAAGGACACCAAGAGGTACACCAAGTACACTAGCAAAGTGCTGAATGTGCCTTGTACTCCTTTTTAGCCTTCTTTCCCCACGGAAGGAGCTACACAGTGGTCCCTGAAAAGCTGTCAGGCGGCAGGAGCGCGGTTTTGAGCAACAGTGTAACTGTAATTGTTTAGTGCTATGTCAATTAGTCGATTGTTTCGTTGTCAGAGGTAGATGCCGATGCGCAGGGACTTGATGGAGCTGATTCGGAAAGATATTGACGTCTCGGCAATGTTAATCAGAATCAGGTCAGGGTCCCAGAGTGCACACAGTAACGTAACTGTCAGTCTGTCACTACTCACTATTTACTCAGGGATTGCCCATTCTAACAACCGTTACTTTCCCCACCCTTCACTCGGTCGCGCGCTCTTTTACGCCTAGAGCGGCCGAGGAATCAGTTGGCGGATTTGGCAGCAGGTCCAGCTACTGGTGCTTTTTCTATGGTCAGAGTAACTATGACCAGTCGATGGTTCGCGGCGGTGGTGTGCATCGCCGTCGCTTTCAAGATCCCTCTTTGCCGGCGCTGGCTCAACACGTCGTCAAAGGCTAATGCACCTTGTCAAGCCACCCACCCCTTGACATCAAGCTTACTACCATGTTAGCTGGCCAGTTTGTCAATATCAAGACGCTCCTGAGGCAAACAAGCCGAGGCATCCGCGCCATCCGAAGTTTGCCATGGCAGTATTCTGTCAGTAGTGGAGAGGGCAAGGCACCTCGGTAGCTTATAAATTCGGAACAACGTGCACATCCATGTCCAAGCAATGACTTTACGCATGTAATTGACGCCGAAATGTTTGCTACAGTTTCTTAGATCCTGCAAGGCGAAAAAAAAAGGGCGACACGGGTGACAAAGTGTCTCTAGAACATGTTGCTTATACAAGAGCCAAGGTATTGTCGTCTCTGATGACGCCCACAACGCCGAGCCTTGCCTCGCCTCCAGAAACACAGGGCCCCTTGACACAAATCTGTACGCATTATAGTTAGTAAATCTCGAGCTTCTTGTCCATAGCATAGAGAGGTAAATAAGACTCACTTCGCCTTCGGCACGCTCGTCTGTCGTCTTATGGCTGCCAGAATCCTTGAGAATTACCTCGATGCTGCTCGTCGGCGAGCCAAAGTGTCCCTTGTCATCGCCGAGCTCGGCGCGGTAATCATAGAAGGCCGTCTGCGCCACCGCTCCCGCGACCTTGGCTGCCGCAAGCGCATACACGATCCTGGCGCCTGTCAAGATGCGCAGATCCGTCAGCTCACTTGGTGACAGACCAGGCGACTGCTGGCTGCCCGCGCGATGAGCCGTATAAATCAAGCGCAGCTGACCTGGCGTAGTACCGAGAGCAGGCTTGGCAGCTGCCGCAAACGCCGACAGTGCGTTCGCCGTAACCATGATGCCCTCGTTGACGAGTTTGCGCTTCGAGAGCGAGTGCGCCAGTGTACCCAGCGGCGAGGGAAGCTTGGCCATGGCGCGCGAGTGCGTCTGCAAGAGGACTGCGGGATCTGCAACGATGACGGTTGGCGCGATGCCCTGCGTGGCTACCATCAAGTCGGCGGCCCGCGACCCAGCAGCCGAGTTGACCGCAACAGAGGCGTTTGAGTACAGAGCAGACAGGGTGAGAATCAGTGTGTTGATGTTGGTCAGAGCGTCGGCGGGAAGGAAAAGGTCAGCGTTGGTGAGACGCGCCTTGGTCGGGATGGCGGCAAGTTGACCCGCCACGCCGGCCACGAGGTTGGCCTGCGTGAAGCGCACCATCTCCTGCTGCTGGGCACCAGGCTTGCCGCTCTGCCAGAAAGTGACAACGTCACCTACAGCGGGTTCGGCGTCTGTGTCCTCGGCAACAGCCTGCAGCTCACGGCCCGCGCCGGCGGGGGCATCGCGCACAATATCTTGCCAGGTGGCGACGCTGACACTGCCACCGATGCCCTCGGGGACCTCGTTCCAGTCCATGTGCGCGCTGCCTTGGTCCACGACCCAGATGAGCTGGCGCAGACCCTTGTACGCCTTGACGACGGCGTCAAGGGGGAACTCGCCGGTCGCGGTAATGACGGTGTCGACAGCAGAGCGGCGCAGCATGGACACGAGCTGGCCCTCTGGCACGTCAAAGGGGATCAGCACCGCCGTAAGGTTCTTGCTGTAAGCACAGGCAAACAGGGCGGCGAGCAGCTCAATCGAGTTGGGAAGGTAAATGGCGACGCGGATGCCGCCCTGCTCGGTAATTTGCTGGCCGATGAGGTTGATCTGTCTAGTAATGTCCTCTATCTCGCAAGTCAGCAGCCAGACTTCATCGAGTGACCACACCACTTCATCGTCTCAACGTGGTTGTGGCGTCTTACCAAGACTGTGCTCCTCAACATTTTGTGAGCCGTGCACCGTCAAGAGCTTTCCCTTGGCGCCCGCATCGCCGCCCTGGACAACTTTGCGCCAGACGTCGCGAAGGTCGCCATCGCGGCCGCGCGACCATTTCGAGGCGCCCGCCGGCTTGACGTTGAGACCTGCATTCAGGGGCATACCGTGTGGTGCCAACGGCGAGCGGTACACGGCGCTTTCTCCCTCGTTGCGCACCGTCGAAGCCGTAGACTGGCGGGCCAGCAGGATTGGATGCACGTCAGGGTCGCTGGCGTGCAAAATGCGATATCCAAGAATGACCACGAGCACCGTCACCAGGCTTGTCGAGTAGCCATTCCACTGACCAAAGAGGCCGGTAAGCCCGGCATCGAGCGTCTCAAGGACGTTGCCCATCCTAATTCGTCGGTTCCGTGTGTGCGTCTCGTCAGATGCTCGCGGCAGATGTAGATATCGATCGCTAATTAGTTTATCCAAGATGCAGCAGTAGTTGTGCGCCGATTGTCACCATCTGTTTCTAGCTAGGACGAGGTTTATTGATTGAGAGGGGGAAAGGATACAAGACACGGTTCAGCTGCAAAAGAGGCGCACAGCCAAACAGCTTACCTACAGGTAGCTCCGGCTCCGCTGCGGTGGGTTTCAAGTACCTAGGTATTGCTAACGCGGGGAAGGAGGCCCAATCCTTCCACTCAAAGTCATCGATAGACCATGCAAGTTGCCTCAAAAAAATGCATAATCATTGCCGGCAACTAGATGCATTTTGTAGTTCCGGGTGCTCAAATTCAAGGCAGTGGTGCAGGACCTGAGGTCTAAAACGCTGCTTCTCAACGCCCTCGCCATGGCCATCACCAACCCATGACATCACCACTATCATTCGTTAGAGCTTGTTTGCAAGTACAAAACATTTCATTTTTTTTTAACCCTGGACTGCTCAGTCCACTCTGGTTGTCTGTCTATCACGGGAGTACAGCCCATGTACAAAGTCTCGTTTGTGGCCTCATCTATCAAAAAGCCTCTACCTTGGCAATCCTTCTACTTTTTCTCTCAACCAAGTCAAAACCTTTCACAAGTACCCGTGTCGTCGCGACTGTCGAAGAGTAATAAAACATATATTACCATGCCATCCCTACCGAGGTAGATTCATCGAAACTTTTGTTGTCGAGATGCACTCTCTCTCAATGCTCTTCGAATTTGAAACACAGAAAACCAATATGTTGACCGCTCCAGTCTAATGCTCATCGCTCTAAAAAAAGTGAAAATCCTTTTCCACAGACATCCTTTCTTGTGCCGTGGTTGAGCGTCAAGCACATACCGACCGGAGAACCGAGTAATCCACTTTTGTCTATAAAGCACGACGAGAACATGACCTCTCGTAATGGAGGAAATCAAAAACCATGATTCCTCGAGGGGGATTTCCCAGCGTAGAAAGCAAAATAAGCAAATCGTAGTGCCGTCAAATGAATCCAGTCTCTCAATGCAGATTCTGTCGCACCACGCTTTGCCAGCGTGTCCTTGTTCAAGTTCCTCACGTCTCGGTCTATGGGTATCAAGCGACGAGGAAGTTGAAATCAAACAAATGCCGTCTATCACACGCGTCGTAAAATGCCCCGGGGCTGTAACCCGAGCGCTATGCAGGAGTGAAACACCGTCACCCTAAAAAAGCGCAGGTCATGATGCCGCCGTGTCGCCGAAATATCAATGCAATAGCGTCCGAAGGGTCGTAAAAGTAAAACAATTCGCGTAAAAATCAACAGAAAGAAAAAGTCAATGTACTGTAGCATTGGCGAGCAAACAGTCGCGGCAAGCAATTGATCGGGGGGGTTCTGTCCACCAATGAAGTTGAAGAGCCTCCCTGGCTGCGACTATCATCCTCGTAGAAATGATAGCCCGCAATCGTTGACAAGATGAATTACCACCAGGACTGGTTGCCGGGGCCACTGGGGTTGCCATAGCCGCCGCCACCGTAGCCACCACCGCCGCCGCCGTAGCTGTTGCCACCACCACCAAAGCCGCCGCCGCCATTGTAGGCACCCGGGCCACCGCCGAAGCTGCCGCCACCCTGGCCGCCTCCGAAACCGCCGCCGCCAAGCTTGCGGTAATCGCGGTTAGCAGCACCACGGCCACCACCACCGCCGCCACGGGAGCGACCACGGCCACCTCCACCAAAGGAAGACTCGCGGGCAATAGCCTCGAGGAATGAGGGAACTTCCTGGTTGGCCTCCTTGAGAAGCTCCATGAGCTCACGGACAACGCCGCGGTTGCCACGGTTGAAGAAGGCAGTGGCGATACCAGTGTTACCAGCACGACCGGTACGACCGATACGGTGAACGTAGTCGTCAATATCGGTAGGCAGGTCGTAATTGATGACGTGAGTGACGTTGGGAATATCGAGACCACGAGCAGCGACAGCAGTGGCCACCATGATGGGGCAGCGGCCATTGCGGAAGAACTCAAGGGCACGCTCACGCTCACGCTGGGTGCGGTCGCCGTGAATGGACGTAGCAGGGAAGCTCTGGTTCATCAGGAATTCGGAGAGCGAATCGGCCATACGCTTGGTCTCAACGAAGATGAGTGTGAGACCACCGGCATGGCTGTGGAGAATGTCGAGCAAGACGGAGCGCTTGTCGACATCCTCGACGTACTCAACCTTTTGAGTGATATTCTCGGAGGTGGAACCAACGCGACCAACGGAAAGGAAGACGTAGTCCTTGAGGAAATCACGAGCGAGCATCTGAATGTCGCGAGGGAAGGTGGCCGAAAACATGAGAGTTTGGCGATCAGCGACAGCGGGCATGTCTTCACCTTCGACAATGCGACGAATCTGGGGCTCAAAACCCATGTCGAGCATGCGATCGGCCTCATCGAGAACAAGATACTTAATGTTGCACAGAGAGATGCGACCACGCTCAATGAGGTCGACAAGGCGACCAGGAGTGGCAACGAGCAGATCGCAGCCACGCTCAATCTGGCGGAGTTGAGAGCCAATATCGGCACCACCGTAAACAACGCAGGGACGGACCCAAGAGCGATAGGCAAACTTGCGAGACTCATCGTAGATCTGGGAAACCAGTTCACGGGTGGGAGCCAGAATGAGAGCGGTAGGGTAAGCCTTGCGCTGGCGACCGAACTGGCCAGCAGCATTTCCGGGGACGGGAGAGGGTCCGTTCTTGAAAGACTGAGCGAGGATGGGGAAAAGGAAACCACCCGTCTTGCCGGAACCAGTCTGGGCACAGGCCATCAGATCGCGACCACCCATAACAATGGGAATAGAGTACTTCTGAACAGGGGTGGGAATCTGGTAGCGGGCAAGCTCGATGTTTTGGCACAGATGTTCGTCCAAGGGGGGGCAGGTGAACTGGTGAACAGGCTCCGGGACATCATGGCCGGAGGCCTCGACAGGGATATCATCATACTTTTGGAAGTTGATACCAGTGTGCTGCTTCGAAGGATCATCGGCAGTGCCGAAAAGCTCACGCTCAACGCGAGGGTTTGAAGGACCGGGAACGTGTTTGCCATCGCGCCACTGGCCATCACCAGAGCCGCGGGTAGCATAACCACCACCACCAGCACCGTGACCACCATCATGGCCACCGCCGCCAGAGTAACCACCACGGCCTCCCCAGCCGCCACGTCGGTTGTTACCCTGGTAGCCGCCTTCGCCGCCGTTTCTACCTCCGCCATAGCCACCCTGATTTCTGTCACGAGTTAGTAAGAGAATTATGAAATGAATGGTTGTGAGAATTTAACATACCCAGACCAGGAGCCACCACCATTGGTGGCAGCATGAGCAGCAGCGGGAGTGGGAGCGGCGGCAGCGGGAGCAGCAGCTGGAGCAGCAACGGGAATAGGGCCGTTTGCCATCATAGGAGGAGGGCCAGCGCTGGCACCACCACGACCGCGCAAATGAGGAGGAATGTACGAGCGCTGCTGAGCAGCAGTCTGCTGACCATCACCGATGTTGAGGCCGTTCATGTTGAGTTGGTCCGCCATGTTCACGTTGGTTTCGAGAAGCTTTAGCGGTTCAGTTCGGGTTTTGAAGATGATGTCGAATGAGAATCGGTCGTTTGGAACAAAGAGATTCGTAATACCTGTGCCGAACAGAAGAGACAGGTGGATGTACAAAGAAGTCGGAGGGGGAGAAAACGGAAGTCGTGTCGCTCCGTAGGTATCCCGCGTAAAAATTAATCAAGAGGGCACTCGCAAAACAAGTACCAACTGCTTTCCTCAAAAGAAACACAATATCTTCAAAGGAGAGACCAAAGAGAAACGGAGAGTGTGTTGAGGAAGAAAATGACAAGGATGAGAGGAGAGATAATGTTTTTGGGGGGGTTGAAGGGGTTTGGGTTTTGTGTGAGAAGAAAAGGGACAAGCAGTCAAGTCATGGAGGCGAAAAGAAATGGGCCTGGGGAGGAAAAAAAAATCTTTGGGCCAAGCGCCACCAAAAGGGGGTTAGCGCGGCAGCAAAGAGGCAAGCAGCCTGCAGGAGACAACGAGGCAGCAGGTACTTGGAAATTTGCCTGGCAAAAAAATGGCAAAACTATTTTAGTGGGGCCAGCCAGCCAGGTATTCGGCTGGTCCGGTGAGTCAGCCGGCTATGTGGTTGGTTGGCTTATGATGTCAAAGCTGACAACTGAATGAGAGGTGACTGAATAATGCAGTTGATGTGGTTGGGGCCGTTCTTTGACTGGTTGAATAAGCAGTGCAGCACAGAGATGACGACAAGAAAGAGGATGGGAAAAAAATCCAAGGAATACAGAGTCTAGCTACATGCGATACCCACGGTTCACCGCCTCCCACTATTAAGCAGAGTTCTTGACCAATCCTACGATTTATTATCCGCTTCTAATTTTAGCGTGACTGGTGTGTAATTATGGTGCGCCCCAGATTCCAAAGTATCAACCCGCGCTCACCGAGGTCAAGTACCCTACAAACACGATACTGTTTCACATGTTGATGGCTACAGCGCGAACCGAGTGGCAAGGCGGTGCGTGAACAGACTTCCTTGGACGGGATTATCTCCTCTATGCGATCAGAACTATTACATTAGGCGAGGAGCTGCGAACGACTACGTTATGCGCCGCCGCATTGCCGTACAGTTGAAAAAACTACGGGCTTGTCGATATCAGACTCGATCATATTTATATTGGCGCCTCGACGAACCACGAAAAAAGGACATATTATCCCAGATTTCTGCGAATACATAACAGTGACTATAAATAGTTATGGCGCCATCTAGCTTCAGGTGTAGAATGTTCATCTTTGCCAATCCTCGTCAACAAGCTTGGCCAACTGATGCGAGCTCTGTCGCACAAAAAAAAAAAAAAGCTCCGAATCATCCCCACAAGGACATTGTAAGACATCCAGCGTCTTGGCTGTGCGCCCTCACTCAGATGAGGAGAAGTTGGTTGCCGCACTCCGGGCGGAAATAAAGTGCATCCGAGGCTGAATATCTGCAAGGTCAGCAGGCCAGGCTGCTTCACGTATAAGAACCCCCACGCTCGTCACCTGTACTACATAGTCTACCTAGCATGGCCGAGTTCATTCCGGTACTGCAACCCATCAAGTCGCTGGCGCGTCATTTGACCGTAGATCGAGATTGTGGTGTCATTGGGCATGCTCATATCTGATTGCACATCATGCCAAGCCGATTAGCTGCGACCCGTGTGCCGCAAACCCAGAGCGTACTCAGAGTCAGGTTACTGAAGTTGAGATGTGTGCATCACTTGGCTGTCGAACAGGTATAGCTACTTTGACGTACATTTCCACCCACAGCATACTGCAGCTGCCTGACACCAAACGCTGCCTCGACCTCGACGAAGCCGAAAGAGTGAGGAGTGTGAGGCCTGTCCTACAACTGGCTCGCAAAACGACACCAAGAAAAAAACATTTTGATGAGGAAAAAATCCCAGAGAGCGGATCTTGGTTATGGTATTGCTCAGCAAAGCTGTACCTTCCCTACACAGGATTAATGCTTCGAAGTTGCTATACGGAGGGTTGGACTCTTGTACAATGTGTGGAGACTCGCAAAGTTGCACCCATTACAAATATTGAGGTCAGATGGTTCAACGTTGCGGCCGCGCAGGCGTGATTGAATGAGACTTTCACTCTGCGCGAGGAACACCGGCCTTGATCTGACTTCAAGATGACGAGACTAGCAAATGCAGTTTTTTGGACCTCGTATCTCCGTAGTCAACGGATTATCTGGGATGTTCTCAGACAGGAACTTTAGTTACGTTGCATAGCTAGAGTGTTTCTCTCTTTCGGAGGACTGACTGCAACGCAGAGGTGACTACGAATCTCAACTACAATCTCCAAACTAATCTTCTTCGAGGTTACTATACTGTCCTGCGTTTCTGATGCTTATCATTTCGAAAGAATGACTGCCTAGTTTTTTCAAGTATCGCGATCCGCCATCCTCTAGCGCCGCTCATTGCCGTCGAGACGAAACTTCACCAACTCTTGCATATGCAGTCGTCTTGCAGATAGAACTGGGACATGCAACGATAAGTGTTCGTTCTTTGGTTCCAGTATCGCTAATCAGCTTTGGTGTTTCATTCCACGATGAGCGTTAGCGACTCGTTTCATGCAAGCCAGTGCAAACGATGACCCCTAGCGCGACCCGGGATCAGGCCTTCCGCGCGCTAGCAGATGAAGCAGACACGCGAGCCCCTGATGTAGCTGCGCCGCAAACTCATTCATTATCTCACTCATCCTTATGAACTGATGGTATGTGCGTCTTGATAGGACGTTCTGGAGCGGACGAGAGTCATCGCGGGCATTGATTCTTGGCAGATTTCTGTGAATCGAGACGTGCATCGTGCAGCGGACAAGCCAACATGCTTTGTTCAAACCGCGCTGAAGGCTTCGTAAGTGAGATTGCTTGTGCCGAGCCGTCCCTGCGGGAAAAAGAACCCCTGTCCACTGACTGATTGTTACAGAGCAATCAATCGTCGCTGTCCTCGCCTATTCCTACATCATGTTTTGTTGATGTCATTCTAGTTCCGCTGCCCATCTGGGTCGCTCTCGTCGCCCTCGTGGCACTGTTACTGATTCCAAAGCACCTCATCGCCAGAAGTCGGGCAGCCGAGTCTCTCAAAACCAAACCAGCATTATGGCTCTATCGAGTCGTTTCTGGCATCTACTACGCCCTCATTATTTGCAACATGTTGATGCACACGCTAGAAATTGTGAGGCTGGCCTTGATTCACTTTGGAATTGGGCTTCTCCCATTTGCTTATGTCGGCCTACTTCTGGGCGCTGCTCTGCACTCGTCCAGAGGCGCGGCAGGCCAGATCCCCGCGTGGCTGCTCGTCAACATGGTGGTGTGGCTCGGAGGCATGGTCATGTCCGTCGTGAAGGCGATTGGGCTGGATAGGGAAGGCATCTTGCGCAAGGGCTCCAAGTACCCGATGAGTGACCAAGTCCTCGACGTGGCAGTCATTGCTGGAGTGTATGGGGTGATTGCTGCTCTTGAGCTGGTGACGGGGGTATGGAGGCGGCATAATCAAACAATCACGGCCTACAAAAGTGAGCAATAGATACGCTAGTATACTCATACGTTTGAGCAAATGATACCGATATTAGGATTCTCTGACAAAGTGCAATTCCTTCGCCGCTGATTGATTATGTGGCAGTTCGAAATGAATTCAAAACATTTCCAGGATATCTTGGTAAATTGAACACGCAACTCTTCGATGCAAGTATGATATTCGTTGTCCTCATCAATGGCACTGCCGTTATATACTATCCTTTATATCCATCGTTTCACTTTCTCCCCCTCGGCTTCACCGGCGTCACGAAGCGCCTCTCCCCATGCGCATGGCCGCCCCCATCCTTGAGCACGGCCGGCGGCGGGATATCGTAGCCCATTTCCTCGACGTAATCGGCAATGCGCTGGAAATCACGACACTTGTGGTGCGTGTTGAAGTCGGCCTTGCGGTCAAAGTCGGGGTTGTCCACGTGCTCGTTGAGTACGGGCGTAATGTCCGCATAGCACATGAGCGACAGGCGCAGGGCCTCGAAGCAGTGGTCGACGTGCATGCGGCCGAGCACGGGGTTGTCCCAGAGGAAGTCGGGGTACAGCTCGCCCCAGTCCTTGGAGAACTGCTCGATGGGCCAGCTATGCTGGCGGATGAGGTTCTGCAAGTCAATTAGCACGCCGCAGATTTGGCTCCGAGGGTTCTTCTTCCATGCATCCGTACCAGGCAATGAAGTTGGTGAAAAACTTCGGCAATGGCTCCGTAGGTGGGCTCCTCGGGATCGCTACCAATGACTTCGAGGTATAGGTCCGGGTTAGTTTTGTTGAGGGCATAGATGCCCTCTTTGCTGACGGGCATTGCGTGGTCTAGATTCAGGCTTCGTCAGAATGGGTCGCCGTATTGAGTGAACCGGGTGTGTTCAGTGAACATACGGTACCACAGAGAATTCCAAGCCGTCTCGCGCTCTAGTGTTGGAGGCCCTCTGTATATCGACGAATGGTTAAAGTAATTGATCAAGTCGCCCTCGGTGTGCTCGACGGCCGGCCATAACGAAGCTGCAAAAAAGAAAAAAAAAACGAATCAGCATCAACTTCAAGTAGGTCCCTAATGAGCAATGCTACTCTCTTCGGCCCGGACCAACATACACCATGGCGATACCATCTTATCGCACTCGAGCATCGACGGCCTTCGCACCACCGCTGCGCCCATGAGCGCAAACAGCGAGATGATGAGTGCCACGGCACCCGTGTACATGAAACGCTTCGCGCGTCTTTCCAGCGTCTTTGCCGCCTCGAGGCGCAGCGAGGCAGCACAATCGTCGCCGCCATCCTCGGCGCCATTCGCCAGTGGCTCGTACTTGCGGCCCATGTTCGCTGAGGGGCCGCGCGCCTCTGGCGACTCTTTTCCTCCTCAATCGATGAGAAGAAATCGTCTTTCCGGACTGCGGCGACTTGTGTCGTTGTCGTTGTCGGTCGTCGTGGGCTGCGGATCTTTGGACTTGTCTAATTTGTTGGACGCAACGAGCTGTTTGCTGTTGGCGCTTGTGCTGTCTTTGTGTGTGGAGTGGCCAACTCGCGCACTGTGCCGAGCGGAATTTGTCAGTGGGCGGCACAGTAACAGTAGTTGGAATGGCACAGTGAGCAGTTGAAACGGCCACAGTGCTGGAGTAGCATGGTGCCTGGTTGAAGAGACAATAAAAAATCGACCCGTTTTGACACAAATATATATATATATATATGTTTGAATAGTTGAGTAAGCTCTGCTTTGAAAACGGAATTGAATCGTGCTGCCATATGTATTCCGGCTGTTGACCGTATCAATAACTAGCGTCCGTCTCCCCGGCGCCACATGTTCAACTTGGTAGGTGGAAAATCGTGGAGAAGCTGAACAGTGCGCTGCCCCCGGATTGTGCATCTACAACAGCACAACTAACACTTCTGCTTTAATTCTACCCAAAGACTGCTGGATTTTTTCTTGTCTTCTCGGTACTATTTATTCTATAGCTTCCAATTAAAAACAACCCTCTGTTGGCATTCCTAGGGCTGGCTGTGTCGGTACGACAACTGGCAGAACGGATCTAGCTTGAGTCGTGCGTGACTGAAATAGAATGTATTGCTGGCACCAGCCTGTAACGTATCGCGTATAACACCCTGGGATGGCTCTGCTGCCCTGTTTAATCAAGAACGAATTTGCAAGAAAAAAAAGAAAATTTGCAAGAGTGAAGAATTCTACGAGTCGTGTGCATGGTACACGTTGCTCTCGCCCAGTCTTATAGCTTGGGCTTGACGAGCGATCCATTCTCATCGCGAAACGTCGCTAGCTGGTTCCGCTTGCTGTCACCGCCGTGGGTGACTTGCGAGGGCGCGTCAAAGACGGTAGCCTTGGCGTCGCCCAGTCTGCGCTCAATGTCGAGGTACTCGCGCTCGCCTTCACCCATGTACAGCTGGCGAGGCCGCCATATCTTGACGCCGGTGGGCGTAAGCATCTGTTGGCGCCAGTGGGCGAGCCATCCGACGCATCGCGGGACAGCGAATAGAACCGGGTAGAAGCTATACGATTTTTCGTGTCAGCGGATCTCGATCTTTGCGCACGTTTCAAGGGCAGGGAGAGAAGGGGGGGGGGGGGGGGGGGGTAATACGCACTCGAGAGGAAAGCCCATGGCCTGGTAGATGAGACCAGAGTAAAAGTCGACGTTGGGGTACAGGTTGCGACTGCGCATGAATTCGCTCTCGCTAGCATACTCGGCCAGACGGACGGCGGTATCGAGGAGTTTGTTGCGGCCAGTGACGGCAAAGACCTCCTCGGCGAGCTGGCGAATGGCCTTTGAGCGTGGATCAACATTCTTGTAGACGCGATGGCCAAAGCCGACGAGGACGCGCTCGCGCCTCTCCACCTTCTTCATGAAGTCGGGCACATTCTCGGGGCTGCCAATCTCCATGAGCATGCGGATGGCGCTCTCGGAAGCGCCGCCGTGGGAAGGGCCGTAGAGGGCGGCGCAGCCGGCGGCGACGGCGCTGTAGGGGTCGACGAGGGAGGAGCCGACCTGCAGCACGGTGGCGGTGGAGCAGTTGACCTCGTGGTCGGCGTGGAGGATGAAGAGGGCGTCGAGGGCGCGCTCGAGGACCGGGTGCGGCTGGTACTCGTGGCCCGAGAGGTTGTCGAGCAGGTAGAGAAAGTTGCCCGTGTACGAGAGGCCCTGGGCGGGGCGGTTAAAGGGCCGGCCCTGGCGCATGCGGTACGAGGCGGCGGCGAGCGTCGGCGCCTTGCCAATGATGCGCAGCACCTGCTTGTCGAGGGCCTTGAGCGCGGCCGGGCTGCGGCCCGACGCGGCGTCGGTGTAGAGCTTCTGCCCCTGCAGCGAGGGGTTCGCCTCGGGCGCAAACGCGCCGAGCGTGGCAAACGCCGCCGTCATCATGGACATGGGATGCGAGTCGTAGCGAAACGACTTGAACATGCCCTCAATGTCGCTGTGGATGTAGGTGTGGTGCAGAATCTCCTGCTGCCACGCGCCGTACTGCGACGCCGTCGGCAGCTGGCCGTAGATGAGCAGGTAGGCCGTCTCGAGAAACGTGCTCTTGCCGACGAGCTGCTCAATCGGGTAGCCGCGGTACCGCAGGATGCCCTCCTGCCCGTTGATGTAGGTGATTTTGCTCTCAATCGCGGCCGTGTTCATGTAGGCCGGGTCGTAGACGCGCAGGCCCTGCGGCGTCTCGTCCTCGGGCCGGTCGCCGTCCTGCGGCTGCGCGGCAATCTTCTTGATGTCGGTAGCCAGCACCGCATTGTTCTTGATGGGCACCTCGTACGCCTTGCCGGTGCGGTTGTCCACTACCGACAGCGACTGACGGGGCGCGGCGACAGTCTTTTGCGTCATGGCGGCGGGTGGTGGGTAGGATGTCGGGAGTGTGTGGTAGGAGGGAGGCGAGAACAGAAAAGAAAAAAAGAAATAATGAAGAGTATATTGCGAACCTGGGTATCTAGAGAAATTTCGAGACCTCGGAAAATGCGGTTACCAAAGAGATGGAACAGTGGGCATCTTTATTCAAACATGCAGCTGGCTCTGCTCGGCTCAATCGTCCAGTTAGCTTTACATTAAATTATTAGCAGCGACGGTTGGCACATGCTTGGAACGGCTACAGCGGGGTGCAGGGGTGTCTGTACTCCGTAGGTAGAGCGCCGGGGTTCTGTTCCCACCAAGACCGAGGCAAATCCCACCAAAGCCATTGTCGGCCGAACTTGTATCTAAGAATCGTTAATTAGATTCCAAGTTATTGGATTGGCTGGTGTGTGTCAGCGTGCCAGTGGCTGTTGTCCCATATCCTAACGACCGCCCCGGATCAACGGAACAGACACATGTCGTCATAATACACGTCTGGCTCAGCTCCAGGTCACGCTGCTGATGGAACAGTGCCGAAAAGGAAAATTGTTTTCGCAAAGGCAAGTTTCGCCCCCAAGAGATTTGTCCGCATGGGTTCAGTCTGTTCCCCAGGTTGTTGCCTCGCCATGATACGGGCGGAATATACAGTTATCTGCTCTCGAACAGAACACATCTACACGGCATTAAAAATGTTTTTACGAAGAAATCACCATTGCAGTAGTTGAAATCCGTCGCCCACAAATGCAGTGATGCGAAAAATCGTTGCTGGTAGTGATGCCCCAAACTAGCCCGATTGTCCCCGTGAGTCCTCCAACGCCGTACTGATTAAATAAATCAGCCCAGGAAAAAAAAATGAGACGAGGTATCTCAAGTCTCTGGTATCATAAAAAAATATCCGAATAAATGGCCATCATGTCAAGGTAGGTTTTGTCAATTCAAAGCTACTACAGCTTCCTTTGCGAGTCCAGTCTTGTTTTTCATTTCACAAGAGCGTCAAAATCCGAGCAAAACAGCAAACCATAATCCAGTGCGTAAAAAGTCCAAAGAAAAATAATTCGTATCAGGGGTACACATTGTCGCGAGACAAACTGCGTATCAAGGAGCGCGACAACTCGGTCGTGTCGCAGGAAATGTCGACGGCATGGCGTTGATGCGGTACTGTTTTTTAAATCTTTATTTTTTTTTACAACTTCGCAGCGGGGGCTGGAGAGCCAGGAGCAGTGATTTCATCATACAAAAGGCTGTGCAATCATGTTAGCAACGCGAGTCCCATTGCTGATGGCAAAATTGACAAGGAGCTTACCTGGTCAGGAAATCAGCATAGTCCTCGCCAGTAACCTGGCCGGCAAAGTACTGAGCCGCAAGTTGGTACTTGTTGCCCTTGCCAGCCTTGGAAGCCAGCTCGTCGGCGCTCTCCTTGAGGAGCTTGAGGGCGTATGCCTTGTCGACGCGCTTGCCCTCGGCGGTGGTGACGCCGTGGCGAGCCCACTGCCAGAGCTGACTGCGGGAGACTTCAGCGGTAGCAGCATCCTCCCTATTTCTCTGTTAGTGTCTGAGCTGTTCGACGATGTAACTCAAGGAGAAGGCTTACATGAGAAAGTTAATGGGGACACAACCAACGCCGCGGATCCAGGCCTCCATGTAGCCGAGGCCAATGTTGAGGTTCTTCTTGATGCCCTCCTCGGTAATCTTGCCGGGGACGTTCATGTTGAGCAGGTCGTTCTGGCCAATCTTGACGTCGGAGCGGCGGAGGAAAAGCTGGTTGGGGGTGGGCATGTGCTTGTTGAAGACGTCGAGGGCAATGGTGGCGAGGGCCGGGTGGGCGACCCAGGTACCGTCGTGGCCGGCACGGACCTCGCGGAGCTTGTCGGCGCGGACGTTGGCCATGGCGGTGTCATTGGCCTGCTTGTCGTCCTTGATGGGAATCTGCGCGGCCATGCCGCCCATGGCGTGGACGCCGCGCTTGTGGCAGGTCTGGATGAGCAGCTTGACGTAGGCGTCCATAAAGGGCACCGTCATGGTGACGGCGGAGCGGTCGGGCAGGACAAAGTTGGGGTTGAGGCGGAACTTTTTGATGACGGAAAAGATGTAGTCCCAGCGGCCGCAGTTGAGGCCCGACGAGTGGTCGCGCAGCTCGTAGATGATCTCGTCCATCTCAAAGGCGGCCAGGATGGTCTCAATGAGCACGGTGCCGCGAATGGTGCCGCGCGGCATGCCAATGTAGTCCTGGGCCAGGTTGAAGACGTCGTTCCACAGACGCGCCTCGAGGTGGCCCTCCATCTTGGGCAGGTAAAAGTACGGGCCGTAGCCGCGGCGCTGGTACTCGACGGCGTTGTGGAAAAAGTACAGGCCAAAGTCGAAGAGGGAGCCCGACATGGGCTCGCCGTCGACGGTGACGTGCTTCTCCTCAAGGTGCCAGCCGCGGGGGCGCACAATGAGCGTGGGGTGCTTGCGGTCGGTGCGCAGCTTGTACTCCTTGTTGCCCTGCTTGAAGTCGACCTGGCCGCGGATGGCATCGTAGAGGTTGACCTGGCCGTTGATCATGTTGTCCCAGGTGGGAGCAGACGAGTCTGGGGAGTGACGTCAGTAGCCGTTCTAGTCATGCTTGCGTGATGATGGGTAATTGGGGGTGAGTAAAAAGCAAGAAGAAACGAGGAAAGTCATGGTAGTCCGAGTCAATTGAAGCAATCGCACTCATCCTCAGCCAAGCCATTCTCATCCTCACCAGCCTGTGGCTCGGCTGGGCGTTTGTCGACTGTCACAAGCTCTGGTTTGCCCCGGCTCAAGAGGTACCCCACGCCCCACCTTTTTTCGGAGCAGCGCGCGAGTACCCGGGCCGAGCAAAGTAGGTAGACAGCCCCAGCACCCGAGGCATTGAAAGTCCGACAGAGACAATCATGAGTCACAGTGCGTCTCGAAATGACCAAAATTGACGGGAGTAAAAAAGAAAAAAAAAAAAGGACAAGCCCGATGCTGCCATTCCAAGGTCTCTTACAGCTCACGCGCATCCGCCGCCCAAACCCCGTTTAACAGAGCCGCATCGTAGGGCCAGCTTAGCCGGGGTTGTAGTGGGTAGGCTTACTAGATGCGCATGGCCAGAGCCGCCAAAACAGGAAATATCGTGTGCCCTTGTGTAGAACGTGTATAGAAAAGGACAGACAATGAAAATAATGCAGTGAGCAAACACAAAGAGACAACAAACTTACCCTCAAAGTCGGACATGTAGGTAAAGACATCCGAGTTGAGCGCATTGACAACCATCTTGCGGTCGGGCGGGCCGGTAATCTCGACGCGGCGGTCGACCAGGCCCGGGGCGGGCGGTGCGCCCTTCCAGGTGGCATTCTCGCGGATGTGCTTGGTTTCGGGCAAGAAGTCGGGCAGGACGCCACGGTCAAGCTCGGCCTGGCGAATCTTGCGGCTCTCTAGGAGGTTCTTGCGCGTGCTGTTGAAGGAGCGGTGCAGCAGGGCCAGGAATGTGAGGGCCTGCGGCGTCAGGATCTTCTTGTGGACTTGGTCGACCTTGCCGAGGACGTTGACGCCCTGGAGAATGGACTCTTGCGAAGCCATTATGGAGAAGTTTGGTGGTGTGTGAGGGTAGTTGAAGGAGGTGCGAAGCAGAAGAGAAAACGTAACAATCGTCGTATTTACTTGCGGCTTTGTTCCTGTAGAGGTTGAACAAGGCAAGAGTATGCAGGATTGAATCAAGAAGAAAAGTGGTTATACAAGGCAGAGTTTCAAAATTTCAACAGGATGGAGGAGAGGGGGGGAAGGGGAGGGACTGGATGTATATAGCAAGGTTCGGTTGCTAGCTGTCCCGGGATCTTGTCGTTTCCTAGGTATGATTTCTCAGTTGTATGAATCGGGTTTCCCCCTTCACGTGTCAACTCAGAACGGGTGGGCGCTTTTTGGGGAACAAGGCTCTGGGAGAACAAGAGAGAGAGGCGCTCTCCTGCTTGCTTGGTGCTTGGTGCTGGGCTGGGCTTGGGGTGTGGTTCAGAAAGCGTATAGCGCCAAAGCTACCCCAAAAAAAAAAGCCAAAGCGAATCCGTTGCGTCACTTCCGAGTGGAGATTTAGGATCGGGCGACGGGTAGAGAGTACAGGAAAGAAACTACCAGTAGACTCTAGGGCAGATAGGCCGTCTTGTCGGGTCGAGGCCTTTGAAACAGATGACTGTACAACAAGGTAGAATTTACAAATCGAGCTGTTGACTAATAGCTTGGAAATGGTCCTTGTCAGCTGTTGTGCGTCTCTCTTTTGTGAGTGTAGGCGCACGAGGGGTCGTCGTCGTGCCAAATCTCCGTTGTAGGCGACGTCGGTGCGCGAAAGCACCAGGCGGGCTTCCAGTGGGCCGGAGTAGTGGAGGGCCAGCGAACACCAAAGCCGGGGATTATGGTAGTTATTGCCATAGGTACCTTGAGAGTTTCGTTGTACTCCGAACAGCGCGCAAAGTGCTAGACGATTTTCGACAGTTGATTTTGTAACTTGTTCGTCGAGATATATGAAGAAGAGAGACAAGAAGAAGTCGATTTCTTTAATCTTTGTTTTTGCTCACTGAAAGGCATAAGCCATTCTGTATCTTTCTTCACAAGCTATTACAAGCCGACTCCGGGGGTTTCAGACTAGCATCTAGGTAGCCAACGCTGCGCCCACTTCCGGAAAGCGACAAACCAGCTAATAACGTGGCCCATCGTAGATTCCGGGGGTGTGAACAACCATGACACATAATGACTACGTTGCCACTCACTCCTCAATCTTGGACAAATGGCTTCCCATCTTTGCCGCTCTATCCTTTCTTTCCACCATCTGCCGCATGTCGGCACCCATCGGTCCATGCCCGGGTGGATGGATTCTTTGGCAGCTTCAGGTCCCCCCGCTCCCCATAGTGGCGGGCGCGCGCCAACCAATGTGGGGGAAATCTTGTCGATTTATCAGTACAAAACACAAGTACCTCGAGGTATTATTTCTCCGTTCCCTGCAGACGAGTTGACGAGTTGACGAGGTCAATGCCATGATTGGAGGAAATGGTGGTGTCGTCGTATATTTGCAGAAAATCAAGTTCGGCACATGCATTTTGCTGCAGGCTTCCCCGTACTTTCATTGCTTTGTTGCGAGATTGAAGAGGACCTTGTCGCCAGCCAGTAGGAGGGCCATCAAAAGCAATTAGGTACCAGGCTTGCGCCGCGGGGCAGTTGCGCGAGAACCTGGCCACCCCAGCGTTTGACCATGCTTCAACTGCTAAAGTAGATCGTGTATGCTTCTAGTTCCTTTGAACAGCACCTGCAGCAGGATGCAAGACATGTTTGCGCGCCCTCGCACTATTACAACCACCTAGTGGCTAATGAGCACCCAGTGCCAACAGCGAGACGCATGCGACCAAGCCTTTCGTAGGTACCTATCTGTACCTGGTTACAGGCGGCGCCCCCCGGCCGACGCACCGACGGAGCCGTACGATACCCAATCGCCCGCGCAGCTAATAGCAGGCAAGCTCCGATGGCGCAGCGCCAAACCGCCCTTGTATCTATGCAAAGCAAGTTGGCAAGAGGTAATGGAAACTCGGTGCTGAAAACAATCAGAACGAATCAAAAAAGTGAAACTGCGCAGCTCCGAGACGGTAGACTCGGGCGACCAAGGGTTCTCAGACGGAGTTACGAGCAAAGACGGATCGTGTGCCTTTTTTCTGCTGGCCGTGGTATTTTTGCATGATGCATCTTTTGAGCAACCCGTAGAGATTATACATGCTTTTTTTTGTCTCTCAAAATTTTCCTTTTTAGCACGATGATGAATCCATTGTACTCTGAACGTCGTCCATCTGCTCGCGTCTAAATCGCCTGCTTATCCCGCCCTCCGCAAGCGCAATCTTGCATCACCAGCAAGTTTTGGGCGTATTACTCTCCCAGCATACGCCTCGTAGTAATACCGCTGGCGTCGAGTCTTGCGGCCGGTGGGTGGTCCGTAGTAAGCGCAGGCGCTGTCTGCGTCTGTACATATATATATCAAGAAACCCAACGTTTTCCCATCCTCCTTTATGACTTCTTCCCCTTTTCTCTTCCAGTGGTCTTGATTCAGCTTTTTCAACCACCACAGAAGAAGAAACACCCCAATTCCTCAACGTAATCGACCGGCCCTTACGACGTCACTCCCCCCTTCCAGGAGCCGAGGCACAACTCGCGTCTTCTCCACACCACGCGCATCTCTGTCGATGGCACGTCCAGCGCCGCCCTCACTCTCCGATCCTTTCCGACGCCGTGAAAAATCAAAGCCCGGTTCGCACGGCTTTGCCCAAAGGCGGGCGATGCTGCACCTGCTGCGCTGCTGCCCGCTGTGCATTAGTTTGCAGGGCCAGACAACGCCCTTTTTACCATGACGAATTCTTTTTACATCTCTTAATTACGTCGCCTTTTTTTTCTTTCTTTTTTTTTAGCGGCAGTCTGCAAAACTACCTGCCTCTAGGCTTTTTTCTATAAACTTTCTCTTGTTTGTCGATACGTTTTGCGAGAACTTGCGTGTTCGGCTCCATTCTCGTGCAGATTTCATAGTATGTATTGCATGCCAACGCGGTACTACTTTTAGTACTTCATTCGTGATATGCAACGCCCCCCCCCCCCAAACTTCTTTTAACTCACATCATTACATGGCAAATTCCCAGCTGGCTGCCTATCGATACTTGCCCCATCGCGCATCGCGCCGCAGCAGATCGCTTGCTTCGTCCTTCGCAAGGGTCGCACACACACACACACACACACACACACACACACACACTCACACACACATATATACGTGCTATAAAATCTTTCAAAGTCTTTCGTAACTTTATAGTCCTCCGTTTCAACAGCTTTTATTGATGCATACTACCAGTTGAACGCCGTATTATGTAATTCAGTCAAGCGACCTTTCTCCATTTGTCTCATCCAGCGACCTTTAACAACAATCGAAAGCAAAGTCAGCAAGTACAAAACAGTGATGCAGTGGCTTTGAGCCAATTCACAAATCCAACACAAAGTAACAAGTAAAACGTTTGACTGTTAGCTTTCCAAGGCTACACCAAGCTATGATGCTCCTCCGCCCATTGATTACTAGCTTCGAGGACCAAGTCGGGGAAAACGACTTCAACTCTATAATGTGAAAGAAGAAAAGACCAAGCTGAAAGAAGCTGAAAGAGAAAGAAGAAAGAGCTGAGGAAAATTGTATGTGTGGTTGCCCTCTCTCGGGACTTGCGCCATACGCCGTGGAAAGAAAAAAGAACGTTGCTCCAGAGTCCATCAAGACTTAAACACTTTCGACAAGGGCGCTAAATTGGTAGACGCTTAGTTGGCAGACGTCAGAGTCCTGATCATCATTTTCTGCTTGTTGCGATCCGTCACCACTAGGTTGCGGTCGTCAAACACAATTCGAATAGTGTCCACAACCCGATGGAAACTGCTCGCCGCTCCGCGTTCCTGTGTAAATCGGACAATGCTGAGTGGCTGGCGCTTCCCGTGCTCAATCACCGTCACCACCTCGGCAGCAATCGCAACCTCCTTGATGTTGAGATCTTTGACTTGATTAGTACAAAACCAAAGTTTGACACAGATATGATGCACTCACAGTTCTTAGCTGCAACTCGTGCAAAGATAATGTTGCGCTGCTTGTCCACCTGCATGTCGCGAATACCGTACCGTCGCCACTCGCGGAGAAGACTTGCCACTTCCTGTCGCGCTTTTCTGCGGGACAGGTTCATGCACATATAGCTCGTTGCGGGCTTGACCCGGAAGAGGCGTGTCAACCAGTTTTGCTTGACCTCAATGCTGCGCTGCGCTCCTGATCCAGAGCTCTTTAGAGTTGCAACAGCGGAGCTCTTTCTGTGATTCCGGCTGCTGGTAGACAAAGGCCGCTCATTTTCGGCGTCTTCGCCATCCACGCTGGTAGCATGTTCTTGCCCGCGACCATTTTTCCAAAAAGAGAAACTAAATGCGCGCTTCTTCGAGGACCCATCCGTTGAGGCTGACTGTGGCTCCTGCGATATGGCGGGCGACTTCAGGCTCTCCGGGCTCGGAGCACCCGTCTCTGGTTCGGAATCCGTCTTCGAAACACGTCTGAACCATGATTTCATCTTGCGAACGCCACCACCACTCATAGGCTCATCCGATGCCGAGGGAGGTCCAGCTTCAACGGCTCGATCCGCATTGTATGCAATGTGCAGGTGAAGCTTGCGTCCCAACTCTTCTTTTGTCAGCTTTCTCTTGACAACAGGCACCTCAGCTGCCTTGAGACCATCCTGACTAGCAGGAGAATCCACCACCATACGGATGGTATTCTCGGTCTTGTTCAGGTACTCAAAATCACCAGTCGATCCATTCATCTTCCTCGAGGTCGCTTGAGGTGCTGATACAATGCGCCACTTGTCATTAGAAATGTTGTTGGTACCAGAGTTCTCATTGATAGATGGAAGCACATTTGTCTTCTTGCCATTGGGATTGGAAGCGGGTGCAGAAACGCTTCGTCTATCAACTTGGACTTGGCGAGGAATGGAAAGGGCAACAGCCCTTTGTACAGTACCATCCATCACGTATTCACTGCCGCTTCCATAGCCCTCTCCTGAGCTGGGTCGTGAGTCAGCTGCAGTACTTGCGTCGCTAAATGTGCCATCCTCGGCAGGTAGAGGAGGTAACGGGCGATGCTGCCAGGATTTGGTCGAGAATTCGGTGGCTTCGGTGGCTACGGATGGGCTTGCGGTTGTGTAAGAAAACGGTGTTGAGTCGCGATTCTTCTTGTCGCCCTCGCTTATGACAGACTCGTCGTCAATCAAAGAGCTTCTGAAAGCTTCGTCACAGTTGCGAGCAATGTCGTTGCTAAAATTGCGAAGCTCATCGCGGAAGAGCGCTGAAGCATTCTTCACTACCAGAGGACCGTCGGACTGAGGGCGCTTATAAACGGTAGGCACCTTGGGCACAGCCGGTGTATGTTCTCGCAGGCGGCGAAGAGGGGCCACATCTTCATTAATACTGGAAGATGACGTTCCGGGGCGACGGCCAGCACTTTGCACCTTTGAGGCCGAGTTCGAGCGCTTGCGCACGTGGCTGAAATCGACGGCACGCTTGTGTCGAAGGCTGGGGCCGCCGCGTGACGGTGTCCCCTGGCGGCTGCAGAGAGAATTCATGGAGCCCTTGGAGGATTCGAGCTTGGCAGTTGCAGAGCTTTTTGTCGAGTTGGCTCTGACACGACGCGCGGTTGCATTGGCGACGCTTACAGCTCGCGCCTGGGCAGCTGGAGATGCGACAGTGTCACGATGAACAACGACCTTGGCATGACTGACTTGAGATTCGCAGTGCTGCAGTCTACCATTTGATCTATACGGGTCATAGCTGACGATCGTGGCGTTGTCGTTTTCGGCGGCGTTTGATATAACTGTAAAGCGGGAGATGGAGCGGCCGTGTCCGTTTGCACGAGGCTGCGAGAATTGACACGTTGACACGCGCTTCTTCCAGATGGAAGGCTTCATGTGATGGTAGTCGCTCATAGAGTGAGCCAGCTCTGGCTTAAAGTCTTCGAGTTGCTTGTCCCGATAGTCGTGAAGCAGCCAGTAGAAGGCTTTTTGGTCGTTTGGCTGTTCACAAGTCAACTTGAGCGAGAGTTCTTGCTCACTGAACATGTGCCACATGGATCGAAGTTGCCGTAGTAGCTGAGGGTCAATCTCATTGCGAGGAATCGGATGGTACTTGAACCCCTTGCCCTGAAGCTGGCTAGTGAGGTCACCAAAATCATCTTGGTAGCTGTACTTCTGGACGAGGGGGTGATTCCATATATCCTGCAGGTTGATACGACGTTCGGGGTTGACTTGTAACATGCGACGAATAAGATCTTCAGCTTCGGGACTAAGATGCTTAGGCATTTCGTACACCCCCTTCTTTGTCTTGCCCATCATGACACGCAAGTCAGGATCGTCAAAGGGGAGTGTTGCCGAAAGCATGGCGTAGAGAATAACGCCCATGCTCCAGATGTCGGCCTTGTCACCTCGGTACTGTCTGTTCTTAAGGAGCTCCGGTGCAGCATAGTGAGGGCTGCCGCAGGCGGTTGCAAGCTGGTGCGTGGCCGTCTGGTGAAGTGCGGCCATACCAAAGTCGGCAATCTTGATCTGCAGATCCGCGGTGATGAGAATGTTTTCGGGCTTCAAGTCACGATGGCAGACATTGAATGAGTGGCAATAAGCAATTGCACTGATCATCTGTCGGAAGAAGAATATCGCAACTTGTTCTGAAAGACGGCCTTTGGTGTTGATGAATGTGAAGAGGTCGCCTTGGTCGATATATTCGAGGATAAGATAACTACATCAATGTCAGTTTTGAATTACACTATCGTGTATTTGCCAACTTGCATTTCAGAGCGATTCTCCCAGATATCGTAGAGCTTCATAATGTTTGGGTGCTCAATAAGCTTGAGGATGGCTACTTCTCGCTCGATGGCCATGGGAACGCGCATTTGGCCATCTGAAGGCTCGGGAAGATGGCTATCATATTTGCTTAGGGCGGCTAAACTGCTGTCCTGAACCAAATAGGCCATTCGGCGGTTGACAATCTTGACAGCTGCAAGCTGGTTGGTGATGTTGTGGCGACAGAGTCGCACACGGGCGGAAGAACCCTTGCCCAAAGTGCGACCAAGTTGCCATGGACCGATATGGGTTTTGTAGTTCCGCTTACTGCGGCTACTCGAGGTGGATGCGTACGAGGCTTGTGACATGCGTTTGTCCGCTTCACTTGTCTGGTGCTCGTTCATGATGGCAGAGACGCGCGGGTCTGGAGCAACTTGATTGACAATGGGAGACTGCACCTGTCGCGTAGGGTGTTGAGCGACGGCTTGGTTGGCCGTCTGATATTCATTTCTTTGATTTCGAGCTTTGATTAACGATTGGTCTGCGTGAGTAATTGGTGAGTTGATGCGATAGGTCGCTTCGGCCAACGGCGAGCGGGTGACAGATACAGCGGCCTCAGCCATTTCTTCGTTTCGATATTGGTAAGAGAAGCTAGAACATAATACCGGCGAGAAATAGTCGGATAAATAGAGGAATCAAGCTCGGAATCTGTCGGTGCTGATGATCCGCGTCAAAAAGATTTTTCCGTGTCAAAGGCGTGCAAACGGCAGCTGTAGTGATGTGTTGTAAGAGGTAATGGTAGCGAGCAAACGTTGGTCTCGAGGGGCGTTGAGCGTGTAAGAGAGAATCGGTGAGAAAGCAGTTGCAAAGCCAAATTAAGAGTAGAGAAAGAGGATGAAATCAAAAAGTCCAAGAATGAGGACCGGTAGAAGAGGAAAAGTTCAGCCATGCACCGTTGCGATTAGGTGGATGAAGAAGGAAAAGGGAACAAGGAGGAGGGAATGCCACAAACGGAGGAGGGCTGGACCGGCAGGATAGCGACTGAGGAGACGAGCGGATTAAGCGGAGCGAAAAACAGCTGTGTTTGTGCTCCAAATCAATCAAAGCGGACAATTTCGAGCTTGCCGGCAAAGGCAAAACGTGCCAGCCGCCCAAAAAAGTGAGCGGCTCTGAAAGTTCAGGAATGCAATGTTTACTTGGAGTGGTGGCGATAGTCAACACGGTACGGAGTAGATAGAGCATGGTGTTGTGGGCTGCCCAGGTCTTGGGCGTGCCACATCTTCAAGGGAGGCTCATTCGCTGGCGCGTCCGTGTTGCGCCTCTGGAATGGAATTTGACCGCCCATCGAATGACCTGGCTGCTAGTCCGAGCTTCTCTGTAATGCTTCTGCGGTAGTCGACGCCCGTGGTATTATCATGCGTCTCCAAGGAAGGACAGACCGAGCCATCTCGCCGCATTCCAACGGCCTGACCATCCTGGCCAATTCTGTGCTGCAGCATGCCTCGCCTATGCTACACACTAAGCAAGCCAAGATAAAAAGTACGTTGCTTCCTGGTCGCTCTTTGCCTACCTCGTTGTTGTCTCTGACCAAAACAATGCTGCCATGGAGATGTTCTAGCTCATGTGGACGACAGTAGCCATCATCAACATCCATCATTCTCCACACGCCCTGAAATTGCAGGGCCACACCCTCTGTGCACCGTGCCGAGCAAGTCTTTTCAGCCAGCGAATTATTATTATAATTTCTAAATCAACTATTTAGCACTTCAGCTCATCTTCGTTAATCTTCAAATATCCCGTCTTTGTCGTCACGGAGGTCTTGATCTCAATTAGCCGCCACGCGCGACGGCGCAAGTAATATCTGCTCGACACTAAACGCTAACACTATCCTGCTGTAGCTTGTAGCTTCCATTGCGAGTACACCAAGCTGAGACCTGCCCAATATAGTTATGTGCATGTTGCAGATGGGTGACTGTCACGAGACTTGAACATCTGGGTGCGGGAACCGATGCCTTGGTCGACAAATTGATCGCTCGGGTAAGTCCTGGGAGTTCGTCCACCCTGTAGAGGCGTGCATCACAAGGCCCAAAGCCTCACTTAGGGCTACAGCTTTAGTATGAACTGGTCTTTCTTGTATACTTGATTTGTCTTGCTTGCTTGAGCTTGCCTATGTTCGGGACCAACATTGAAGCGTACATATTTTCAACATAGCGCCATTTTATTGCCGATGCTTGCGCACATCAATTCGATATAGCTGCCTGTATGTTTTCAAAATACTTGGTCTACAGTGATTCGGTTTAGAAATTTTGAACATAGTCTTGTGTTCATGTCTCTTTGACAGTACGCTACGTCTGTTATCTCATTTAAAGACGGGTGTTATATTCACAGCGCGGACAAATTACATTCTTTCAAAGAACGCTCCGGATCTGTTATCTCTTATACTTCTGCTAATTCAATAGCACGCAGCGCTCTTGTATTCAATTAACAGCCCCGTTTCCAACGAACTAGATCAGCGTGATTGGTTTAGTGGTAAAATTCTCCGTTGCCATCCGCAACGTCGGGGAGCCCTGGGTTCGATTCCCAGATCACGCATCAATATTTTTGCCTCTTCGAGGCTTTCAACTGTCTCTGCTTTTTTATCTCCGACATATTTCAACTTACACACCTTTTATTGTGTCTATGGCCACAGAGATACCTGATAAGGGTGAGCACGAATATAATAAACGTAAATTGTGGTACGACACGTCTTTAGAGCCTTTCTTGAGTGTCTCGTTAACTAGTGTCATGACAGCTATATCGAGCCAGCCTAGGGTGCAACCTGAATTTGTCCCAAGTAGCACCAAAAAAATTGTAGAAGTACAATTGTATACCAATGAATATCCCGAAAAAATTGTATTTAGATAACTAGTAACTAAACTCGGTTTTCACGGTTCGTTCTGCCAGGCCGTCACGTCAGCTTCGCACTTTTGGTGGGGTCTCTTTAAGTGCAGCTCGCAAACGCGTGTGGCGCGTCGACGTGCCCACATCCACCGTTAACACAGCCCAACCTGTCTGGCAAAATCGCCTTAGCCAGCGCATAAAGCGCTCTTCCAAGCAATGTCATCGGTCAGGTCTCGAAGGAGGCGTCGCCTTGAATCTGACAATGAGACTGACGAGGACAATGCCAACACGCCCGAGCCCCCGAAGCGACCCCGACGATCGACGCTCCTGCCGCAATATGAAGTCAACGGTGGCCCAAGCCGTACGAATGGCGCGTTGCAGTCCGTCAATATGGATGATTTTCAGCCTGGCTCTATTGTGCGTGTCGCTGTACAAAACTTTGTAACGTATGAGAAGGCAGAGTTCTTCCCTGGCCCGTACTTGAACATGGTCATTGGTCCCAACGGTACTGGCAAGAGCTCGCTCGTCTGCGCCATCTGTCTGGGACTGGGCTACAGTCCAAAGCATCTGGGCCGTGCCGGCTCGATCAAGGAATTTGTCAAGCACGGCAGAGAAAAGGCAACTATCGAAATTGAGCTGCAAAGGAAGCCAACCGACCGCCACAACTACGTTGTCAAAGTCCAGATTCGTCGAGATCAGAACACTCAAAAATGGTGGTTGAACGGCAAGGAGACCACGCACAAGAAGATTCAGGATCTTATCAAGTCCCTAAAGATTCAAGTCGACAACCTCTGCCAGTTCCTGCCTCAGGAGCGAGTGGTCGAATTTGCTGCTTCGACGCCCGTGGAACTGCTCCACGAGACGATTCGCGCAGCGGCTCCGGAAGAAATGCTTCTCTGGCAAAGCAAGCTTCGAGAAATTTTCAAAGAAAAGAAGGATCTTACGGAGAACAGTCAACATGACGTAGCCATACTCGAAAATCTAGAGGCCCGCCAAGAGGGGTTGCAAGCTGATGTTGACCGATTTCGAGAACGTGAAGAGATTCAAAAACGGCTAGAAGACTTGAAAATTGTAAAAGTCTTGGCCAAATATCAAGAAGCGCGGAAACGTTGGCAGGAGGCCAAAGAGCGCAAGAAGAAGGCCCAGCAGTCTTTGGAGCGACTTGAAACTGAGAGCGGACCATCGCTGCAGGCTGTGAACAGAAAAGAGGCGTATCTAGACAAGGTCACGTCTGCTTTGCACGCCAAGGCAAGGGCTCTCGACCGATGTCACGACATTTCGGATTCCCTTGAACAACAAATCAAAGACGCACAGGTTGCGATGGATGTCTTTGATAGCAAGATGACTGTTGAGCGGAAACAGTTTGACACAAGAAAAAAGGAGGTTTCTGCTGCGCGAGCCAGACTAACATCGTTGCAAGCCGATCTGAACAATCGCCCAGGCGAGTTTAACGCAAGCGAGTGGAACCGGAAGATCCGCGCCGAGGAGCACAACCTACGCGACCTGGAAACCATGGACCGCGAAGTCGGGTTAGAATTGAACAATCTGAAAGATCAGGGGCGGGTTCCGAGAGAACGGATGCGCACTTTGGAATCCTCGCTGAAGTTATTCGACACGCAACAAGGCCAACAATTGAGCATGCTGAAGAAGGCATTTCCTGAAGTGGCGCGAGGCTGGGAATGGATACAAGAGCACATGAGCGGATTTGAAAAAGAGGTGTTTGGCCCGCCAATGATAAGCTGCTCAATTAAAGATGAACGTTTCTCATCCCAGGTCCAGTCTCTACTACAGATGGACGACTTTCTATGTTTCACGGCCCAGACGCGCAACGACTTCAAGAAATTGACCGATCAGCTTTATCGTGTCATGAGTCTCTCGGTTGTCATACGTACCAACGTTCACTCTCTGGATACCTTTCAGCCCCCCATATCGCGGCAGGACGCCGTCGACCTTGGTCTTGACGGTTTCGCTATCGATTATCTGGAAGGACCCGACCCCGTGCTTGCAATGCTTTGTTCAGAAAAGAAACTTCATCAGTCAGGTATCGCTCTCGAGGAACACGACAATGCACAATACAACAGGCTAGCAAATAGTGGTAGCGTCTCCCAATGGGCGGCTGGCAGGCACCTGTTTACCCTTCGTCGGCGCAAAGAATACGGCGGCAAGGCGATGACCGCTATCAGCAAGTATATTAATCCCGGACGATTCTGGACCTCACAAACTGTCGATACGCAAGAAAAGACGGAATTGACTCGTCAACTCGGAGAGGCAGAGGCGGAATTTCAGGCACTCAAGGCTCGAAATGCTGACCTAGTTCAGCAACGGGCGGCTCTCTCAGGGAAGAAAGAGGCCATCAACGCCAAAATTGTGCGTTCACCTGCGTTGGGGAGAAGTCCCTCTGTAACTAACTGAGTACCAGGACGATTTGAGAAACGAAAAGAGCGCCCTTCAAAGGGAGTACCAAAAGTGGCAGTCATTGCCGGAGAAGATCGGCAAGTCTTAATAAGACGTCAAGTTATGATTGTTGCTAATACTGTAACAGAGGCCGAGGAGCGCCGAAGAGAGGAGAGTACACAGATGATGGAGGTGATTCGAAATCGCATGTATGCGGCTCAATATGACTTGGACAAACTTGTCATGGCCAAGTGCAACGCTGCGATGCGCCACGCGGCTTCTCTGGAGGACATGAGGGAGGCTCATCGGGAGTATGTCGAGACCAAGATTCGCTCTATCGAAGCCATGTCCGACGTCAATGGTCTCAAAAAGCATAATTCTGAAATTGTCAAACGACTCGAGGCCGAGAAGGCAAAACTGGAAGAGGTTACCCAGGTCGCCGAGCAAGCACGCGCCATTGGTAAACAGATGTCCAAGATGACACAGGACCTGCTCCTGGAGAACGCGGACCGCCGCTCATACCTCCAGGATCTGGCCGAGGGCAAGACGGAGCGTGACGTTGAGATAGAGATTGAGGCGGAAAGGGCACAACTCGAGCTAATACACACGTCCAACCCTGACATTCTGCAGGAGTTTGAGAGGCGCGCGCAGGACATTGAGCGGCTCCGACGCAAGGTGGAAGGCGTCAATGCAAAGGTGGCGGAGATGGCAGCTGCTCAAGACTCGCTCATGGCCAAGTTTGAGCCCAAGCTGGATGAGCTGATTGCTCAGATAAACAGCGCGTTTGCGTACAACTTTGAACAAATCAGCTGCTCGGGCGAAGTGCGCGTCCACAAGGACGAGGACTTTGAGCAGTGGGCTTTGAATATCATGGTTCGCTTTCGGTATGTGCCAAACCTTGGTCGCACTCGCTCTTTTTGTTTTCTTCTTCCATATCTGGGCGGTTTGATACATTGCTAACACACGCGCGTGTCCTTTAGCGAAAGCGAAACCCTCCAGCAGCTCACAGCACACCGGCAGTCTGGCGGCGAGCGGGCCGTGTCGACCATCTTCTTCCTCATGGCGCTGCAGTCGCTGGCGCAGTCGCCCTTTCGCGTCGTTGACGAGATCAATCAGGGCATGGACCCGCGCAACGAACGCATGATGCACGAGCGCATGGTGGAGATTGCTTGCCGCGAGCACACGAGCCAGTACTTTCTCATCACACCCAAGCTGCTTCCCGGTCTGCGCTACGACCCCAAGATGCGTATACTTTGCATCGCAAGCGGCGAGTTTATGCCCCGCGACGGCGGCAAGCTCGACTTTAATCGGTGTCTGGCCGTCATGCGCGGCATGGCAGCGGCAGGGGCGTGAGGATCCGTGTGTCTGTTGTAGTAGTGTGATTTGAAATATAGGGCAGGGAGGAGTTGCGCTGCAAGGGAATTTTTTGGATTTTGAATTAGGCGTGGGGAAAAGGTCATATTCTTGGGGGGTCTTGACTTTGGAGTGAATGCATGTGTTCTTTGGCGCGTAATTTGGACTTTACGGGTCAACCCATACATTACTTTAACATGAACTTGCAGAGCGTAAAGATGCATCGAGACGCTATATCATGACGGTCTCTCTCTTTTTTTTTGCAGCATCCACCATTGTGTGGGCTGTTCTGTTCTGCTTGATTCGCCACGACGAGGAGAGAGACCACGACTGTGTGTTGGTTCGAAGGGCAAATGTGTGTAGAGTCAGTCATCAGGTTTAGTCACGCAACGATGAAAAAAACACAATCTACTAAGGAAGTATTGTAGCATCTTTTGTCATTGTACAAGGTAAGAACTTGAAGAAAACCGTAAAATGGTAAGGAACAGCACATACAACGATACAAAAAAAAGACCAGTAACAGAGAATTGAATAGAAAAAGAATACAAAAAAAAAAAAAAATAGAAGCAAAATCGCGACGACAGAATTGTAGCCTCTCTCCTTTTACTGCTCAATATGGACAAACGAGCATGTTCAACAGTACAACAAGGTCAGAACAGACCAGATCTCTACCTGTCCCTTCTTTTTTGTAAGCTTCTTTCCAACATAAAACATTCTTACGTGTTCCCTCACTTCTTCTTGAATAGACATTCCAAAAAAGAAACGAATCCACATGTTCTCAATAATCGAACCCCAGGGGACAAAGTCGGAGTAGAAGAGAAAAAAAACCAACAGCAAAGAAATAAATGCACAAAAGTGGCTTATAAAAACATCCTCGCCAAGAAAAACAAAACCATCCCAAAAGTATTTTATCCAGCAAAGACCAGTAAATGAAAGCAGCGGGTATATGCGTTCATGAATACGTAGCGCGTCTCTCAAGTATAGGAGACGGCGAAAAAAAAAACTGAGAACCCTTGACTCGTTACTGCACAGGAAGAAGAGGTCTCAAGAGCCCTCCAGCTTTCCTTCCTAATATCTTTTGTGTCGTTACTTTGACTTGCGTCCGTCGGCGTTCTCCTCCGCGTCCAGCTTCTTGCGCCAGTCAGCCAAGCTCTCGCTGAGCCCCGCGCTGGCCATGCCGTCTTCGTCCTTCTTCAGGTCGGCCGGCGGGTCAAAGTCAAAGTTGGTGCTCAGACGGTAGTTCTTGTTGGTAGCCTCCCAGTGGGTGCGTAGCGTCTCGAGTTCGCTGGCAAGATTGTCGAGGGCGGCACTGTTGCGGTCGTCCACGCTGCTGTGAGCACCATTACCGCCGCCACCACCGCCGCCGTACACGCTCTCGATCTCCGAACTCTCCTGGCGCGCGTGGCCCAAGCCGCCAAGACCATTCGCGCTACCCGCCTCGACGGGTGTCATGTTGGGCTGTCGGCTGCGGCGGCGGTAGCTGTCAACCGAGTGCTCCACTTGATCGAGCAACAGAGATACTTTCTGCTCGGCATCGGTGGCGCGCTGCTCAAGCAGGGCGTTTTCGGACCGCAATTGGTCCAGATCCTTGACATGTGTCGCCAGCTGCTTCGAGGTCTGCTCCTTATCCTTTTGCAAATCGGCAAGCTCTCTTTGCACGCCTGCGTACTTCTTTTCCAGCTGGGAGCCAGAAGTACGGAGCTCTTCTTGTAGAGCTTCGATCCTTTGCTCAAGATCGTGCTTTTCAGTCTCCCACCCAGCGGGCGCTTCGAGAGATCGACCATTGCTTTCACCATTTTGTAAACGATCCTCCATCGCTTCCATGTCTGTCTTGAGACGAGCATTCTCTGTTTTGTACCGCTGCAGCTGTTCCTTCATTTGCTTCAGCATCTTCTCAGTACCCTTGACGTAATGTACAGCAGCTTGGTAGTCGTTCTCGAGTTGAGAAAGCTTCTCACGATAAGCAGATTCGGAATTTTGGGCTTGCACAGCAAAGGCTTGTTTCGTCTCTTCGTGGGAAGCATGCGAGTTGGCTAATTGGACTTCGAGTTCACGCAGACGCGTCTGCTCGGGTGAAGTTGTGCGCGGGCTGGCAAGTCCTCGGCTGCGCACAGCGGCCGTGGGGCTTATGCCGCGCTCATTGAGAATGTCCTTGAGCGCAGTGTGCTGCACAGTCATGGCATTTGTCTCGAGTTGCTGGGCAGCAAGCTGGTTCTTGACGTCGGAGTGAGCGGCTTGAAGGCTCTGGGTTTCCCTCAGGGCAGCCTGAAGTTGTCGTCTGATTGAAACACCTTCACGACTGGACTGCTCCTGGTACTGTTCCAAACCGGCAATGCGCTCCTCGGCACTGCGAAGCTTATCAGCAGCGGCATCAAGCTCCTGTTGGTACTTCTTAACCATTGCGTTGGCGCTGGTAATCTGACTCTGCAGAGCCGCGATTCGCTCGGGATCGCCACTGGTCGACTTGGGCGAGTCACGGAGGGTGATCTTGTCGAGCCCAGAGAGGACGACCGCACGATGTGTTCTGGCTTCGTTTGCGTGCTTCTCAGCCAGCTCCTCGGCGTCGCGTAACCTCTGAGTGGAGGCGACTAGCTCGGCTGTGCGGGCTTCGTGCTCGACCTTGAGCTTGTTGAACTTGATCTCGAGCTTCTCTCGAGCGGTGCGCTCTTCCGCCAATTTCTTTTCTACATGTGACTTGCCATCTTCTGAAGCTTTCATGGCTGCTCGCAGAGACGTAAAGGTCTCGTCGTGGGTTTTTGAAGTCCCCACAGCGTCGTTGTACTTGGTCGTTATTTCCTCCTTTTCGGCCTTGAGTAGAGCCAAGGCGGATACCGCGTCAGAGCAGGAAACAGAGTGTTCACGAGCTTCTCGCTGTGACAAATGTAGTTCAGACTTTAGGCGCTCGACTTCAGCAGAGGTTTGCTGCTTGTAAGCTTCAAGATGGGCGAGGCGCTTCTCAGCGGCAACGGAAGTCTCGTCGGCTAACTGGCGAGCCCGTCTCTCAGCTTCTAGTTCTGACCTCAGACTCTCGATCCGGGCTTGCTGGTCTTTTTGCAGGTGGAGTGCCGTCGCGAGCTTCCTGCTGATACCATCCGAGCGGCCAACTTCGTCACGCTCACCATCGAGTTGCGGGGTGCTGGCCGCGCTGCCGCCGGTATATGCTGCCACTTTGGCTTTGGCATACACGGCCTCCTGAATGGCAGCATCTCGTTGTCTTTCTGCTTCAGCAATTTGCTTGGCGGCAAGGACAGCTTGCTTGTCGACAGAGCTTTGCACGTTGGCGAGTTCAGTTCGCATGGCCAGCAAAGCCTCAATGAGAGGCCTGTCTTCGTCGTCGAAGGTTTCCGAGGACTTGTCCAAGGCCGGACTAGAACTGTTTGGAACATAGCCACCCTTTCTAGCCAGCTCAAGTTCGGAGGCATACCAAGCATTCTTGTTTCGTGCAGCGTCGAGTTCCTTGAGCAAGGCAACAGTCTGCGAGTTGCGTCCGGATGAACGGCGAGACACCAAGCTGCCACCTTGTCGGTTGGGGGGTGGCGGCGATGCCGGGCGATTGGCTCGCGATGATTCTAATGTGCTGTCGATGGAGCCTTGTGACGGGCGAGGGGAGCGAGCTTTTTCGGCAGCGTTAGCTGCTCTTGAGCCAGATGGAGGCGATCGTTGACCGTTCACAGCGGTAGCGTGAGGACCTTCAGGATCTGCGCCAAGTTGCCGTGAAGAAGCTTCGACGGAGGCAGGTTTTGGCGAGGCAGGTCCAGGGCGATCGACTGATGCGCCACGCACCCGCCCAAGAGAAGAGGGCTCTATAGGCGATTTGGCGGCAGCAGGCGCCGGTGGGGGTGAGACGGCTGGCGGAGGGGCTGGTCGAGGCAACTTTGATCCCGCGCCAACTGGGCCTTGAGGTTCGGGGCTTGTCGGGTTGAGAGAGCGGTTCGAATCGGGACTCGAGATGGGGGCTTGTCCGTTGGTGGTAGCTGCGGCGGCGGCGGCGGCGGCTGCACCAGCCACTGCACCTGCGCCTTGTGTGATTCGCTTGGGATCTTGCCCCGTATTGGCGGTACCTGGGGCCTGGCGACTGGCGGTCTCAAGGCTCGGCCGAGTAGCTTGAGCGGCACGAATGGAGTTCTGCTGAGCATCGGCGGGATAGCGAATCTTAGTCGTATCCAAGACATAAAGGATACCAAGATCATTGACGGTAGATGCAGCAGTGCTAGGTTCACCGCCAAGTACAGCAATGGACTTGCCAACAGTGGTCATACTGTGACCTGATCGAGGCGAGGGTGACGGGCCCATATTTTGGAAGGTGTACCAGCGTCGGAGAGAAATTCGAAAGGCGGCGAGATCGCCCAAGTCGGTGCCCTCCTCAGTTCTGCCTCCAAATACATACATGACATCGTCGACGAGTGCGGCAGCATGGCCTTCACGGCGAGAGGGAATGTAGCCAATGCAGTCGAGCTGAGACCACTTGTTGACTTGTGGGTCGTAACACCAAACATCGTTAAACCATTCGAAGCCGTTGGTACCACCGAAGAGGTACATTTTGTCGTTGTAGGTGATGACGGTGTGATTTGTTCGAGCAGCAGGAATGCTGGGGGAAGCGTCAGACTGGAGTAAAATTTCCCAGCGGTTGTTGGCCATCTGCAGCTGGTTCAAGTCAAAGGCAGACAGATCATTCATGAAATAGCCTTCGACTTGGCCGCCAAATATGTAGATCTTGGAGCCCAGAATGTTCAGCGAGTGGCCGTAGCGACCAGAGGGGCGGGGGCCGGCCGGCAGAGCCCTTGACCAGTGTCGAGTTGATGTGTTGAGTAGATAGAGGGTCTCGTCAAGAACATCGGAATCCTCAATCTTGGTGTCGCCGCCGTAGACGATGAAGGCATTGCCAACGAGCAGACTAGAGTGACCAACCCTGGGACCGGGACCCTCGGCGGTGGTAGAAAGAGGATAGCAGGACATGCTGCCTCCGGCCTCAATCATCCAGAGATCACCTTTGACGGTGGAGCTACCAATCAGGCCACCCATCATGTAGATGTCGCCTTCTTTGGAAGAGGCGCTATTGACGGCGGCGCCATATCGAGGAAAGGGACTAGAATTTGGCGTCGTGTATGTGATTCGGCGTTGCGACCAAGGATATAGAGAAGCATTTGGATTTGCGGGTGGGGGGCCGGTGCGAGGCTGCATCGGAGACATGGAGCATTAACATTCTGAAGATGGCTTTTGGCGCAGCCGCAACGGAGCAATTGGGGGGAAAAAGGCAATTGCACTTACTGGAGCGTCGCTAGAAGGGTTCCCCAGGGCATTATTATTATTAGTATCGACACTGCCGCCGCGACGGCTGTGAGCAGAGGTGACCTGACGCTCGGGGGTTGTGACGGCATCATTTTCCAAAGAATTTAGGCTGCCGGTGGGCGTGGCTCTGTGCTTGTCATTTTGGATGCGGGCATTGGTGCCGGCCATGGCTGTCGGGGGAGCATTGCCATCACGGCTAGACAGCGCGCGATCCTGGTTCTTCTTTGATTTGAAGAGAAATGCCATGATCAATCAGGGGCCGCGCGCCGGCGGGCAATCGAGTGAGGAAAGTCGGCGCAACGGTGATAAGCGATTCGATGGCGATTGAAAGGAGAGGACAGACAAGCATGCAGTCGAATGAAAGGGTCGAAGCGAGAGTGAGATGCGGTTGTGCAGTCGGCAGAGCGAAGTTGTGTAACGACGGCGCTGGCAATCGAGGTGATGGTTGGAGCCAGGGGAAGACGGACAGATTTGCGCGCGCGCGAATAGCTGTGGCGTCAAGTCGGAAGGAGGAAGTCGAGTTGCGGTACCGAACAAGACAAAAAGGCGAGAGGACTCGAGTTTGGAGATGGCTGGAAAAGTCTAGGGGTGTGCGTGGGTGAGAGGGCGATTGGTCGGGGGGGTTGATGAGGAAGAAAGTGGTTGTCGCCTGTCTTTTTTTTTTCCCTCCTGGCGGCTGGGGGGTAAGAATGCTAGAGGGCAGAGGGGTTGGGTGTTGCGACTAGCAAGAGCCGGGGGAGGAGAGAAGAGGAGTCGAAATGGAGATGTCACAGCGTCGCAAGTTGTGGTGAGCAAACGAGGTGGTGGAACGGTAGGGTGTAGGCGAGTGAGAATTCGGGAAAAGGAATCAATCGATGGATCAATTGTTGATTGAATGCGAGGGCGTTGGAAGCGACAAAGCGGCGATCAAAGGCGCAAAAGGAGACCTGTGAACCGTAACGGCGGACGCTTTGGATGATGCTGGGGAAGGAAGACATGAACACAAGGTACTGGTTAGATGGACCCACTGTATCCGTAGGTAGCGCTGCATTTAGTTGACGAGCCCCTGTTTCTCATGTTTCGGGGGCGGTTCCAGCGTACTTGGCTGCCCTGAGCGCACATTACTTAGTGGTTGTTACAGTGGAGGGCGTCTGTCTACCTACTCAGATACGGAGTCTTATGGCCGTGATTTACAGAGAATCATCTCTTGACAACCTACCTACCTATGAACTCGGTTGACTGCAAGCCCCAAGCGTCAGGTGAGTACAACATTGTATTTTTGCCTAGGTATTACAGATAACTGGTATTGCTACTTGTCCAACATTCGCCCAGCCCAGTGTCCATATTTAGATGCTCCTTGGCCAGCTGTATGCAGCACAAAGAGGCGGCTTCTTGACCAATCACAGCTTGCCCTCACCCTTTCTTTGGCGGCGGCGTTGGCTGTCAGGGGCTTTTAGGGGTTGGCAAGCAGCAAGCAAGTTAATACACCAGGAATATTCTACGCAGAAATTTAGACAACCTCCTTTTTATTTTCTTTCGTTCCTGCAGACTTGGTGCCGAGCCCCGGAGATCCTTGTTGTTTTTCCTTGCTGGTTATAACAAGCATGGCGTCATATTATCAAGACGTCAAGTGGCTGGGTTTCGAGTGCCAGTCGGCAACATGGCGCACTGTGGGGGAAAACTGTATCTACCTACCTTACCTTTTATTAGTAAGGTTACATACCTCGAGGTTCTTTTGCCAAAGCCACTTGGCAGCGACAAAAGCTACAGGCCCTATCTATGCTCGATGACCGCTATTTTCTGCCGGCGACAACCACGAGGTGATGCTGCAACTCTAGATGACGTTTAAAGCATCGGTACTGCAGTACCCGACCCCGGCTCGTAGGCAGGTACCAGCCTCAGGTGCAGGGCGCCATCGGTGGGCCGCTGGGCCGCACCCGCAAATCCGCGCTGGTACTTAAATGCCAACATACCTACCAATGTACGGCCTACCTCCATGATTACTGGTATTTACAGTTTGTGCGCCGTCCCAGCCCGCGAAATCAAAGGGGGCTGGCTAGAGGGGCGGCGCCGATCCACTTCCGTTTTCACCCATCCAAGCTCAGTGCTGGCAGCCTCCCTCCCACGAGACAACAAGCCACGGCGCACCTTTGGCCTAAAATCTCCTTTTTCATATGCTACATCACTACGGAGCAGAGCAGAACGTTCAGCATCAGACGAAAGCATTGTCTATCGCGGATGATCATCCGTCATAGTTTCACGTCTCATCTGTCTATCCCCGCCCCGGGACGGCTTGCTTTCATGGAAATTTTACGTTCGATGCTAAACACTAAACAAAGACTCACGAGCTCATTTCCTTGCCTCTCATCTCTCTTTGTCGCGTGCAATCCCAACCATTCGCGCTGATGAATTGATTCGTCAGCGCGGTGCCGTATGCTAGGGGGCTCATGCCACACCAGACTCTTGAGCGACCTCGCACACGGCCTGCCCATATCCGTTTCCCGCCGCAATATGATTGAGTAATACGGATATTACCTCGTTCAACTAAGTCGCTGCCCACCTTGTAAATACTGCGAACTGTCCCATTCCCATCTTCATGCTGTTTGCCTGGCCACGCCAACTCCTATTGCCACACCAGCCCGTGGCGAACCTGGCCCTGGACCAACAAACAACTTTGAGACGCTGCATTTCGATGCCATGGCAGAATAAGCATGGCTCGACTTGCTCATCCATCGCATTGCAAAACATCAAAGTAGTACACACGTACCGTCAACCCCCCACGTTTCCGACCCTCGCGTTTCGTGAATACAACAAAACCTCACTCGTAACCGCACGCACCACACCATCTCCGGGACAGCAAGGCATTTTATAGGCTTCCTTTCTGGTAGGCAAACGGCGAAAGCATCGCCAATGTGTCATTGAGGCTCACTTGTCCCGGGCCACGGGTTTAGGTTCTAAATCCGACGATATGCCGACGATATGATACAGCGAGTATACTAACCTTCCAAGGAAACGTAAAATAATGCTCCCCCGATCAAGTACTGCCAAACAGAAAAGAAAAAAGAGAGAAGGGAATGACCGAGCTTATGGACATACAAAATTGTATGAGAGGAAAGAATAAATGGAAAGTAGAACCAAGCCACCCAAAACACCAACTACGAGAAATGTCAACCCTTTGATGCGCCCATTTGCTTTCTCTCTTCTTTTTTGCATTTCCAAGACTTCTCACGCCGCAGGGGCCGACTCCTCGACGTGGACACGCTTAGCGTCCCGAGCGCCTTCGTCGCCATCTGTGCCGCGTTTTCTTTCCTGACCGTGGTTGGTGGGCGCCGCAGTCGGTACGGGGTTCTTGGCCACGCGCCGAGCTTCACGCTCGCGACGCTCGTTTTCCTTGCGCAGCGCTTTCGATTCAAACTCGTGCCAGTCACCACCGATATTCGCAAGTCTGTGCAAGGGTCTCCAGTTAGCATCATCTTGTGTAGGAGTAGGGGGTCAGATGGCAAGGCTTTGGACGGAAATCCCCAAAAGACACACACACACACACACAGAAAAAAAAAAGAGAAACTCACTCTGTGGCCTGCTTAGGCAGTGGCTCTTCCGTTGTAAAATACGGATGAGCCAGCACTTCACCTGCCGTCGGTCGCTTTGCTGGATCGTACAAAAACATCGACTGTGTGAGCTCGTATGCCGCCGGCGTGAGCTCTGCACTAAACATCTCAGCAAACATGCTTCTCCGCTTCGCCGTCGGTCGCAGCAGCTCGAACCAGGCCATGTCCACGAGACCGGGCCAGTCATATCGATTCGGTGTGCCTAGCACGTTGTAGATCTTGTCTAACTGGCTCAACTCCGTACCGTCACCAGCAAAGATGGGCTTCTGCACGAAAATCTCCATCATGACGCAGGCGGCGCTCCAAATGTCAACGGCAGCAGTGTACTGCGTCTCGCCCAACAACAGCTCGGGAGATCGGTACCATATTGTGATGACGCGGTTCGTGTAGTCGAGCTGGTGTCGCTTGGCGTAAAAACGGGCGAGACCAAAGTCAGCAATTTTGAGGATGCCGTCACTGCTCACGAGGATGTTTGCTGCCTTGATGTCTCTGTGCAGCACACCTCTCACGTGGAGGTAGTCGAGTCCTTCAAACAGTTGCTTGGCTAGATGCTTTTTCTGCGGCGGCTCCAGCTTGAAGTGAGGGTGGTTGAGCAGACCAGTCAAATCATGAGACAGGTACTCAAAAACCATGAAGCAGTCGTTCTTCTCGACCATGACTTCTTGAAGATTGACAATGTTCTGATGGCGTAGTGACTGAAGCAGTTTGATCTCTCTGACCGCAGTCACGGGAAATCCGTCCCGCTCTCCTTCCATTCGAATTCGCTTCAAAGCCACTTGCCCCTTTGTGTATACATTCAAACCCTTGAAAACCTTGCCGTACGTACCAGAACCAACAACTGACTCATTTCCTGGCTTGCGAAAAAAGACAGACTCTGATGCAACCAAGTGTGGCGGTAGAGTGGGTCTTGGCTTCGGCCGTTGCATCTTCTTCATAACTTTGCGCATTCTTGGTGCCATTTTGGGACCCTCGGGAGGCTTTCGATCGAACAGTGGCTGTGTGGGTGCGCCTGGCGGGGGCTCATTCTTGCCATCTTTTGGCTGAATTTCCTTCTTTGGAGCGGGGGCGTTAAACTTTTGTGATATCTCGGGCTTGGGACCTGATGGAGGGGCCTTGGATGGCTTGAAAGCAAAGCTAAACTTGGAGGGGGAGCTTGTCTGCGCCGATGGCCCTTTAGGAGCATCTTGCCGGGATCGCTCACTTCTGTCGTGTCCTCGTTCGTCCCGCACTCTGTCGAATGCTTTGTTGTCGAGATCGTTGCTGTCAATATCCATGGCAGTCGTTTCATCATTCTCACCATTGCTCCCTTGCCGCTGCTCGCCGCCGCGAGAACTGTTGAGATCCCACTGGCTTCCCCGTGATGGAGGGTTTCGATGAGCTCCACGACCGGCGAATGAGCCACCTCGAAAACCAGCGCGTGGCCCTCGGTTACTGGGGCCGGACGGGGGGTCGAAAGGCGGTGATCTTGCGGAGTTTGGTCCAGTAGGCGGCCCATGCCGACTGTCCTGTCCACCATGATCGTGCGAAATTGGCTCATTGCGGCTGATACGACGACTGGGAGATAGTGAATCCCGATAATGTGGCGACTTTTTATAGCCATTCTGGTCCCTGTAGTGAGTGTTGGAGCCCCCTCGACTGTGCCGTGGATTCATTTCGTCTTCTTGAATCGGTTTCGATGGATTACTTCTGTTCCTCGGATCTGATACTTTCGACTGCCTCGTTGACTGGTCTCTTTCGGCTACAAATGTCCTTGAAGCCTCGACACCAGCAATGTCGCTCGGAACTGAGCTCTGACGGTGTGAATGATGGCTATGAGAAGCTGGTGATCGGCTTCTAGATCGATGGCGGTCGTTTTGATGTGGGTGCCTGGATTCCCTCGATCCGCGATGAGAGTCTCGGGCAGGTTGTCGGGGCGACCTGGTCAATGAATCACGCCTTGATCTGCGGCTGCTGCTTTGAAACGGCTCTGGAGAGTGACGAGAGTCGCCGTGTTTGCGTGAAGATCCCGACTTCCTGCCGTCTGAAGAGCGATGGCGGCGCTTCGATGTAGAGTGGGAGCCTCCTTCACGTCTCCCTCCTGATGGGCTGTGCTCTCGTCGCGACCGCTTTCGGCGGGGGCTCTTGCTGCGGGTTCGATGGCGCTTGGTTGATGATGGCGAGCGGCTGCGTCGTCTGTTGTCTCGGCTTCGACTGCGGCTGCGAGTACGGCTGTGATGTTGCCGACTTTCTTGCCCGACAGCATGAGCTTGCTTCTCGCGGAAGCGGGGGATTAAGTCGTCGGATTGAGCCGATGGGCGCGAATTGTCGGTAGGATGGGATCTGTTCCTGTCCCTACTGCGATCGCGGGGGCGGTGATGTTGGTGGCTTGAATCTGGCCGCGCCTCGTTGGCGCGGGTACGGGACGTGCTGTCGTCGGGGTTATGACGAGAACGACGAGGAGAATTTGAGCGGTCCGGATCTCTCAAGTGTCGACTCGACCGAGACCTGTCTCGATGGTCGCGGTGTCCACCGATTTCTTCCATGGCAGCATCTCCGAGGCGTCGCGACGCAGAAGCTGTGGTGGTGGAGTGGGTGCCTTTGGGTGGTGCACGCCAGACTGATGAATTTTTAGTGCTGTTGTTCCCCCCCGAGCTGATAAATGGCCGCACCTTAGCCGGACCAAGACACTCCACAGTCATCAGCCACGTAACCGCCAGGCGGTGACTGAAGCCGTGCTGTGTCAATGTATTTGGCAGCTGAGGCATGACCATGTTCCTGCTCTTTCTAGAAACGATGTGTTGCCGCAACACCACGCATACCTAGGTAGCCATTGCATAGCTATGACATGTGGCGGGCTGCAGCAACACGGCTAGCCTCCTAAGCCCATCATCCCTCTCTTGCTTATCCGGCCGAGCTTAGGCCAACAAAATTGGCTACTGGCCAGCTTCGATTAATCTGAAGTCCAGTATGCACTCGAACATGCCCGAGGTTGATGGTGGCCGGCCGGCTCATCATCCACCGGAGACTGCAGGATCTGCCGGGTGATGAGCAGTCAGATGTCCTGTCAGACGGCGCAATTGTCGCCAGGACAGCTTCAACAAAAGCAATGAAAGCATTGCGCACTACAAGTTGACCCTGATAGATCAAATTTACGAGACCGATTCCAACCCACTTTCCTCCCCCCCTCCACGAAGCGCGGCGGCACTTAGAGGCAGCAGTTCCGTGACGATTTTTCGTTCGACTAGCAGCGTTTTGTTGCCGTGCAAGAAGTATTCTGAGGCTCAAATCGCTAATAGCTTGTGACCTCCCAAGCATTCCCGTTGATTGTGTGAAAAATTGAGCAGCATATATATATATATCCGCCATAGAAAAAGCTCGCGCCGGCGCGCAATAGAGTCTGCCACGGCGATGAGGCCGTACAAAGTCGTATGTAACATTGTAACCAAGCGTTTCAAGAGCAGGGTGCACTGAGGGCTGCGCAAGGATTGCCGTCGTGATGCTCATGGCGATGATGGTGGCGAGTAAATATACCCTGCGGTCGCTGGCGCGGCTGGGGGCGAATAGCCGTCATAACAATGGGTTACCGTCGATGCTTGATGGTGGTCGAATAGCCTATCGACGTTGAAGAACATCCCCCATTGTTCAAAAGTATCACCCTGGTCGCGAATGCATTTTAGGCGGGCGTCCCTCCTGGAGCTGGCAATCAGCGCAGCCTCCCATATTTGCAGAAGCGTCGCACGCAAGGCTGAAGCCGATATATGAAAAGTCCTCAAAAATTTCTTTCCTCGTTCGCTCTGTCCGTTTAGTACGGTTCCAGTTGTCGTCTCCCCATGAGGCAGGCTGGGATGTGATGAATCATGACGGGCGTGCTGAGGAGAATGCTTGATGCTTGTGCGCAGCGATGGAGAGGCTGGCCAGAGAGTGGGCAGCAAAAGTCACGTGATGCAAAGTCAGCAAGATGATAGCGCTTGGTCAGACAGCGAATGGCTACATGGCTGATTAAGTAGACTGCAAACTACGGACCGCAAGCTCAAACCTGTAATAAATTTGATTAGTCTGCTATTTGCTGTTCATATCGATAGGTAGATAGCCAAATCTAAGAGCCAGGCGGCCAAGCTTCAGAATGAAAAAGGCACGAAAGTCGGCTACGGCGTTGGCTAAATCCCCGTGCCGGGATACTTGGACTAATTAGGACTAGTGATATTGCCGCTCTTGCTCTGGCTCGGATCAACCCAAGCTCAGCCACAGCTCAGTCAGAGCACAACGAGAAGCGCGCGATTCATGCAAGTTCTGCACTCACCACTTCAGTTAGATCCTGCATGTGATGGCAAACGCATGGTAGACTTAGGTCATCTTGTTTATATTAGCGACTCAGATTAGGAACGTCATGGTGCTGCGGCGAACCTCATTATGAAGACAAGCCCCTTGACCGTTGACATGGAAGTGAAATAAAGCATGCAGCCTTCACCGTTCTGCATTCGCGCTTAGTGTCCTCCGGCAATATGATGCGTTAAGAATATATCAACCATAATCTTCTGGGGCATATATAGGAAGCTGTTGGATGTGCACTTAACTGTAGCCAGAGGCCTTTCTAAGAATCTCTATGAAATCAACTGCGCGACCTTGTACTCTGAATATATGATAAGTACATAGGCATAAATCAATGAGGGTACCTTGAAGAAGCCATACAATTTTGCCTGCAAGGAAGCGAATTTTCGGTGCTCAGTCACGGCTCAGGCTAAAAGCGGCGGGGCTCAGGATCGGATTCAGGGCAGTCTGAGATTCTGGATGGCCGACGGGGTTCCAACTTGCGATTCTGCAACAAGTTTATGCGCAAGTCGGCGCAACGGGAGTTTGTCCATAACTGTATATTACCCCGGTGGATCTAAATATATAGAGACATGTCGCCCAGTCTTGTTCACATGGAAATGCTTTGGCTTTGTTAGATAGTAAATCTCGTTAGCGTCTGGCAGCCGAGACCTCCGTACGTTGCACAGCCAGCCAACGCCCCGCGTCATCCCGACTTTAATTTAGGAAGTTTCCAGCCTTTCAAATTTTTGTCTTCAATTCACAGTTTGAACCGTCTTTTCTCTCTCTCATCGGTGGCCAAGAAAGCCGTATCGGCGCTGACACCACCCGCAAAGCCCATTCGCAATGGAGTGGTTTGGAAAAGCCAAAATTGAGTTTACTCATTCACCAGCACCGAGAGCCATCAAGCAAAAGGATGGCAAGGACACCGACCTACTCAAAATCTGCGAGGCAACCACGCCGCCCTGCCATCTGAACCCGCTGTTGTTCAATGGCCACGTCCAGACCATGTGGACGGCGACGAAGCCCAGTGGACCCCAGGTCTTTTACCGTCGGCGCTTGTTTGACGCAGACCACGACACGTACAAGGGGTCGTATGCTGTCGACTTTGCTGTCGAGCCCTTTGAAGAAAGCGACCCCACGCTCCCGCACCGCACTGTGTATTTCACAGAGGAGGAGGAGAAGAATCTGGGGTCCGATGACGCGAGGCCCATGGTGGTCGTATTGCACGGCCTCTCTGGCGGCTCTCACGAGATCTACCTCCGACACACCATCGCGCCGCTGCTTGGCCAAGGAGGCTGGGAGGCCTGCGTCGTCAACTCTAGAGGATGCGCCAGAAGCAAAATCACTAGTGGCGTACTGTACAATGCTCGCGCCACATGGGACGTGAGACAGGTAATGGATGCTTCACCCTTGGCTCGCGAGCTCGTCTGCTGACATCGCTTCTATCCAGACAATCAAGTGGCTACGCGAAAAGTTTCCCAATAGACCTCTGTTTGGCCTTGGTTTCTCCCTTGGTGCCAACATGATGACAAACGTGAGTTTTTTTAGTCTTTCCATGCAGGAAGCTGCTGACCCTCACATAGTATTGCGCTGAAGAGGGCGAAAGCTGCGTTCTCAAAGCCGCTGTTGTCTGCTCAAACCCGTTCAACCTGGATTGTGCCAGTAAGCTTATGCAGAGCACTTTTATCGGAAGGGAGCTTTATCTGAGGGTCATGGGCTGTAAGTCGGCCACATCTTCCAAAATATCATCAAACTAATGGGGAAATCTAGCTTCGATGAAGCAACTCATTGCCAACCACAAAGAGGAGATCAAGAAGCACACAAATCTCGACTTGGAGGCTATCAAGCGCATCACCTATCTGCATGATTTCGATAGAGAGGTTCAGTAAGTCGCTGGCTGTTCCGCAACCGCCAATACAAGTAGTAACAAGTGACAGATGTCCAACCTGGGGATACCCCACCGAATCTGCGTACTACCGTGACGCCTCTTCCTGCGATTCGGTCTTGTCCATCAGAATACCTTTTTTGGCTGTCAATGCCAAGGACGATCCTGTACGTTTCCGCACGACAGCCTGCGCCGGCTGTAGGCTAACATGATGGCATAGATTGCAGTCGGTGCTGCACTCCCGTACCAAGAATTTCGCCAGAACCCCAACACCATCCTGCTAACGACATCACTCGGCGGGCACCTATGTTGGTTCGAGTGGGGTGGTACAAGGTGGTTGACCAAGCCCGTCAACAACTTTTTGAACCACATGGCCTTTGAGGTTGACTTTGACTCGGCCAAGCCAACAAAAGATGCGCAGGGCGACCAAGGGCCCATCGCTTTCGACCCTATGCGACGAAGACTGTATGTCCCGCAAATGTAACAATTAGACTCGATAATTGTAGGAGCTTTTACCATCCATTTCTCGCCGGACTCTTTGAGGAATCATCACATATACAAGACTAGAAACGATATAGAAAGACCTAACTAGACAGCAAATTACAAGAGTATCCTTTTCAACACTCTCAACTTGATGAGATTACTCTCAGTTTCTGGTTGTTACTCTTCTTTACTCTCCATATTTTCTCTGAATTCCTTCAGTTATGTTCGCCTCTTCTACAGCGCAATTGGGCTAATGGCCGTGGTTAGGCTGATCGGGGTAGCTGGCTGTTAAAACAGATCTTCGAATTACTTGGGACGCGCATGGGTGCTGGGTCACTTTGGTGCTGTTACTATCAATACTTAATTACTGATTTCATGTTTTGTATATTGACAAGCCATGTCTGCCCAACCTTTCGACACTGCCCGAGTCCCAAATATGATGCGTACGCCACAAACGCCAGGCAATGCGGAAAGGAAAAAAACTAAAAAAAACTAAAAACGAAGTAACATCATGCACAAATGCAAAAGGCTGCTCATGCAAATGCAACCTTCTTCTTCGAAGCCTTTTTGGCCTTGCTGCCAGCAGACAGAAACTCCTTGACATTGTCCTCGTCCATCTCGGATGTCTTCTTATTGCGCTTGCGTCGCAGCGAGTCCTTGACGTCTTCCAGTCTTGACTGCCTCTCGCCTTCTTTCTTCTCGGCCTCGGCTCGTCGAGCTTCGCGGATCTCTTCCATCTGGCGCGCCTTGATCATCTTGGATTCGATCTGCCCATTCTTTTCGGCCTGGACGATGGAGAGGATGGTGTTCATGCTTTCCTGTTGACGCATTGTTAGAAAACAAAACCCACGCAATATGCGCCAGCATTGTGATGTGCATGTGTGTACACCACAGCCAGCGCTGTGTGGCAACGTACCCGATCGTCGACAAAGACCTTGCCCTTCTTCTTGCCCTTGGGCTTGACGACGCCGACGGGCGTGACCATGTTGAGGGAGGGAATATTCAGCTGGGCCTCGGTGTACGTCTTCTGCTTGCGCTTCTTGAACAGCGCGCTGACGCTCTTGTCCTTGACCTGCGTGGATGCGACGGGGCCGCCTTTGGGCTTCTTGGATTTTGAGACGCCTTCGGTTTCGGAGCGCTTGCCATTTTTGCCAGCACCCTTGGGCGCGGCGTGCTTGTTCTTCATGGTGCGCGTACGATTGGGCGCCATGATGTCGAATGGTGCTTCGAGAGCGCTGCCAATCGCGGGACTGTATGATTTCTTTTTACCTCGTTGCGCTGGTTGAGATGCAGCGCGTGCTGGTGGCCGGTAGGATGGGCTTTGGGAAATTTTTTTGGCGGAGGTACTGATAAGGCCGATAAGGCTGACACGTTGAAAATAAAAATGGGCGGCACCCAAGGTAGGCAGGCAGGTAGTCGGCCACCAGGGACAGCTACCTTACGTCGTAACAAAAGGAAGGGAGATGGGCGAGAAGAAAAGAAGGATAACATAATAATGTAATTAATAGTAGGCATCCGGCTTATGCAATGATTACTATACCAAGTTCAAGTGTAGGCACAAACCGCCGTATTGCTAACCACTAACCTACCTACCTAGGTACTTAAAGTACCTTTAGTGGGGTTGTTGGCTGTGAATAACCTTTGCGCAGGTACCTGTTTGTGAAAGGGAGAGCATGCCCAGTGTAGTACAGAGAAAGGAAATTGGAAGCTATACTATAGCTATATATTACTTGTGAAACGAACATTGAAAGATTGATTGAACTCAGGTGACAGAGACTCCCTTCCCCTCCTTTTATCCACCGTTGTGAAATATTCAAGCACAGAGGTGCAGAGGTGAAAGGTACCGGAACAAGGAGGTTCGCACCACTACCTAGCCAAGTAAAGCACCACGAACTACAGGTATGGAGTACACCGCCAGCTCTTGTTAACTACCTGGATTGCCAATTAAGCGAGTAACCATATAAACTCACAGATGCTTGTCTGCTAGTTTGATTTTCTAGAAAGAATAAGATAATAAGCAGGTACCTATCTGACTTTCGCTGCTTGGCTCGCTCTCCTGCTTCTTCCTTCTCCACATCTGGGAGGTACATAAGGTACCCTTGCCGGCCACTGTCAACTGCCTTGTCTCCGCCAAAACGTCCTAAACCTCAGACGCAGACAGAATTCTACTTCTCTTCGACCTTCTCTGATCCACAACACACCACCACCAAGTCCCGAATCGCGTATTCTCTCGCCCGCATTAATACTCTCCGAGCCTGTCTCTGTACAACCTCGTCTGCGTAATTTCGGCCTCAACCACACATTCCAAGTTCTACACATCATTTCCGTCGAGACCAATCGCCAATAGCACCCAGCTCGCGTGCCTCTAACGCTCCCTCGCTAGCCGCCACATCGACTTTGCTCCCTCCCGATCGGCCCTTGACGACGCAAACACATCATCTCCATCCAACGCGCCCTTGTGAACCTGTTATTCTCGCTGCTGCGTCGTTTTGATCCCCCCGCCACAGCCTTCCCCGCAGCTCTCCTCCGACCCTTGCCAGGTGCCGTTCCTGCGCTCAACTGCCGCCTTGCATCGTACGAGTCAGCGAAACGGCGTCAATGGATAACCTATGGGCTCGTCGCACAAAGTCAGTACATGAATTGGCACATTTCTCCACTCCATGAACAATAGCTAACGTCCTGAACCAGCACCAGCAAGCTTTCCTTGACGACGCCAACCAACAGCGCCACGGGTGATTCCACCAGATTTGCCTCCTCCAGACGCCAGGATGGCAAGTCAACCGGCTTTCCCTCTAACCCGGGAAGCGCTCTGGCCTCGCCCACCACGGGCGGCGGTGCCTCCAGCGCTTTCGGTCTAGGCTCTGGCGCCTTTGCCTCCTTTGGCTCTGCGAAGACGCCTAAGACGTCAAGCAACCCCTTTGATACCGCCATGGCATCCGCCGTGCCCAAGCAGGGCTCCGGAAAAGATAGCTCTAGGGCGGTACCGAAATCCCGAAACATGGCCTCCATATCAGAAGCAAAGCCCTCTGGGGCTGCTGTCGGCCAGATACACCCGCTGAAAGACGCCTGGTCATTCTGGTACCGTCCGCCCATCTCTAAAGCCCACGGCTACATCGAGTACGAGAATACCTTGCACGGAATTGCCACCGTACGTACGGCTGAGGAATTTTGGGAAGTCTATTCACATCTAAAGAGGCCTTCCTCTCTGCCAGTTGTTTCCGACTACCACCTCTTCAAAAAGGACATTCGCCCTATTTGGGAGGATGAAATCAACAGAAAGGGTGGAAAGTGGGTCGTCAGAATGAAGAAGGGTGTGGCTGACCGACACTGGGAAGACTTGCTCCTCTCTCTGATCGGTGACGAATTTGGTGATGCCGGCGAGGAAGTCTGCGGTGCCGTGCTCAGTATGCGCAACGGTGAAGATATTCTGAGCATCTGGACTCGAACGGATGGTGGTCGTGTCCTCAAAATTCGGTAAGTATAGTCAGGCACAACGCCGATAGACCTGAGCAGGTATTAATCTCTTTGCAGCGAAACCATGAAGCGTATCCTCAACTTCCCACCCAACACCCGCGTTGAGTTCAAGAGCCATGACTCCAGCATCCAGCAGCGCACCGCTATCGATGGACAGCGTCGTGAGAAAGCCATACAGCATCACAACGACAAGCGAAACGCCGGCAGCTCAAGACAGAGCCATGAGTAGGGGCGCAGTCACCCTGTCGAGATCGTCCTCGCATTTTGTCTGCTAAAGAAACTGTATGAATAAAAAGAGAGCAAAGCTATGGTTCTGAATTTTCCTTTGCTCCAAAGCTGAGCCTTTTGCGTCCCGCTGTATATCTGTGCTCTGAGTTGTTGTTGTATTACATGCTCCTTGAGCACAGTTGGTTATCTTCGTTCGTTCATATTGAAGCAGAAAAACAATATGTCTCTTCTATTTTGACGTTGCTGCTCCCGATTGTGAGGAGGATGCGCTCGTTTTTTGTTTTGTCCAAACCCCTTGCAAACGTGTGGCGGGAGCATGGAAGACGGTAGCGCTCGAATCTCATCTCGATTTTTCTGCCTGGAACACGGCAGGGGCGTGAAGATACGCTGGTTGGCAATCCGGCTTGGTAGGAACAGTCTTTTGAGCGGCTCCACGAGAGGTGGTCATGTATTATAGAGGAGCTGTTCTTCCGTTGTGACGGCGAAGCGGCCCGACGGCGCAGGAGCATTTCCATTTTGGAATATTGAATAAGCTTGTGCAAAGTAAAGCTGGCCAGTCGGCCTCGTCCCGCGTGAATAATTATAGTGTGACATGCCAAGAGCCAGAGCTACCTTACCATGCATGCCCTGCCGCGACGGAGCTCCCTAGCTTGTAGGTATAGCCACTCATTACCCTGATCATGCTCTTGGCCTGGTGACAAAATCTTTTCGCGAATCCTACAGTCGACCACTGCGCTCTGGCGCTAAAATTAGTTTCTGTCTGAGAGAGTCTGCCGTCCACTCGCGTTGAACAGAGTCCGCCAGGCGCTTTCGCTATTACTGTACATAACTCCCGAATAAGTCTCTCCAATTTCAAACGCCACTGTCTGTAAAAAAAAGTCTTTTGGTATAGTACATTATCATTCGAGAATCCCCTTTTCTTCAGAATTTTCTTTATTTTACTAGTTTGCATTCGCCTTGCCCTTGCCCTTGCCCACGGGGTCCCTCCTGCGCTCCCAGATCTGCAGATATGACTCTCCCAGGTATAGCAGCTCGCTCTGTACCTTGTCGACAAAGAGGTCCTGGCAGACAACCCACTCACCCGTCGCCTTGTCGCGCAGCTGGACCTTCCAGGCCTTGCGCTCCTCGCCCGTGTCGGCCACGTCCTCGCGGGTGCGCACCGCCTCGTGGACCACGTTGGCAACAAGGTCGTACCAGATGGGCTCGCCGGGGGGCCAGGCGGCGGGGTCGGGCTCGACGTAGGGCGCGACGTCGAGGTTGCGCGCGTCAAAGGTCACAATGGTCGGGTTGCGCTCAGCGACAAACTTGTTGTGGCTGAAGCGCTTGACGTGTAGTGCGAGGTACGGCGGCAGCGGGTGCAGCAGGCGGTAGCGCTTGCGCTGCGCGTGGTGCTCCTGCGCGGAGCGGCCGTCGTACTTTGCCAGGATCGACGTCAGCGGCACCTGCGGAATAATGTTACGCTCGAGCTCGTCCTGGAACAGGGGCGCCGACGGCAGATCCAGCGTCAGGAGCAGGAACCGCACCACGTCGACGCTGACCTCGCCGGCGTCCTCGAAGCGCAAGCGGTCGCCGACGTCGGCGCGCGCCGTGATAGCCTGCGACTCGACTTTGAGGCGGCCCTGGAACGCGCGCTGCACCATGGAACTGCCCGGCCGCGTCTTGCTGCCGCCGAGCCCAATGTGCAAGTTGTTGAGAAACCACGAGAGGAAGTCGACGGGGTCCGACTGCGACGTCAGGGTGAAGCGCTTGTTGGAGCGTAGCGCAATCTCCTGTAGTAGCTCGTGCGGCGATACGTGCGACTTGAAGGCCCGCGGGTTCCAGATCTTGCGGAAAAGGATGCTGCACCGCTTCACCAGCTCCGACTTGCCGGAAAAGTCCTCGAGAAGCAGGTAGTTGCGCAGCGGCGCGACGTGCGACAGCGCCTGCACAATGACGTTGATGTAGTCATTCTCCTTGATGTTGTTCATTCCCACGAAGCCCGGCACGTACTCCTTACCGCCCAGTGTCCAGCTCTTTTTGCGGCCACCGCCACCGCCAGCGGGGCGGTCCAGCTCCATTACCTCCTTCTTCGTGTAGCGCGGGTCCGACACGTACTTGATGTCGTCGAGCGCTTTGCTCCTGACCTCGTAGCCCTCGGGGAGCACGTAAACCTTTTGCGTTTCGAGGTTGATGTAGACGTGGTGGTCCTCGTCGAGCGAGTGAAAGTAGGCATGCGATTTGGGGCCTCGGCCCTGGAAGTACCGCCCGCAGACTAGGCACGCGTAGACGTTGATGTTGGAAAGTGATATCGAGCACAGCTTCTCAAAGTCAAAGTCGAGCACGTTGCGATCAATGGTGTCGAGGTACAGGTCATCGTAGCCCGCGGCTGGATTGGCCTGCCGCGTCGGTGCTGCTACGGGCGCCGCATCCGCGCCCTCAAACTCATCGTCGTCGTCTCCGCCATCGCCGCTGCCCGCCGCAGCTGTGTGTCCGTTGGTGCTGCCTTCATTCAATGCGCTTGTGATGTTATTGCGCTCGATGGGCGATTCGGCGTCGCGCGTCCGTGATCGTTTTGAGGCGGGTGAGGCGATCCCCTGCAAGTCTTCCAGCGCCTCAGTGGCGTGCCGCTTGTTCATTGTGTCCAAGCTCCGTATCAAAGTGTAGTGAGTCGATTCGAGTGTTTCGATCTTCTCGGAGCTTTCTTGGAGAACTGGTCTCTTCACAATAGGCAGCGGCGCATCATACAAAGCTGAACAGAGTGCAGAGACGTTGCTGAATGAAAAGCTGTAGAATAGGTTAGGTAGGTAGCTTCCTGGAGGTGGGGCTCCACAGCGCACTTGATGAGCCTCAGCACCACATGTTCAGCACCTGCCAGCAACCAGCACGCAATGTCTCTTTTCGGACCTCGAAATTTAATGCTTTTGATTGATAGTTATTTTTCGAAAGTTGCACAGATGGCTGTCTGATCAGGAACACAGCTATATACATGTTTTGAGCCTTTTATATACAGTTTACGCCACCAAAACAGCATCCTCCATTGTCACATCCTCGCCTGCTACAGGAGCAAGATTGTCCATTTCCTGCAGTGTATATTCCACCAGATAGCTTTCATCCACCAACTCCTCCATGCGCTTATAGTGTCTTTCAGTGTAGACTCTCAGCGCCTGTAGGATATCCTTCAAGCTCTGTTGTCCGCGGGCGCCCTTGACGGACAAGTTCGAGAACTTGGAAGCGGGGTAGCTGCGCACCAAAGCCCAGAGAATTCTCTGTGCGATGGGAGCAGTGCGCGCGTTCGTGTTCCAGTCGCGCAGGCGGAGTAGCAATAGGAAGATTTGGTCATCAGAAAGATTGCCAAGAACCTCATCCACAGCCCGCAAGCCTGTATAACTGCCCTCGTCCTTCTCCTGTCCAGTGACAACCGAAGTAAACAAAGCAAGAAGTCGCCCGGGGTGGTTCAGTTGTAAAGCTAATGTAATGGCTTCTCTGTACGAGCCAGCGTGGATGTGGTTTTGCAGCTCCTGCTCCTGCTCGATCAGCTCTAGTGCAGCTTTGGACGCGGTGGCTTGTGTCTCTGATGTGGTATCTTTCCAAAATGAAACAGACGAGTCACCACTACCGGAGACAATCATGTTCGTCTTTGGTTGTACAGCAACGGCCCATACTCTGTCCTCGTGGTTGTCCAATGTACACTCTGTCTCGCCTGAGTTTGTGTCCCAAACCTTCATAAGGCCGTCGCCACCAGCGCTAACAAACTGTACCGATTTCTTTTGCTCGCCTTTCGTGGGCATACTGAGCCATGCAACTTTCAGGACACTGTGTGAATGCCCCTCGAAGGTTCGAATGCAGGTATAGTCGGCCAGGCTCCAGAGCTTGATACTCTTGTCACCACTGCCTGTAAGAACAACACCCTTGCCCGTCACGGGACCATTATCGCTCTGGAGCGCGGGAAGATTCGCAGGTGAAAAGCGTACTGACCACACGCCTCGTTTGTGGCCACGTAGAATACCTTGCACTTCGCCCTCTGCAACAGACCAGATCTTCACGGTCTTATCCTGAGAGGCCGAAGCAAACAAGTTTCCAGAATGATGAATATCAATCGCATTGATATCCTTATCATGAGCTTTTCGAGTATAGAATGATTTGGCTCCCGACTTCGAGCCCTGCTGCTGTGACTTGCGGGGGACCTCCCACTTCTTGACAGTCTGATCCTGGGAGCCAGTAATTAGAAAAGCAGGGGGGTGTGATAGAGGATCCTGATATGCCTGAGAACTCTCCTGTGGCGTTATCCGAGGAAGTCCAACGGCACCGATGGACTCGGCGTGACCCGAAAAGGTTGCCCAACACGTATACGATCGGTTGGCATGATCGATTCGCCAAAGCTTTGCTGTGTTATCTTTTGCCCCGGTGGCGATCCAGTGACCAGACCAGTCGACATCCAGCGAGATGACGATATCTTCATGACCCTTTAGTAACGCCGTGTCTTGACCAAAATACGGTACGCTAGCAGTGCTCCACCCTGGGGAGGTATCGTCCGCACCAGGCTCCGCAACGGAAACAAGCCTGACGTCCTCGGAATTTGTAGCCAATGCAAGCAGACTGCTATCTGGAAGTATATAGGCAAGATCGATAATGTCATCGTGAGTTCCTGATATGCGGCGGAAAGGCTCAGGCGCGGAGAGCGAGGCAGACTCAGCCTTCTTTGGGAGCTTGTAAAGAGCCAATGTATGGTCTACTTGAACACCAAGTACGAAGGGAAGACCAGGTCTGTACAGCGCAGTCACGAAGGCTTCTTCTTCGCTTTTTTCCGTTTGCTTTGGTGTTAGCTCTTTGCCAGTGTCGGTGTCCCAGATACGAAGACAACCATGGGCACCGGCCGAATATGTGAGATTTCCATCGTCAAGAAAAGCAGCAGCCTCGACAAGTTCGAGACAGGGAACAACCTTGCGGATTTTCCAGGACTTGGCATCCCACCAAATGAGCGTCTTGTCTCGACTGGCAGTGACAATGGCATGCTGTGTAGGGCAATAATCCAGCCCTTTGACGTCAGAGACATGCGAGTCGAGGTTGGCAATGCAGCTTCGTTTATTCAGGTCCCACACTTTGACTTTTCCGTCCTGGCTGCCAGATATAAGCCTGAAGCTAATGGTGTTTGAGTCTTCGTGCTCGCCATCGTCTCGCGGGGGGGCTTTTCCCTTGCGAGAGCGCGTAGCGTCCTCGGATCGGGAGGCAACTTCGAAGAAATGAAGAGCCGACACCAAAACAGATGGGGCGCGGAAGGTATGGGTCACATATCCCTTTGCAATATCCCAGACCTTGATTGCGCCGTCTGTGCCGCCCGTAGCGAGAAGCGTGCTCGTTCGGTCGACCGCTAGGACTACAACCGGTGTGCCGTGAGGCTTAAGAGTTCGAATAAGCGAAGATTCGATAGAGCTACCGTCGGTCGACTTTTTGAGCGAGTATATTCTCATAGACAGTGATCGAGAGCAGATAATGAGGTGCGAACCAGAAGGTGTCACTTGCAAAGGTTAGCAAAGTAATCTAGTGGCAAGAGCTGGACGCCACACACGTGTGATTGTTGAGATAAGTTCTCCATCCTAGTTGTAGCATTAGCACACAATATGCCACTGATGCGACTTCGTCAACGTACTCCTTCGATTTCACCAAGATGTCGGCCGTTGGTGGGGTTTGTGAGTATGGCATTCTCGCCAATTGTCGTAGCCAAGATCAGCGCATCGTTATCTATTGAAACAGATCCACCCGTAAATATAGGACGGATCACGCGATCGACATCAAATGTCGTTTTCAAAGGCTGCTTCGTTGCCATGGCTGACGGTTGCTCGCTTTACAGAATCCATGTGCATCAAGCCAGGCGACTAGGGAATTTTTTTTTGGAGGGCGCGATAAGATAAGACACGACCCACTTTCTCGAAACCGTCGTTCAAGTACCTTATTACATTGCGGTAACCTACCTACGGAGCATGAGACCTACAACATTCAAGCATCATCCACCAGGTGAACACAGTATTGCTGCAAGCATCAAATTGTCAGTATTGCTGTTTCAATATAGCACCTCATGATATACTCGTTTCGATAAACTTCACCCGCGGCGCATATTGGCGGCTTCTTCGTCATGGGCATGCAAGGCCCACTAACTGCCCAAGCTTTGGTGAGACGCTTGCCTGTTGAGTGAGCCGCATTCGAGCACATGATTTTCTAACGTGATCAAAGGGCCGGTCACCATATGACGATGTTCTTCAGGGCGATGGACCCGAAGACCCCCGTCATCCTCCACAGCAATATGATCAAAGAGGTCGTCCTGTCAACCCAGATACTAAGAGAATCAACCGAGAGATTGTGAGATCACACAACGAGGTCATGCTGGTGATCGGTGTTGCAGAGCCAGAAAATCCAAATAAAAGCCCGGAAGTAGAGTCGCAAAGGAGACACGATGCGCATGAAGAATCGATCGGTCGACAACTCAACTCCCATGCTAGACGTGCCATGGAGATGGTTGGGCTCTTTGGTACTCATGGCCTTCGTCAGCGCGTTATGGTATGACTACCCCTTTACTTGCAATTATGGCTATGCTCACACCAAGGAGATCTATCGCAAATATTCAAAAATTCCCTTTTGGCATCTTTGGCAACAAAAGAATGAATTCTCATGGCGAAGACATGTTATTCCTGGTGCAGCTACTGGCTTATTCACCAACTACGTAGACCGCGCCTTGTTTAAAGTCTGGCTCGGCGATAGAGAAAAAGTCGTTGCGCGTCGCATGTAAGCTCTACCTCGATTCTGCATCTGACCTTCACTAATTATTTAGTCTGCTTGATGTATGGTCATGGTTTCGAACTCATCTAAAATACTTCGCATCCATGCAGCGACTTGGCCTGATCCCAGCTGATCAGTGGCTCCCGCGCCCGTCATATTTCATTCCATTCACAGAAGACTCACCAATTCCTGCACCACCACCGCTAGAGGGATTTGATCCTCTGTCTTTGCTCCGTTGGACAGGCAATGCCATTGTTAACGCGGCACCTTTTCTGATTTGGGTCATCGTTCTCCGGGTTGCTAAAGAGGTGCAGCCCGTAGTATGGCCACGGATATTCAACAAGCTCCCAAGCACTGCTTTCCGAGGCCGCAGAATACCCCCACCAGCTGTACCGCCCACACCAGTCCCAGAAGAGGCTCCCCTGCTTCTGTCCGATGAAACGACCATTGACCAATTGCCGAATTCGGTGGAAGATGCGCCTCTGGTACTTGGCGGGCTTGAGACCAACACAACCGTGGAACCAACAGAGCCCCAGCAAGTCCACGCAGAGTCATACATGAACCGAGAAGACGAATATGCAACAGACGAAGACGAGAGTGAGCGAGTGAACACTACGCTAATTAGCTTCGACGTCGAAGCCACTGAAGCGAGCCCAGATGCGCCACCAGGGCTATGGTCTGCCGAGTTGCGCCCTACTCAAGCTACCGATGCGCGGAGCGAGTCACAGCCAGTATACCTTGACACTCTGCTAACGCAGCTTCCTGCGCTACTGGCCGCCAATATGCTCACAGATACGAGCCTAAGACTGATGATGGCCGCATACGAGGCGTCCGCATTAAGACTCATGGCGCGCTGCTACAGATTGCGGTACGACCTGCCATGCGATGACATATACGCGCCCAATGTTCTTAGCGAGTTGTCATGGCGTGCGGTAACCAACTTGGTCGGCGGGGAGCTAGTGCACCTTACCTTGTCTACTGAAATCTGGGCCGTTTTCACGGGGCTGTCACTGTACTTCCACACGTCAGATAAGGAATGGAAGGAGGCCGAGGCCAAGAAAACCGAGAACGCGCAAGCGGACGACCATAATGCTCCTGCTTCTTGACGGATTGTTAACTGGACCAAGACTCGCGGCATGGCGCCGAACGCCAGTATTATACATAATTACCAGTACATTCTCGTTCATCATTCATTTTATATGTTCAGTGATTCATTGACAGCGCCAGACACGAAAAAGCATCCCATATTCATTCAAAGCTTCCGTGATTTCCCATACCGCACTTGCATCGCCAACTCCATGTGAAACAAACAGAATCGTCATCATGCATGTGTATCAAGCACCATTGCGGTGAACCTGGGCACCCTGGTTCCTAAAAACGATCGTATCCCTCCTCTCCATGTACATGAGGGCTCTGTTCAACGCCTGCTCGCTGTAGCCCTTGCCCTCGACCATCTCGCGTCGCAGCGTGGCGAGGCTGGTGCTCCAGCCAATGGGCAGGCGGCGTTTCAGCTCTGCTTCAACGCGGTTGACTTCGTCGTTGAGCTCGCGGCTACCTTGGTTGCTGCCCTGGTTAACGGCATCCATGGTCGAACAAAGGAAGAGACGGATGGCCTCGTCAACATGCGCCTCGGTGGCAATGGGCGACAGCGTCAGCTTAGACAGAGACTCAGTGATGCGAACAATGGCCTCCAGCTGACGAACGGTGATAGGGATGGATGAACGCTGGTCAGCCTCGATCTCGGCAGCGTGAACCTGGCGACGGATGGATACGAAGTGCGAAGATAGTTTCTCGGCCGCAGCTGGGCTGAGACGAGGGGCACAGCGGCTAGCAGAGATGTTAGCAGAGAAATAGCAATAAAAAAGTTCAGTTCGAGATCTCACCTTCTGCAGTAGGAGATATATCTTCTCATCTTATCCACTGAGATTTCCGACTCGGCGACTTCTTCAAGACCGCGATTATCCATGTGAATGCCCATGACATGCTTGGCAATATTGACATCCTTTTCTCTGCTATGTTCGTCTTTTACAATGAAAATCATATCGAAACGAGACAGGATGGTCGTCTGGAAGTCAATATTCTCTCCGGGAGTCTTCATGTCGTCGTAACGACCAAAGATGGGGTTTGCGGCGGCCAAGACCGAAGTTCTAGCGTTCAAAATGGTTGTGATACCAGCCTTGGCAATCGAAATGGTCTGCTGCTCCATAGCTTCATGGATGGCAACACGATCCTCGTCGCGCATTTTGTCGAACTCATCGATGCAGACCACACCACCGTCAGCGAGCACCATGGCACCACCTTCGAGGTAGAATTCACGCGTTGACTGATCGCGCTGCACAGAGGCGGTAAGACCAGCGGCGGATGAGCCCTTGCCAGATGTATAGATGGAGATAGGAGCAACGTTGCTAACAAACTTCAGCAGCTGCGACTTAGCTGTACCCGGATCACCAAGCAGAAGCACGTTGATATCACCTCTGAGCTTAGCTCCATCAGGCAGCAGCTTCTTAGAGCCTCCGAGCAGCAGGCAAAGAATTGCTTTCTTTATATCTTTGTTTCCATAGATGGATGGCGCGATGCACTCGGCCATGACATTGTATATATCTGGACGACGGCTCATCTCCAGAAATTCTTGCTCCTCCTCTTCCGTATAGCTGGTATATCCCTTCAATTGGTCAGAGCTGGTCTGAATGCCTACCGCGCGCAGGTAGGGTGTGCGAATGGCGACAGCGCCACCCGTGGCGGAATTTTTTGAGCCCTTGCTCTGGTAAATGGAGAAGATGCCCATGATTGTGCATCGTGAGCCGGGTACAACTCGGTTGGTGAGATATCGGTCTGCTGATATGAGCACATGTCGGGGTAGTTCACCGACGGGAACCTGGTCTGGTGCCTCCTGTAACTTGATAACTTGCTGGTCAACAAAAGTTGACTTTTCGTGCATAACATAGTATGGGTCAAGAGGACACTTGGGCGTCGGGTCATTTGGAATTCTCTTGCGGGAGCACTGGCGAGGGAGGGCGACACCGGTGAAGCCACCGAGGACAGGAATGGTCTCCGAGTGCTGGCAATTTCGGCACTGCAATTGCAGTTCTGTGGCCTTAGATGACATGACAGAAGCGCCAATGACAATTCCAGGAACTCGTACCAGCCGAGCAATCGTCATGGAGTCGAGGTTACGGATGGAAACATCCTCGGCGTCGGAGTGAAGCAACAGCTGGTGGTCGGGGAGCTTGATGTCACGTTCGTGGGGGAAGAGAATCCTGCGAGAGCACTTCTTCAGAGCGGTTTCAAACTAGACGGCGCGTGAGTAAAGGCTATGACAGTTCTATGAGCAAAGTAGTTACAAGAGGAATGATCTCTGCTGGTTCAGAGGCGAGCTTGTGCGCAAGCTCTTCGTTGAAATTAATGAGATCGGTGACGTTGACATCACAGTAGTATTTTTGCAGAAGAGCATTTTCACGAAGTTGATCACTTTTTTTTGTCAGCACACGTGTATTCATAGAGGTCACGAACACGTACCGATAGACAAAGTTGTTGTCGAGACGGAAGTCAAGAATAAAAGTCTCGAGCTGCGTAAGGATTTGTTGTCTGGTATCGCCAGTTTCCGCGGTGCTAGGCTCATAGACGTGCGTGGAATATACAGATTGGGCATCCATGATGAACGGCTTGCTCGTTTTGCAGAGAGGAATTGCTGCAAAGGGCAAGATGCTGAACAATGAGAGAGGTTTAATGGAGGGGTCACCAAAAATCCACTGTGTCGAAGGGGAACAATTTACGCGTCGGAGCGCGTCAATGCATGCAGGGCGACGCGACACGCGACTTTAAGTGGTTGCAGGGCCCTAGGCTAAATCTAGATACGAATACAAGTGGCTGGTAGAGGCATGCGCCACAGTGAAACCACGGAGCAGTGGCTTTTGAGCAAAGCGCAGGCCATCACGTGCAGCCGGCGGCCATTCTTCGGTTATCGGTCCAGCTTGGCTCCGCTGAACTCAAAGAGCTCTGTCACCCCAGCACGCGGCGAAGTACACTCCGTGGCCTTTGGCGCTGTTTAGTTTGCGACAATGACGACCGCTGGTGTGTTGCTTACTGCTGCCGCCAGTTGATACTATTTTTCGTTTCCATCGCAGCCTCATACTCAGGCGCACTCAATATTCAGTTTAATTTGTTTACAGCGATGATACCCAGGTAGATTTAACAGCACATTACAACAGCACCCGATAGCTGCGTCGTCACTCCTTGCTCCTCGAGCCCACACACCATGTTCACCTCGCCCAACGCCGGCAAGTCTGTGGACAGTTTGTCACCACTGGCGCCGGGCGGCCGAGCAGACTATCCTTTTCACAGGTGCGTCTGCAAAAAGCCCCGTGATGCCAATCGATCATTTGTCTAACAGCTTGCGCAGCAGGAATAAGCCAGCCTCCAGACGCGGATCGACAGCGAGCTCCATCCACTCCATTGGCGGCGCATCGTACCCTTCAGTCAATGGTCTGAACCTCTCCGTTCATGAACTCGGCCAAAATGGTGTGCTCTGATTCTTCTGCCTGCCCAGCTACGTCGGCTAACTATATGAAGCTATCTCGACGTTACTGCAGCCCCCCATCGTGCGAACCGGCCTCCAGCCCCACACAACAGCGCCAACCTCGAGCGCTCACAAGCCACCGACGGCACGGGATATTCCACCTGTCACACTGACTAATATTCCTCATGTCGATGCCGAGGACTTTAAGCCATACCTTTCGCAAGTCGGTGCTCTATACGAGCAACTCCGCCGCATCCAGGAAAACGACGAGGATACAGTGGCTTCCGGTCGCCCATTTAAGCCCGATGAGACAAGTGAATATAGTGAAGGCTTTCTGCGACCGTCCAGATCGAGGCCAATGAGACGCGGCTCTACCTCTTCGATATCGTCGCTGGCTTCAATCGAGGCGCCTAGCCCGTCTCGAAAACAGAGTATAAGCTTTAGTCGAAAGGCGCCACAGGGACCGCCGCCGCTGTCAACCATACCAACAGTTTATTTTGACCAAGACTTCCATCTGGAGAACCCAAGAACCTTCGATATTGTTAGCGAGCGGTCCGAAGTCATTAAACCCGCCGGAGGCAGGTCAAAAGGGGACAGTTCAGCTCCCAGGAAGGCTCTTGCTACCAATGCTATTCTGCAAGAAAAGCTTTCTTGGTACATGGATACTATAGAAGTGCACCTCATCAATTCTATATCAACAGCCTCAACCACATTTTTTACTGCCCTGGGATCGTTGAGAGAACTCCACTCGGAGGCAGCTGATTCTGTGGACAGGATCAAGACACTGAGGCAGGAACTAGAGGCTCTGGACGAAGAAGTCGCTACGAGCGGCTTGCAGGCAGTTCAGCAACGAAGACGACAACAAAACTTGCGCAAGTTAAGCGACGCCGTCGAGCAGCTACGCCAGGTTGCCGAAGGCTTGGCTACATGCGAAACGTTGGTGGATGAGGGAGAGGTAGACAAGGCCTTGAACAGCATGGACACATTGGAGAAGCTCATTTCTGGAGAGCGCGACGGAGCGGCTGAAAGCGAACTGAATTTGCGGGACCTGAGAGGCGCCGCAGCCCTTCAAAGTATCGACGCTGACCTCGACACGCTACGATACAGAGTCGGAAAGGCATATGAATCGCAATTTACCAGAATTCTCTTTGAAGATCTACGGCGGCATGTCGAATCGGTATCGACTGCTGATGTACTATTACGATGGGACAATGCTGCTTCACGAACAAGAGGAGTACACTCTCGGTCACCTTCCATATTCCCTACGTATTTGACGGCAACAGAAGATTTGAAGGCACAGCTGTACCCTGTGATGGCTGGTCTGTTTCGAGCAAAGCATGTCGGCATAGCCGCCTCCGCATACAAGGAAGCTGCACTCAAGGAAATTCGAAATCTCATTCGACGGCCATTGCCGAGTTCGAGTGAAGATGACAACATGTCTCTCGTGTCAGTATCGACCGCTGGTGGGGGAAGACATTCATCGAGCCAGGAGAAATCAGCGAATCTAGCGCGCAATCTGCGTGCGCTGGAACCCGAAGATGCGGAGGATTTATTGCAAAAAATATATGTTGGCGTCACGGAAACGCTCCGGAGACTATCCACGCAAGTCAAGGTGCTTTTGGATATTGCGTCGTCTCTTGCAGACACACCGAATGGAGACGGCATCAAATCACCCACGGTACGATCACCGCTGGGCAGCCCTCGACAAGATCGTCAGGCAGCTCTTCCCGGATTCGAAATTCAAGAGGAGCTGCACAAAGCACTGGATGCGACGAACCTTTTAGCACAGGGAGTTGATATTGCTCACGACAAGATTGTCAAGGTCCTCAAGGTCCGTGGTGAACAAGCAACGGGCCTCCCGCTGGACATGTTTTTACGGTACTTTACGCTAAACCTGTACTTTGCAAACGAATGTGAGGCTGTTTCCGGGCGAAGCGGGTTACCACTGAAGAATGTCGTCAACAGCCAAATCAAAGAGTTTGTGCAGAGATACCAGAACGCCGCAATGCAAAAACTTGCGCAAGGCATGGAAGCCGACAAATGGGTTGCCAAAGACTTCAACGAGAGACTTGCCAGACAGCTCGGGGAGATTCTGGAATGCAGCACACATGATGCCGAGTCATGGAGCAATGGTAACAAGTTGTGGGTGCCGGCCATGGAGCTTCTCAAACTCAAGCTGGAGGAAGAATCAGCGGAGAGAGAGAGGGAAAAGAGCAGCGGCGAAAAGGAAAAGGCGCGTGCGGCTGTTATCGAATCGGAGAAATTTATTCTCCCCAACTCGGCCATTCTCTGCATGCAAGGATTGGAAAGCTTTTTGCACTTGATTGCGGGGATTCCCTCCATGACGACAGATATTGCAACATCTTTGATTGCTTACCTACAGCTTTTCAACTCGCGATGCACACAGCTTATTTTAGGTGCCGGTGCTACAAAAACAGCGGGACTCAAGAACATCACGACAAAGCACCTTGCTCTCGCATCTCAGGCCCTATCACTGATTGCCACGCTCATGCCACACGTTCGCGAGTTTGTCAGACGCCATGCTGGATCTGGTACAGGCGTGTCGGGGCTTATGGGCGAGTTCGACAAACTCAGGAGACTACTACAGGAGCATCAAAGCAACATTCACCAGAAGCTGGTCGACATCATGAACGGCCGTGCCACTCTTCACTCCAAAGGCATGAAGACGATTCAGTGGCATAATGACGGCGAAGGAGCCGGCGCACATGCGTACATGGAGACGCTGGTCAGGGAGACGACGACACTGTACAAGGTGCTCACGAAACACTTACCGGAAAGCGCAATTCAAGCGATCATGGTTCCTGTGTTTCGCGGCTACAAGGAGCAGCTCGGGTCAGCATTCAAGGATGCAGAGGCGAGGAACAAGGCTGGGCAGCAAAGGTACGTCCAACCATGCCTTGGTGACGAAGGATTGTATGCTAACACTATTGTAGTATGCTCCGAGATGTGGAGCTTTTCAAGAGCACGCTGGGCAGCCTCGACGGATTTGGCGATGCCGGCGAGTATTTGACCAATATTGTCAAGAGCAGGGAGCTTGCCGAAGAAGCGGTAGCCGTCGCAAAGTCAGCAAAAGACACGAAAAAAGATGTCAAAACTCCACAAGAAGTCAAGACCACGCAAAATGTCAAGACTGACACCAAGGTCGAGCAAGGGGCGGACAAGGTGGATGAGGGAGAGGGTGCCATCAAAGCCGACAAGATCGAGATCAGCGAAGCGGAGCCGCCCGAGCCACCAGCCAAGGACGATAAAGACATGAGCAGCGTAAAGGACAGCGGTGAGAAGGATAAGTAGGCGCTGAGCTGGAGCACGCGCAACGAGGCGTTGATCATGTTGTGCCATATACTCGTTAACTAGTATATAGGTCGGGTGGTAGACGAGTCTAGGGGCGTAAAAGACGAACAAAGATTTTCCCCAACACCCTAAATTTTCTTTGGTGCAGCTACGTGCGTTGTCCATGCATGCCGAGATGAGACATCAGGCGAGTTGAGGAAACGAGTCTCAGGATTGCTGATCGACAGACTGGTCCTCATCTCACCGCCACGTACGCGATATCAGCATATTAAAGACGCGAGAATCAATGGAGACTTTTCTGTTCTTTTGCTTCTTTTTGTTTAGATGCGATTTCATGAATTAGAAGGTCAAGCCTAACTACTTTGGAGTTGACTCCGACTTGACTACGTTGAGCGGCCGAGTTTGACCACGAACATGATCAGATGAGCGGACACGGCGTTTGAGGTGACGGAAGATGACATGAATGAAGAGTATGATGGCGTCCTTGGTAGAATTCAGTGTGTGTGCACACGTGGCGCATGCTCCGTAGGGACGAAATGAAGAGTCTTGATAGTGGCTTATCTTGATACCACAGAATTGCGTTGTCCATTGCCGGCCACAGCGGGCAGCGTTCATCGGTGAGCGGCCTCGCTCTCCTCCACTTGGCAGATTCTGTTGATGTTTTACTTCTCCCCATTCTACTTTCAACCGGGAGCAACGTTGCGAAACGGCGCAGGCAAAGTGTGCTTTTGCCTCTTTCGCCCCAAGGCCCTGCGTTGGGGTGCTGCCCAGCTTGGTCCACGTATAGCCAACATGACATCTGGGGTATCGGGGCTGCCGCGACTATTGTTACATCCCTTGTTACAATAACAGAATTTTCCAATTTTTTCCCTTTTTTTTTTTTCTCTTTTTTATTCTTGCTGTAGATATTAGTCAACCGACTCCCCGACAATACTCCGTTGACCCATGTGGGATGTATCAAGAGGCGTGCAGTGTTGTGTGGTAAATACCTAGGTTCCACACCTACAAGCTACAGTGCGGGCAGTGCTGTACCTGGAAGCGCTACACTGTGGGCGCCGAGGTAGCGGTTTCTTACCACCATTCGTTTGGTGGGGTTCGCCCCCTCCCACCATCCGTTGGAAAGGTTTTTATTCAACGCCACCACCAACAATAGAGAGAATGAAGAAAAAGAAGACGCCACCGAGAAGAAAAATGTGGATCGGGTACCTGAAATTTTGCTCCGCGTTGGCCTGTGCTTCCTGGACAATAGGATTCGCCAACTATTGTTGAAGAATTCTCTCTCTCTTGCGTCGAAGTAGTCGGAGACTGAGTGTCTAGTTGGGCGGGGCGTTCATTCAGACGGTCAACGCACCGAGTAGTAGGCGACTTAGTACACTAGTTACACATGGCGATTGTTGTTGGTCACAGGTGGTTTTAGGTGTGTTAATTGACTCGAATCGACAAATCATTGGATGATGAGGGTTGCATTTATGAGGCTGTTCTGGTCAGGTTACCGCGGTTGGCAACTTGGACACAATTGCCTCATAATGATCAATCAATAATGTACCGACTAGAGTCAATTAAAACACCTACAACCCCCTGTAACTAACAGTTTTATCAATACTCTGATCATGCAAAGCGCCAACGCTGCAAGCACGCCACACATGACCTCTGACGGGCTGTATATGCAAAACTACCAGAACAAGGTATTGCTGGAATATGATTGCTGGCGGCGGTGTCTCTGATCTAATACTCGGACTTTGCCCGTTTGACGGATAAAGTCCAGTCATTATCACCATCATGAAATGGAGCGCGGCTGCCAGTGTGTGTCTCTTTCTTCCCCGCGTCGTACCAAAGCGGACGTGAATCGTTCGTTAATCTTTTCTTGCTTCTTGGCATGTGACGTCCCCCAGAGTTGGCATCTCATGATCCCCTCCCGGCGGCTAAGCGAAATTTGATACTCCGGGGTAAGCTGAGTTCAGACTGAATTAAGCATGCCAAGGTGTAGCTTCAAGTTCAGGTAATTAAAGACCTGCTCAAATCTGCTTGAGACGACACAACACACAGCTAGCGTCTACAGAGTCGTCAACGAGAATCACAAAGGCGTGGGTGGCGATCAAGTTGTACATTGCTTCGGCAATGTACCAGAGCATGGGTGTTGTGCAACATGACGTTGTGGGCACGGCTTCCTTGACGCAACAAAACGTCAGTTTCGGAGGGTCAAAGGTTCATTCCTTATTAGCGCGCATGTGATGTAGAGCCTGTTGATGGGTGACCCAAATGGCTGCCACCGGCTTGCACGTGTGAAAGCTTCATGGATGCGTAGATTTACCAAGTAGAGTCTCAATCCTTTTGGCTGAGCAGCAATGTCAGGGAATGTTGGGCAGCTTACAGTGTGTCATTCTCAAATAATAACGACATACGAGTTTCCAAGTAGGACATTTCTTCTCTAAGCGAACGACGAGCAAGTCACAAAGCAGATGGCAGGTACTTACTTGGTCGTGTGCGCCTACAACTGAAAAGAGTTGTCATGGGCATCCATGGCACATACAGACCCAGAACGGAGGCAACGTCCGGCTCATCGCCGAGCGACTGCGGGAATAAAACAAGGAGGCTTGTTACTCAGTACTTTTGTAGTAGTCCCAAAGAAAGAACCTGTGTGAACTGGCTCGACGAAAAAAAGTCGAGAGTGTCATGGATCCACCGGCGAGGCGGCCGCGCGGTCTAGAATCAACTGATCAGCGTGTAGCTGAGATGCTGAGGTGATCGTATGTAATAATTTTGTAAAGTAGTACTACTTGTACAAGTATACGTGCTTGCGGGATTTGAATATTTTTTTAATTGTCTTTTTTTCTACAAAAGACTTGCCCCGGTACTGATGGCGGTCCTGCAGCGACAAAAGACTTTGTATCGTGTAAACAATGCGGCGCATCTGATTGCTTCTGCCAAGTTGTGGTGGTGAGTTTGCGCCGATACCGTGTGCGAACTGTATGCGCCGCACTGTTAAGCACTGTGCTGGCGGCGCACCCGCAGGCTGTCCGACTTGTCATGAGGCTGTAATAACAACACATGTATGCTACATAATAAATCATGTCGACGACTGTCACTATTCCTTTTCTGGGACGCAAGTTTCGGATTTCACAAAGTCAGTACATGAGAAAAAGAGCTCACATCACGGCTCTCGCCTCACCAAAAGCGCGCGCACGCACACACACACACACACAACACACACACACTGACACGTGTCCTGTGCGCGCGCATCACCGAGCGCAGATGTATGTATCTAGATACCTAGAGATGGATGACCAGCACCCATGCAGTCGGAGAGCACTTTTTTTTGGATTGCCTGAAGGGAGCGTCTTTTTGCGGTCAACGCTGACCAAATCGTTATTTCTCCTGCGCAAGATTAATTCGATTAGAAAAAATTGTTGAGAAGGGATAAAGGATCCATGCACGCTGGCAACCAGCATGGGAAAAGAAACCCAGCCCACAGAAATGCAACGTGGAACCAGTCAACCAGTGCAAGGCAAGGCCGTGAAGCCCACTGCGACCAGAGACGCAGGCACAAGCAACCCGGACTTCCGGACCGCCGGGCTTGCAACTCTACACTGCAACTGTGCAGGGAACAAGGGAGCAGGGGCAGGAACTTGCCGTTCCTTCTTCCTTTCTTTTTTTCTTTTTCCTTCAGCTTTCCGCTTATTCACTTTTGCAAGGTACAAGCCTGTCAGCAACCAAGTACCTCATTTATTAGCCAAGAGTACAAGCCTCAGGAGGGTTCAAAGTATGGAAGCAGGTACATGGATACATGGCCAGCGACATGATGACATGATATTGACTGGGCCGAGGCAAGAAAAAAAAATCTTTAGCGAGCCAGCCACTACTTGATGACGACTACAGCCAATCATAATGGCCAGAATACTGGTTTCCTCTCGACCCCCCTCCCCCCTCCGCCCTTGCATATTACTAAACAAAAGAATGAGTAGGTTTGTTGCAGCGGGTGTGTGTGTGTATTACTCCGACTGGCCCGTAAGAGCCTTCGGTCCTTCTATGGTGTATAGACTGCTAGGTACAGGGGAAACCCCTAAGTACCTAATTAAAGACACTAAGAAAACCCCTAGGTATACCATTGTTACAGTGGGTGCACGCAGTTGACTCGCGCAGTATTACCTAGGTAGTTGCCTGCTTGCCTAGGTACCTTGGTGTGCCAGGCAACTGGCCGGAGAACGGGGGGGGGGGAGAGTGTGAGGGAGGCAGCATGTTGCGCAAGATACCTGCTCACGCACTACAATTTGGCTAGTCTCGCTTGTACCTCCTCGTAAGCGCTGCCGTCGTACGACTCACTCGCAACACCCATCCCCCCCCCAGCCAAAGACTAGAGTGACTAGCAACTATATACCTGGCCAGGTAGGGTCCTAGAGATTAGGTACCTAGTCGCAGATATTGATAGTTGCAGCCAGCACTGGGACGCGCAAGCTGCCTCCCTTTCCCCCCTCCCCTTCGCCATGTTGTGCTGCCCACACCCTTTACTTAGGCATCACATATGGGGGGCAGGGGGCTTTCTATTGCGGGCAGTTGTGTTCTTTTCCCTGCGAGACCCAGTTCAGCACGTCGAAACCGCTGCACACCGCCCCGCAAAGTGGTAGACGACCTCGCCTGTTTGAATCTGGGCAGAGCAGTAAATGACAAGTCAAAAAATAATATCAAGATATATGGCAAGGAAAACATGAAACAAAGAAACAAGACGCAAGTCCACATCACATTGGCAATGATTTTTTTTTGGCAAGGTATAATGACGAATTGGCAAGTCCAAACGAGTGATGGCTCATTTCAAAACTATGTACAAACGAAGAGTATTTGCTTCGTAAAAGAATGCAGCTTTATGACACAAAACCCAAAAAGTAAGTTCAAGATTGTATGTTTTTTTTTATTGTCCTGCCTAGAAGGGCACTCGGAAGCTTTGTCTCGCCGAGCACCCATTCTCACATCGTAGGACTGCTTTTGTTGTGCCGTTTTGCTCCTGGTTACCCATATGCCTAACAAGGCGATTCTATGTCGTGATAAACCATTGTTTCCTTCCCAGTGGGGTATCTCTTTCTTGCCCTCGTGAGGACAAGGGCACTTCTATGTCGTAAGGCATAAAAATCAATTTTATGCTTTCTGAAGGCTGAAGGGGCGCGCTGCGCAATCATGCAAATAAAACAAAAAGAAAGGTGATCTTGATGCCACCTTCGAAGCGTTGCATCAGTCGACTAGCCGACTATCATATCCAGTATGCGTGCTTCTGTTTCCCGTGAACATGTCGTCGCATTTAGGAAGCAAAGGTGTGGCCAGTACTGCCGGATCCCAAGGTGGTCATGAGGTCTTGATACTTGGTAACCTTGGTCTGCACATCATCGGGTTTATGGTAGACGTTGTCGCAAGGGTGTTCCTCGCAGCCAGACATGGGTTCATTTGTCAAAGCATTTCCTTGAGCATCGAGGACGTACATCTGTTTGATGTTGTTTTTATCCTCGGGATGGTCAATAGCTGAGACGTCGAAGTAGGTCTTGCCTTCGTCTCCGTCAAAGCGGACCTCGCCAATGATGCCGTCCTTGTTTGGCTCGCCCTTCTGGACGGCGTAGAACATGCCAGTGAAGCCGTGGGCGAACTCGACTTTGGTCTTCTCGTTATTGTTGACGGTGACGGGGTCCATCTGGGGGGAGCCAGGGCTGGGCACGAAGTAGATTGTGCGCTCAAGATTGTCGAGGGTGAAGAAGGTGATCGAATTGGCGCTGACGGCAGCGGCGGAGGCAGCAAGGCCAAAGAGAGTCTTGAAGAAGTGCATTTTGATTTGGTTTGCGAGAAAGAGCTTGAATAAAGACTTTTCAAGGATAGTTGTTGATCGTCGAGATCGTGTATGAGAGGGAGTGTGTTGAGTGTGTTTTGCTTTCAAAGGAATGAAGAAGCAAAAGAGGTTCCTGTCAAAGGAAGTAAAAGGTCAAACAAGACTGCTTGAAGAAGGAATGTCTGGAAGGATTGTGTGTACAACAAAAAAGAAACTCATATATCGGACCGGGGGAGGGGGGCCGTTTTATAAGTGAAGTCGTCCGACCACAAGGAGAATTTTCGAAAAGAAGCATCTGCTTACCGGCCACCCGTGCGTCGTGTCAAAGATTCTAGACCAAAACTTCTCTGGGGCCGGTATCCACGTCTCATTGCCATAGTCGTGTGTGTGCGTGTTTGTACCTGTTCGCTGAACCTGGCTTTCGTGGGCGGGAAGTCTATCTGGTGTGGTGCTGTCTGTGCCTGACTCTACGCAAGCCACCATCCACACCCGCCCCCACACCCCCCTTTCGGGCCACACTGTGCGGACAGGGTCCCTTGTTCCAAAGTACCGCTTGTACCTTGACTAGCCCCAACTCGTTGGCGGCTCCGTTCAAAACTCAGCATGTGTTTCGTTCTCTTGCTCGTCCTCCGTTGTGGAACAGTGAACGGTCAGCCCCAGGTGGGACAGGATAGCCGTCTTCCGTACGGATACCTGCAGCGCTCGTCTGGATAAGAAGATGAATGCTGCTTTCTCATTAGTTATTATTGCCTCACTTCGGGCTGGCAGCATGTGCTGCTCTCTCTGCAGGCAGCCAACTCGCGGCAGCGGAGCCTGATGGCCGGTTGGACGGCCGTCACATTGGCTGTAAGTTGGTCCTGCATCTTCAATCACGACAGTATGAGCAAACGTTTGCCAAAAGCTGATGATATTACTTCCGAAGTTCCGAGGCTACTTCGTAGACGGGCGCGAAAGTTATTGACTCGCACTTACCGCTCATTAGTCAACGCTTCCAAGTGCTCCAGGTATGTATCCTGTTCTATTGTCTGCTATTGTTGCTTGGTTAGCCAACAACCATTCTGGCAAGTACCTGTGTTGCGTGCGGTACTCGTCCACAAAAAAAATACAAACAACCATCGTCTTGTTGCCTGGCTCTCGGTGGTAGGGTTCTTGACTCTTGGTCCTCAATGGTGCGAAACGGTGGATTAGCGCCGTTTGCCGACCGTGTTCTGGAATTCAAAAAAGCGGTTCTACTGGCCCACGGTTTTCGCTCCGTTTTGGTGGAGAGTGAAAAAGAGTTTTCCGTTATTAATAAGACGTGACAGTTCGACAGTCTGTCTGGACGGCGAACAAAGCACAGGCCCAGTGTTTTCACCTGTCCACCCCAGAGTACAATAGACGGTTGGCGTCAACCGAGGCTTTTTACTGTTATTGTTCATCAGAGCTTTCAAAACGGAGCGCCGAGTGGCAGATACGCAGCACCGGTTCCCAATAATGCTAGCCTCATTGTCAGTTACCTCGGTGTCCACCTACTCAATCTGGAGGTGTTGCCTCTCGTCCTGCAAAGTAACTCTTCTATTTAGACATGCATCGCTGCCACGTCGACGCATAAAGGTACCGGCATCGATGGCCTGACTTGTCTCACATGTTTGGTTCTGTCTCGCAGATGCACGTCTGTGAGAGGTATTTGCGTGTCGGCTGTTCTGTTGTCAAATGCGTGGCAGGCTGTTCGATCTTGACTGGAGTGACAGAGACATGAATCTCGACACGATGACAAAGTGGCAAAGTACCGTAGTCGAATTTTTCACACGCTTCAGAGCGACTTGCGCTGACTGAAGTAAATTTGTCGTCGTGTACCTATTCTGGTAAAAACCACCAACATCAGACTTTGTTAGGCAGTCCACTTTTCCCTCAGAGTCGTCCGAGAGTGGCCAGGCCGGACGAAACTGCATAAACGAGCCATGATTGGAGGAGACTGCCGTTTGACAGCACCGACTGTGCGCTGTCCACGGACTCGCGTGGTACAGAGGTTTGACGGGGTACCGGTCCCCGCGTACCTGAACAGGGAGCGGGAGTCAATGTTACGGAAAGGCTTGGCTTCAAGGCCGACGAGGAAGCATGCCAGGGCCGGAAGCAAATTCGACCGTCTTCGTTCGCCAAACAGACGTCGGCTCATGCAATGTGTTATGCTCGAGATAGGCAAAATTGGGTGCGGCATAATGATGCAGGCAGCAAGAACGTGTGTGTGCGAGTAGCACAATGCATACATATGCCGCAATCGCATGTCGGCCGCCGCATAAGCATGAATGGTTCCACGTAGGGAAGGCACGTCTCGTCTCTTGCTCTTGGTGCTTAAGAATGACGGGAAAAAAATCGCGCAGCGGCGTGCGGCTGAATGCTGTGCTTCATGTTGGGAGCGCAATCGCTGTTTGCTGACCGACAGAAAGTCAGCCCGACAAAGGCTGAGATAAATCCATGTAGACCATTTCGCGGCAACGAGTTCTTGAGCTTGTCGCAAGGTGCTTGCGTGCCATGCAAGGTACCGATAAAGATCTCAAAACCACGAGTGTAGGTCAATGCGACAATATCCAAGTGAATGGGCAAGTTGTTTGCAATGTTGCGACGAGGGCTTTGGGCCATGGCCTAGCTCGTGACTAGTCGAGCGGAGGAAGATGTGTAGTCAGGTACCTGGCAGCTACTTTGCAATGCTGAGCCGGTGCCCACAAACTCAGGTACTTGTAAGTCCAGTTTCTTAGTTGGACTGAGCAGTCATACTTCGTATTTACAGCGAATCAGACCGCCTAGAGACGCCTCGCTACAGCGCCCCCTCTTCTCACTCAGCGCATTGTCAGCTTCTGGACACCTGATTACTCAGGCATGTACAAGAGGCAAATTCACAGGTAATATCATTCATCGTAATGACCCTGCGCGCAGAGGTTGGACTTGGCCAAGTCTGCATGAATACCCAAATGTATGCCCGCCATCGCTATACTTGGCGTGACATTGCAGAATATTGAGTGATGCTGGCCAAGCATGATACGCCCTCCAGAAGACACAAATTTTCCTTGTCAAACTCTACCTATCTGAGGTGACAAAGCCAAGTCCGCCAAGTTGTCCAACACTGGTTCCGCCTTGTACCTTTGCGCGTACCGTGACTTTGTCATGACGGCTCAAGCCAGTCATAGTTACAAGACGACGGAACATGCCGAGATGCAAGCGATGAACGATAACAGAGTACTTTTATGATTATAGTTTTCCAACCGGCCGCTATATTGTATTGCATGTGAATGTACTATACCCCAACGTCAACTGTCATCGCCTCGGCTGCCCGCGATGGGATTACGACTTGTTGTGGCGATGGACTCGCGGCTCACTCGGCGCTGTTTCCGATTTTCCGCCTAGAAAAGAATAGAATATTTTTTCTGTCGCCTGTCGACATACTTTCATACTTTTCGCGCGCATTCTCCTCCTTTGCGGCCCTCGGCACATCGTTCACGGAACATAACCGCCAAACTAATGACAAAAGTCTATTCACACTCATTCACTACCAACGTATACAGAAGCAGACTGCAAGAAGGCGAAAACTTGTGCAAAACCTTGTTGTGCAAATCTAAGCCGCCTTGACCGGCCGCCACTATTGTTACTGGAAAGGAATTGGCGTGCGCTCGCTTTGTCAGTCGAGCATCCAGAGCTACAGCTGGTTCTCACAACACTACCGATATACTCTGTAGCAAGACACATGTATAGTCATGTTTTGACACTTGGCTGGCACAGCTACCTCTTTCTAGTACGAGAGATGCAAGGTCCCGAGTCAAGTCATGCCATGCTGTAGGTGAAGGTCGACTTCACATGGGCCAGCAGAGGCCGTCGGAAGCCGTTGGCGACGACACTCATGGATAGTACGTATTATACCGTCATTACAAGGAATGCTCGCCGTTGAATATTGGTAAGTATTGATATCTTATGTAGATCCCTCTCCCCAACTGGCCCTCAAATCGACTCCCCGGCGCGCCACCGAGTCAAGAAGAACTTCTTTGAAGTTCCTCACCTACGCGTCCGCAGCTGACTACTCCTGCCTACTTTATCGAAGTACCCCTAATATCCCAGGTACGATCTGATCACTCCGTGCTATATTAGATCACACTTTTCTGTGCTTGCTTCTATCGCTACCCGGCTCTATTCGCCCCCAAAGCCAGCGCTGCCTTTTCACGGTTCCAAAACGACCGCAGGACAAACACCATGACCAGCATGCCAATATCCAATCCAATCGTCCAATTATATCCAATCAAATACCGCGGCGCATCCGTCGTCCTCCACACAAACAGCGGCAGCCACGCGCCAAAGGTATTGCCAATCGTATTCATGCTGCTTATGACAATGGCACGCTCCTCGGCATCGCCCGCGCAAATCTCATTGGCCCACGAGTAAATGACGGGCGCGATGCCGTTGGCCGATCCAGCCAGAAAAAATGCAAAAAACTTGAGGCCGGTCGGCACGTGCCATATCGCAAGGATGATGCTCGCGAGAATGTTGAGCAGCGCCGTCGCCGTGATGAGGGAGACCTTGGCGTCGTAGGCGTCTGAGAGCACGCCGCAGATGAGGGCCGATACAATGGTGACGGCTGGCGATACAGTGGTTATCGTGTTGATCTTTTCGACGCTGTAGCCCTCGGATTTCAGCCACAGCGGCAGCCCGCTGTTGGCGGATACGCCATCGGCCTGGGAGAAGAAGAAGGCGAAGCCGACGAGGATCCAAAAGTGCCAGCCAAGAAGCGTCTTCTTGACCACGGCGCGCGTGAGCGGCCTGCGCGGCTCCCTGCGATCCGCACGCATGCGCGCCCGCGCAAGCTCGCTCTCCCGCGCCGAGAGGAACAGCGACCTGGGCTTCTCCGGCTGGCCCGGCAGGCAGAGAAACCCGAGCACCGCGACGGGGATGGTGCAGGCGAAGCAGATGATGTACAGCCAGCGCCATCCCTCGATGCCGTGGCGCAGGTGCAGCGAGGCGTAGGCGCCCGACTGGATGTAGCCGGCGCTCATGCCGCCGACCTGGCTGGCGACGAAGAAGAGGGCGCTGCGGCGGCTCAGCTCGGCGCGCTTGTACCAGCACCCGAGGTACCACTGGACGGCGGGGAAAAACAGGCTGCCGGCGGCGCCGATGAGGAAGCGCACCGCGTAGAGCTGGCCGGCGCTCGTGACGCGGTACTGGGCGAGCGTGAGGACGCCCCAGACAACGTCGGCGGCGGGGATGAACCACGCGGCCGAGAAGCGCGTCATGAGAAGGGTGAGGGGGATCTGCAGCGTGATGAAGCCCACCATGTACGTCGTGTTGATGTAGTTGAGCTCGTTGCCAAACAGACGCAGGTCCTCCTTCATGCCGCTCACGTACGCCGCGCTCGTCGCCGACTGGTCCAGCACCTTGGCCCAGTAGGCGAGAAAGACAAAGACCAGGATGAGCAGGTCCAGCTTCAGTATCAGACGTCGCTCCTCGGGCGTGTCCGTCGGCGAGAACCACTGATACCATTTCTGGCGGACGGGCTCCTCCCATGGACCGCTGGCCGTATCGGCAGCATCGTGTACTTGAAGCGGCGCCGACTTGGCAGTCACCACTGCCACCTTTTTATCAGAGCCAGGCATCTTTTTCCTTCCTTCTTCCTTCTCCTTGCAGTTCTTTATGTCTGAAAATACAAAAGAAGATGCAAGAATCTGCGAGCAAATTGGCCGAGCAAGACGTGGCACCGATTTCGGTCAAGCACCGCAGTGCCATCACGCCATCGCGAGTGCCCACCCGGCCAAACGGCCAGCTCTTTTGCAACTCCAAGGACAAGGATGTACCTGGCCTCCTCTCTTTGCATTGCTTTTGAACGCTATCAGAGGGGCAAGAAAAAAAACGTCAATCCAGCCCATGATTTTTTCGAGTGGCATCTGAGATGATTTTCATGCTATAATTCTGCAAGCATTCCTCATGACATTCTGCAGCCAAGCACGAGGCTCGCCTGCACCTATCTACACGCCTGGAACTCCATGCAATTCCATTGTAGCGACTAAATACTCCTATGTAGAATTTGAATTAATGTACCTTTTGATGATTCTTGCGAGAAAATTCCGAACCAGCATCATTTGTATCGTTCTATGCACACACCAACACGTGCCCCGAGCCGCATGCATCCCTTTACTTGGTGCGCTTGTAGACTTTATTCAAAAAGACTTCAAAGACTTCCTTTTTGAGGCCCTGGCTCTCATCAATCTTGGCGATATTGTCGCGAATCTCCTGAGCGCGCCGCTCCTCAAACTCGAGGTACACGTCCTTGAGCTTCAAGTCGTCGTAGAGCTTCTTGACAATGGCCTCCTTAGCGTCGTCTTTTTGGCCATAGTTGTCCTCGAGAATCTTGCGCTGCTCGGGGGTGGCAATCTCGAGGGCCTTGTTGACGAGCCAGGAGCACTTGTTGTCCTTGATGTCGGTGCCAATCTTGCCAATGTGCTCGGGCAGGCCAAAGTTGTCGAGGTAGTCGTCCTGGACCTGAAAGTACTCGCCGAGCGGGATGAGGATGGACTCGGCCTGCTTCAGGTTGGCCGGGGTGGCGAGGTTGAGTTGGTACAGGGCGAGGGCGACGGGAAGGTAAAAGGAGTAGTAGGCCGTCTTGTAAATGACAATAAATTGGTACTTTTCCATGGAAAAGTTGTCGAGGTTGACCTTGTCCTCGGGCGCGGTCAAGAGGTCGCACAGCTGGCCCAGCTCCGTCTGCAACGTTGTCTCGTGGAACAGCTCGACGAGGTCAATGTAGGCCGGGTGCGAGCGAAAGTACTTTTTCAGCAGCGTGTAGATGACCGACTCGAGCATAAAGGCGTCGTTGATGGCAATCATGCCGACGCCGTCCTGGCGGTACCAGCAGGGCTTGCCGCGGCGGGTGATGCTGCCGTCCATGATGTCGTCCGAGACGAGGAAAAAGGCCTGCAGGAGCTCCGTCATCCAGCCCAGGGTCGCGGCCTGAAAGTATTGCTCTTCGTTGAGCTTTTCGCCGACGAGGATCGAGACGGAGTCGGGCACAGACATGCCACGGTTGCATTTGCCGCCGAGAGGGTTGGTCTCGAGGTTCTGTCGTCAAAAATTAGTATAGTCTACAAGAAACGCAATCCATCATCTGCGTACCAGCTTGAACCAGTCCAGCTCCCCTTGGGGAAGCTTGTAGGACTTGGCATGCTCGAGAATGGCAGCCTCGAGCTTGGGGTAGATGCTCTCAAACTGCTGCAGGGTGGTGGTTTCGGCGGGCATCTTGTCGGTTTGGAATTGATACCAAGCACAACACAAAAAGACGGTTGGCTTTACAGCTCTAAATACAACAGACAAACAAGGTGCAAATGAGGGGCGGTAAGAAATGAGATATCGCGATATCACGGCTGTTACCCCCCTCCACGTGATGAAAGTACAAGCAAATAGGTGGCAGAATTGCTGTAGATGCAAGTATCTAAAAAGCCCACTAGGCCAGGGGTCCATTCGGCTGCCCCTCATGCATCACGAGCAAGACACGGCGCGTAATCGCACCGAATACTAAAATCGCTAGAAAATCATCTTTGAGAGCTCGGACCGTCCAACGTGTCAAAACCGAGGCGACGACGATACGTGAGACGGCCAGCGCTGTTGGCTCAGCCACTCCCAGCTCCGACTGCCGCACAAACCGTTGGCTCTGTAGCGCGATACGTATTCGCATTTTCCCCTCCATCAGCGCGTGATGCACCGAGTGAAGTCCAACGCTAGCGTCTGGGCTGCCATATTCCGTTAGAGGCTGGAGATTGAATGCACAATGACAACTCTTTTTGGATGCCAGAGGTTTCCTGAAAACACCCAGATCTGCCTCGAGATGAATCCAACTGCTTTGGGGCATTGCGACGTCATGTACTCCGTATCCCCAAGCCCGAATCGCAATGCTGCGCTTCCCGACGCAAGCGAAAACGCTAGCCGGCCATCGCATTGACGCATTAGGAAGCCAGCTCGCAACCAGCAACAAGAGTTGCGCTGGATGCGGCGAGTCCAACAAGAGATGAGGTGTTCCGTCGCAGAAGAGAAGAATTTGCGCATGTTGGATGTGAGTCACTCTGGATATCGCCATCAATCTTCATTCTAGATGTTGCAGTTGGCCGGTGAACGAGCGCATTGCATTCACAAACCACGAGAACTCAAACCTACAGCAACAATGCCCTCTTTGTGTTCTTTTACTTGCAGATTGAAACACAATTGCAGGTGAAAAAGAGCGGCGAATGACGCAAGTGTGGCAAGTTTTGAGTGTTGTGTGCACGGCGCATAATAAACACGGCCCTTGGTAATGAAGCACTGGAATGCTGATCCTAAATGCGGATGAGCTGCGTTGGAGCGGCCAAGGAGGGTGGAAGATCAATTCCTGACCTGGTTCATCTGATCTGCAGCCAGTCAACAGCCGCTTTTTTTACTTTTCGCCTCCGGGTTTAACGATTCGTACGTATGCAGCTGTACGCTTTGTATCAGTAGCGTTACGATGGCACTCATGCTAGTTATTGTAGCTCCGTGGCAGACTGCTACGCAGGGCCTTTTTGTCGCCGTCGACAAGTTTGACAATATCGCTAGGTCTGGCGGCCGACTCCCGGTGACCATGTCACGAGGTCTTCGAATTTGTTGGCATTTACAACTGACTGCCTACACAGAACCTGAATGAGCTCCACGGCACGACTTGCTGACTGGGTTGCAAGATCACTCCTAAACATGTCAATCGGTTTTGGCTGGAAGAGTGCGACTGCGCTGCTATTCACATTGTGATATCATCAAATGCATGAATCGCAATTATAGATTCATCGACCGGGATGTTGGCCGGTCAAAGGACGATCCATGTCTTGTTCGTCCATTTGTTTCACTTATGAAGATTGCTATTCATGTGTTCAATACTTTCAAGTTGTCACTGAAGAAATGCATGCAAGGCATCTTGTTTCAAAGAGATGCCCGCAATCCAGTCCAACAGCCGTCGGAAGCATCGTTACTGGAAGGAGAAAGCTGAGACGTGAAACATGGATTGCTACTATGTTGTGACAGAAAGCCGGTGGGAAAGCTCCGATGGCCGCGAGAGAGAGAGAGAGAGAGAGAGAGAGAGAGAGAGAGAGAGAGAGAGAGAGAGAGAGAGAGAGAGAGAGAGAGAGAGAGAGA